GTCACTTTTTGCTAATGTTTTGTGAATAAACAAATAAATCAATTAACTATAAAAACAAGCAGATTAAATGACAATGAATATTATTGGTTGCAGACGTATTGGTTATAAATTTAGGGGATTTCTTTTGGCTGATGGATAACATCTGGTGACGTGATCTCTCTGTTTGACACTTAAACTAATCAAACTAATGACTGTAAAACATTAGAAGATTTATGTATAATAAAAAGAAACATCAATTACATGACTGCACAACGGATCTTCTGGAACAGATGCAGACTAATGAGTCATGAAGCAGGAAGCTGCCTCAAATCCGATGGACATCCTGCAGATGCCCAGATGGAGGTCCTGAGAAGACAACTCAAAGACCAGGAATGTCACGCTGAGGGACCTCCGTCATCTTAGTCATCCTATTCATATCTCTCTGAGTCACACGAGGAAAATCATCACTGCCTCTTTTATCTCACCTTCTTTCTCAGAGTTCCCTCGCTGCCTCCCTCACCCTCTCAGCGAGCAGCAGAGGCCTCAGGCTCGAGGCGGAGGGTTGCTGAGGAATGCAGGGTCCTGCTCCGGGTCTCGACCAGTCTGCACTCCAGTGATTTCTACTGTTTGGAGTTTATGTTTTCCCAGAGAAGCTTCTAGTCTGCCGCATACCCTCTGTCCTCTTTCTAAAACACACACACACGCACACACAGATGTATTCTGAATGTAAATTTATGTGAGTCTAGTGTACTGGCTGGCAGCCAAAGTCATCACTGATGCAAGGGATTTGAACTCTTAAGTCCCAAAATAAACCACAAAATCTGGGAACACAACATTACAGTCGAAGTCACAACCACTATGACAGATTTTTCAAGACTGTGGACAAAGTGGTCACTGCACATATTATTGTATCACAAAGATCAGTCTGCAAACTATCCGGCAAACACCTGCATGCTGGGGTTTGACCTCTAAAATTAACCTCAAACCAACAAACACGTCATGTTTTATGACTATAATCCACAGAAAGCTGAACGTCATCCTGTAATTCAAGGCTGGAAAACACAGGCATCGAAATGCAATGTGCAAAGCTACATTTTCATCCACTGTCCCTTGTGATTACATCCTTATTGGATGATTCTGTGCTCATAATTGACATCCACTGCAAAGAAATGGCAAGACTTCTATGTAAGGTAGTGAGGTGGACAGTAAGGACGTAGAGGTGAACAACGGCAAGTAGCACATCTAACTTTAAGGCTAGCAAGCAGCGCAAATATACCTTCTGTTGATGATTTTACTATGCACAACCCCAAGTGTTTCCTTATCCTAAAGAAAGAGTTCAGTACTTTGGGAAATGTGCTTTTATTTCTATATTTTTTCAAGCAAAAAGTTGAAAAGATAAATACTCAAAGCTGTCTGTTAAATAGAAGGCCAGCAGATGGTTGGCTTAATTTCAAACAAAGACTGAAAACCAGGCGAAACAGCTGGTTTGGTTCAGTTCCATTGAGCCAAAATCTGCTTTCTTTGCACTTTTAAAGCTCACTAATGATGTGCTGCAGCTTGTTTCTTTAATCAGTACAAAATCTGAAGTGTAAGAAAAACAATTTGCTATTTTAGAGGGAGTAAACATTTTAGCTGTTCTAAAATGTCAAACTATTCCTTTAACTGTACTCATGCCACGTGCAGATGTATAAGAAATCAAAAAATGTAAAATACTGGCATTGGACAAAAAAAATAATGCTGGGACTTAACATAATATACAGTTCACAGAAAATTGGCGCTCACATTCGGCAACAGAGTGATACTTCTGCAAAAAGTCAGTCCTCTAAGTAATTTTCAACATACAACAACGGGAATAATCTGATATTTGTGATTATGAGCTCAATTGCAGAGCCGTAAACAGTCCAGGTGGTGTTTCAGTCTAAGATTTTCTGGTGAACAATAAACCTTACATAAGAGATATTCCACAAAGTGGCTGTAAATTAACTACTCGTCTGTTTTTAGCTACCCACAAGGTGCTGTTAGGAGTTATTTTTAGTGAAGATCAGACAAAGAGGTGGATGTTCTCAGATGTTCCTTACAGGGTGGAGGTCCCAACGGGTGAGAAGCCTAATTGGTGCAAATTAGTCATCTGTGGACCCTCGCCTCTTTGTAGGAAACACGTCAATAGGTTGGTTTGTCTTGTTGTCTCCGACTCATCCTGTACAAGCCCCTCTAGTTTCCCATGTCACTGCCCTTGTAGGGTTTTTTTCAATCTGCATATCTGACATTGTTGGTTTATTTTAACTACACAGTTCTGAAGAGACGGTTTCCAGGTCTGCGTTCGAGACTGATTGCAGGATTTGTCATCACTGACAGTGGCTAATGTTGAAATGAGATCTACGGTTGCTGGTTAGGGTCTTCTGTTGACTGTTGAGTGAATTTGAAGGAGGCAAAACCATGACTGCTGGTAAATATGAAGTTGTTAGTGAGTAGTGTCTGTTAAGGAAACTTAGAGAAAGGTTGCAGAAGATGAAAGCAAGCCTTTTGAAGCCTCTTGTGTCTTACAGAGGAAGGATTTGGTTGACCAGAAAACAAACAGAGGAAGCTGACTGCTGGCCTGCTATTGGACCAGAGGGAAGGTTAGCTACCATAAAAGGAGCAGGTCTTGTAGCCAGAGACAAAGTAATGCACAAGACCTTTTATAGCTTCTTGCACTGCCCCTATGTATCCCTGCTGCATCATTAAATGCTTAAACAAATGCTGTTTGTCAAGCATCCAAAGGTTCGGAACAGGATTTCCCATGATCGTATCAGAGTTTCCCCTTTGCAAGAAAAAGAAGCTGAGCTGCTCAGATGGGGAGGATGAGGCACAAGGCAAGGAAGGAAAGGCTGCTGATATTGTTCAGGATTGCAGAGCTTTTGTGTATCATTGTCACTGAAGTAGCTGATGTAATGGGAGAGTATACCTCAACAAGTGCGATTGTGTTAATGTAAATGGAATGGGTTAAGGAAATTGGAAAACCCGGCATGAAAGGTCAAAACACTGAAATTGATGATAGTGGTCATCCTTTTCACTTCTCTCTCTCTCTCTCTCTCTCTCTCTCTCTCTCTCTCACACACACACACACACACACAGTGGTGCTTCCATCACTTCTGAGGACATTACTAGTACACTGATTTACATTAGTTTACTGGAATCTTATCCTAACATTAAGCCAAGTCGTCACTGCACACACACCCTACAATATGACTTTGCAGATTTATGTTCCCACAACATGAGCAATACAAGTACACACACAAACACACACACGCGCGCGCGGGCGCACACACACACTCACACAGACAAACACACAAATGGAGACAGAGGGAGTTTCAAATGCCATGAAAAAAAATAATAATTCATAGCCTGAAGAAAAAATGACAAATTATAAAATACCACAAAACCAAACAACAAGCTCTTTGAAAAATTACAAACAGAAAAATAGTGAGCTGTGGGACACACAGGGTGCCAACTGCTGATGTGAATGTGGTCATTATCATTTATCATATCAGTATCTATTATTAAACTGCAATCAGCCTGGCTTGTTTTTAAGTCCTTGAATGTTCTGCCTCCTGTCTATGCATATAATCATTGATTGAAATCCTATTGCAGGGCACTTTTAATGGTTCCTAATTCTCATCTTTTAGTAATCAGTTCTTTGCTGTTCGGGACCCTCGGCTGTGGTACTGGGGATCTTAGGCATCGTCTTTTACATCTCCTCTTAAAACTGATTTTTATCATTTGGATTTTTTATTGTTACAGAGAGTGATTGTTGCCTTTAATTAAATGTTCTGGTTACACCCTAAATTCTGGTTCTTATTTACTTTAATCACATGCTTGTATATTTTGATTTTAAAAGTTTCTATATGTAATGTAGGGTCCTAACCTTACTATTTATTATGAGACACAGTGTATTTGATCATTTTTTTGGTTGTTTTTTCAACCTTGATGTTTAAAATATTGAAGTATATTTACTCCATAGATAATACTGTGGGGTTTTAACCGCCTTGTTTTCTATTGATAAGCATTTGGCACAATAGCTGTGGCTTTAAATGTGCTATACAAACATTGGCAATTTGACTTGACTATATAAATTATTATTATTATTATTATTATTATTATTATTATTATTATTATTATTAGTTTAATAGTAGTAGTAATATTGGTAATAGTAGTCGTAGTATTACTCATAGTAGTACTAAAGCAACCAATAGTATTACGATTGTGAATTAAAATTACATTTAAGTAAAATGTATGATATGCTTTGCAGTTATACAGTATATCTATTTTTTGCAGATATAATTTTTAAAAAGACAACAAATGTGAGGGGGTGAATTAAAATATAATGATATTAACAAAGATTCTCCCAAAATTGTAGAAATTACAGTCATTTTTGTTGAGCCCGTTTTTATAAAATGTTAGTTGTTAATTAATCTTGTGTATATTTCCATAAAAATTCTGCACTTTTATTAATTACTGTAAATACTGCAGTGTTTATTTATTTAATTTCTGACAAGTAACAGACTCTATTAGGAGAAGGACACCCAGCACATACAAGAGGATGTCAAAGGCTGAGGGACACATAACTAAAACATCACCGAATTAGACAATTGTCTTAATATAGCCCATTATACTCATGCAGCAACATAAATTGTCATTTTTGGGTTGTTGCTATTTTTATGTGCTTTAGTCTTATTGATCCTCTTTGTTTTCCTAATACATTATATTATTTTTATTTTTAAATATCGTTGCTTTTCTTTTTTCTTCTTCTTCTTCTTTTGAATTGCACTACCCTTGATGACTCAGGAGGATATTGTAAAAGGGATATTAATGTCAATAAAGAATGTTGAAAAAAATTGTACTATAATTATTTTTAGATGTGTGTATATTATATTTTATCTAAATCTAATTCGATGTTATGTGTATTACATATACAAACACGAACTATCAACGGTTCCTTGTTTTCAAACTTACCGGAAGGAAGTAGGAGGTCAGCTGACACGACCAAAACAAAAATGGCGGCTGCAGTCACCACGGTAAACACAGCGAAGCTTTTTGCGTGCTTTTCTTCATTTTTCTTGGTTTTCCTTGCTGTGTTTTGCAGATTGCATGTTTTGTAAATGCACTGTTTAACTAACGGAGCGTTTCTGGAAAATGTATTAACGGACAACAACCGTGAATCCCGGAAAATAAACGGAAGCGTCTTCCTCCCGTTTGAAACCAAACATCCGCCCCTGTAACGCGTGTCAGTGATGTTTGTGTCGTCGTCGCAGCGGCACGAGGATGATACAACATGAAATAAACACGTTAACGAAAGGTGGTTGTACCAAATGAAGAGGTAACGCTCCGAACAAGATGTAACGTCTCTAACACTGAACTAATAAACAAGAGATGGGCTTGAACGTGGAAACAACCTGAGAGGTAAACAAGAGAAAGTTACGGATATCTGACGATGGGTTTGGTGGACTTTGTCATCTCCAGTGTCGGAAAATGCCTGGACGCGGTGTGTTTACTGCTGGACCTGAATTTTCTCATCGTCCACACCGTGGTGCGGACTTTCCTGGCGGTTATCTCCTTCATAAACAACCTGCCCACACTCCTCCTCTACTCGGTGCTGGAGTTGGGGAACTTCCTCCTGTTTTGCTGCATGTCCATGGCGGAGGCTACATCAGACCTGGCCCACAGCACCGTCACCATGCTGGGGAGCCTGGTGCTGGCTCTGGAGGGGCTGCTGGAGAGCCTGAAGATGGTGGGTTACCTGTCCATGCACGTCCTGCTGAGGGGGAAAGAGCACCTGTGTCGAGGGCTGCTGTCTGTTTTGGAGGGCTGTGGCATCGCTGTCAGCCTGGTCGTCTATTTCACCAACACTGTGGTAAACTTTGCACTCATTGCCACCCAGAACGTCTACCTGGCGGTGCTCAGCGTGTGGCAGACGGTGTCCAGCCCGCTGCAGAAGGTGCTGGAGCTCACACTGACCTCCTTCACCTTCCTGTACAGCAGCCTGGTCGGTACATCAGCTTTCCTGTGGTCACCTTGTAAACTGGTGTTGGACTTCCTGGTGTCGCTGGTGCACATGTTCATCAGCATCTTCATCCTGAACATCTACGGCCTCCTGCTCACTGTCGCTATCGCTTTGACGACCACCGCCTACCTGAACCCAGGACTGACCCGACAGGCAGCTGCTCGAATTATGGTTTACATTAACTCTTTTCCAGTACTGCGTAGACTGTATCTGGCTCTACACCGCTTTCCTTCAGACTTGTTGACCATCCCACACTTTGTGCGTGGTAACATGCAGCACCTACAAAGGATACTCCATCACCTCTACCTACTGGAGAGAGGGCTTTGGCAGCAGCTTTCTCAACACAGCAGCCAGCTGAGCCTTGCACTTAGGACACATCTCCACAGGAACAACAACAACAGAGTGCGAGGCGACGGTGACCCTGGAGAGGAGAGACGGGACCCACCAGATGGAAGGGCAGGAGATGGAGCCCACCAGGAGCTGCTGGATTTAGTTTTCCCCTCATCCAGCACGGACAGGCCGCTAAAGAAGCAGTCAGCTTCAGGCAAAGACGGTAAACCTCTGCCTGCAGAGAATCTGCTGACTCTACTGAAGGAGCAGGAGGACAGGAAGAAGTGTGTGATCTGCCAGGATTGTATTAAGACGGTGGTGCTGCTACCATGCAGACACCTCTGCTTGTGTAGAGACTGTACGAACATCCTCCTGAGGCAGCCTATCTACCAACAGAACTGCCCACTCTGTCGTCATATGATCCTCAACACCATGGACGTGTATCTATGAGGGATCAACAGAAGCAAATCTACGGAGCCTCACAAACTGTCAGTATATACAATATTTACCACCACTGAAATGATATTGAAATACTTACTATGTATTTACTAAGTCATGTTAAAGAATAGGCCTGGTGATATTTTATTTACTGTCACATGTCAAGACCAAAAAACTAACAACACTCCTCTTCCCTGACTTTAGCACTCAGCCTCAAACCTTTTCAATCCCACTGAAGCCATCAGTTTCATAAATATGTCGTTGTATTTTTATAACGCTATTTTCCCTGAAACAGCTGTGCTCTGGAGTGTTTAACAAATGATACTGAAAAAGTGGTGAGTATTGAAAACTACTGCACTTTGACTACATACTCGTTAATAACACCAGTTTAGGTAAAGAATAAAGTGAAAAAAAAATTATGACAGATTTATAGAATTTGGTTACAGATGTGTGTACTCTTTTAGAGCAGTAGAGAAATACGAAAGAAAACACATGCTATGTGCCAATTCCTTATTATCTACTAACTGTATACAATATATACTATACACTGATCTTTTTAGTATACCGGTTTTGCTGTTAGTGTGCATCGATCAGCCCCAACATGAAAACCACTGACAGATGGAGTCGATAACATCCGCAATCTCATTATAATGCAATGTTATGATGGGAAACCTTGAGTCCTGGCATTCATGTAGATGTTTTTTTAATAAGCACCACCAAACATTATTGCAGAGCAATCGCGCTCCCCAACGGCAGTGGCCTCCCCCAGCAGCACACTGCATCCTGCCACATTGGTAAAACTGCTCACAGAACACAGCAACAAGCCAGAGTTGTTGAACTCACTTCCAAACTCCCCAAATCTCAGTGCAGTTGAGCATCAGGGGGATGGGTCAGAACAAGCCCTGTCCACAGAGGCTCCACTCTGCAACCCACAAGACCCAAAGGACTCTACTGACATCCTGGTGCCAAACATCACAGGCCACCCACAGAGGTTCTGAGTCCATGCCTAGATAGGTCAGAGCTGTTTCGGCAGAATGTTTGGTGTGCAAAAAAATCACCATGTTTTCACGAGTTTCTCCCGAAAATGTAACAAAACTTTTTCACCACCAAACAGACCTTTCCAGCTGTGTGCAGTGCTTGCCTTTAATTTGTGCATTTTATTGCAGGATAATAGTGTCCATCAGCAGTAACAGATACACTCAGAAGACAGTGTTATTACTTTATTTTTTCCAGTATACTCAAATCCTGCTTAGGAATGTGGATTTGGGCCTACTAGGATCCACCTGTTGAAATATTCTAGTGTTGCCACGTCGAGTCTCAGGTGTCGTAGGCCTGGTAATCCGTTGGTGCCCTCCCCGATGCTGAAATGTTTACCACCGCTAATGTCTTAAACTGTTGTGCTTTCAGCAGGCCAAGCTGTGAAGGAGGAGCACCAACACTGTGCTTTACTGCATGAGTATACTAATGATTCCACACATGCTGTATGTATGAACACTGTACGTATCAGAGTGTATTCCAGCTTTTACCATTTCAATCTCTGTGTGTACATCATGACCACTTTAATTTGTGCTGTGTTTTCACTTTTCACACAGAACTGTGTACACAGAGTAAAAAGATTTTGTGTATTTGAGGAAAGTGATTTATGGTTTTCCAGTCAGGCTTTATTTCTTTTATTTGTTCTATTGATAGGGCTTTTCCAGTCTTCCACCAGAGGTGTATTACTGTCACCGCCAACAAATAATCCATAAATGGTTTTCCCTTTCTTTTGACATTGTAATAAAACAGATTTCTGTTGTATAAAAGGACCATAAACTAATAAGGCTTTACAATTTCATTTGCTTTTGTTTCTCATATGTTGCTGTCTAAGCTGAAGTGTTAATATTGATCTATGTTTAAAGTTTACAGGGCATTGATGTGACACCACTTAATGTATTATTATTGATGATGGATGGTGTGGAGTCTGATTTAGGGGGGAAAAAGAGAAAGTGCCGCCTGTCATATGGCTGCGTATAAAAGCATTTTTTTTTTTTTCCATTTAAGTAATTTTGTATGATTAGAAGAAATTTTTGGGACTGCAGTTAAGTTGTGTAATATCAAATACTGACATTATCGTGTTCCCTGCTGGATTACACAGACATCATTTATGAAAGTGGTCTAATGTCAGTTTTTGAGAAGTTTGTGGATGATTTCTAGAGACTGTAGTCACTATGGACTACTCCTCTCAGGTATTTCTAAAACGCCTATGGCATTCCTAACTAAAGATTGCAGTGGACTGAAAACAGCTCACATGACCATCATCTGTTATTTCCCGCAATATGTGTGAACAGTGAGGGACAATGTGATTTGAAGACGTGAATGTAAGTTGTGTTTTTTAAAATACGATGGCTGCCACATGGCTGGCAGGTCTTCTGTTCGTAATAAAACATCAATTACTGAAGCATGTATCTTGCAATCCTTTTAATCAGTCCAACACATAATCCTTGTGAATGTTTACCACCAAACACAGACACTTATGACAAATTTATCAGGGCTGTAACTAATACGTATCTACAAAGCATTTACTTGTATAATCAATTAGGCTTTCAGTCTATACAATGTCAGCAAATTACTCAAAAAAAAAAAAAAAGACCACCAAAGGTTACACAAGCCCACAATGTTGCTTGGTCCTATAAAACAGACAAAACCTGAAAATATTTTCAGGTAGAAAGCCCAAACTACAGGCTTTTTGTGTAAAAATAAAAACAAAAAAATAACTTAATTATGCCACTTAAATTTTAAGAAAATAATGGTTTCAGCTTTGAAATGCATTTACACCAGATTAATAAGAGGAAAATACAAATTGGCATAACAAATCTTTAACACCAGCAGGACCAGTAGCTATTTCTGCACTCTGGACAAGTTCACGTGCTATCACAAAGTCAATTTTGAATCACCAATTATTCTGTGCACGTTTTTTGAGTGCATAAAGAAAACCAGAGGAACTGCACACAGGCACAGGGAGAACATGCAAACTCCACACAGAAAGGCTTCAGTCAACCAGCAGGCTTGAACCATTATGCTGTGAGCCAACTGTGCTAAAAAGCCCTGGAGGTATTCAGCTAATTAGAAAACAACAGAAAATGTGACTTTTAGACATCTACAAATGTGTATCTAGGTTGGGAAAAACACAAGTAGTCCTTGAAATTTTTCTAAGGCTGATCTTAAACACTCAAAAAATCACTTTATACCTTGTTAACATGCTCATATGGTGTGTTGTATGTGCTAGAAGACACATCATGAGCAAAATAAGCAGTCAATGCCATGGATGACACTGACAATGTCAAAAATACAGATTCATACAGCCAGCAAGAAGAAACCAAAACCTGTCAACTTGTGGAGTGGAGCTTTATGTATCTTTATTCCTTCTTAGAATTGGTTTTCGGTTTGAACATATATGGCTGAATTACTCCAATACTGCAACTTGCCATTGTGTAGCGTTGAGTAGTTTTGCAGGGTCACAGGTGAGCAGGTGTGCTTTAGCTGCAGTGGGTGGAGGACGGGGTGTGTGCAGAGAGGGAGGTGACAAGAACTTAGATTTGCACGTTCTAAAAAAAAGCAACTGTTGAGAGTTATGTGTAAACCATTTGAAGGAAGGAGGGAGTCATTTTCATGGAAAAACCTTCTAAATATGAGCAAATTTATGAGTTTAATTAATGACCAAAGAAGGACTTTAATTTATATATTATCATAAAAATCAAGGAAACTCTTATCAACAATAAGAAAGTGCACATCTTCAGGCAGTCTGAGTGTAACACTTAAGTGTGCCATGAGGGTGTGAAAACCAGTTGTCATGCAAGGGAAGAAGTCGAAATAGATCATAAAAAATAGAAATTTCAGGATCACTGTCTTTTAAGAAAGAAAAAAAAACATTTACATACATATTTTCAGGCCTGTGAAGAGAAATCTGTCAAAAATAGTTTGTCTCTGAATGAATGAGTGAAAATGTGTTGCATTATAAACAACAGAGAGGCTAAATGAGGCATCAGGTGTGTCTCATGCAGCCTAGAAACAACAGAACAGCAGGCAGGGGAAGGCTTTTTTCATACAAAATGGCAATTTGGCATATCACAGCAGAAAAAGTACAGGTGCAAATAATAAAATGACTCAGTACTGAATTACATTTAGCATTCTGGTGTTCATTGTGGCTCAGTGTCACACTGCTGAACAAAACCATCATCATTACTGACACCTGTGCTTTTCTCACTATGTGAAAATAACAAAGGGCCTAGTTAGATATCAGATGGAACGCACATTCCTACAAGTGTTTTTATGACAGCACACAGCTTGTATGACCCAGGGGATCATGTATGTTAGATGCAGAAATTCCTCGACTGGAATGCCATAAAGTATTTCCACAGGGATTAGACACGTACCATTACAGATTCCTGTTACTTGTGGACATCAAGGATAATGCAACAGTTGTGTCCAGAGATATGTCAGCTTGCATGTGTGAAGATCAGCGGGTTGCTTCGTGTATTAGTGTGTGGTGGGGGTTACAGGGTTAGAGGAGAGGGGCCCCTAATGGTCAGTTGGGACCACTCCCACAAAGTCATGACAATTCATCAGAGCCTTGTGGTTTTCATCTTCAGAGGCTTCTCGTTCCCAATGTTCCCTCCGAAAATATCCCCAGCTTCACACTGGACATCTGCAAAGATAAAAGAGTGCACTCGGTGACATCGCTTTAAATACACATTGTATTTTAATTTGCTTTTTTTTTTTTTTTTTTGCGAAAATAGTGGAATTTATGTGGCTATCATTTTACCGATGGTTTACCTCATCTCTGGCTCAACGGGAGCCCTGAAATCTGACCATCGATGTAGCTCGGAGGTGTGTCCAGGTTTGTGCTTCGTGACCACAAGCTCAACACTCTGTCAGAGATCAGAAACAAATCCAGCGGCTGTTTATTGTCCCCTGACCTCTGAGTCTGGCCCCCAGCAGTGTTTATGTGTTGGTTGCAAATGAGGATGGTGTTAACAGAGGAAAGGAAGTTTAATGTCAGAAGAAGAGCAGGAAGGAGTAAACCAAGGAGAGCTTTATACTCTGGGGATGCGACCTCTTTGTTTTGACCCCGGTGGTCGTGGCTGGGAGCAGTGTGGGAAAATGTCAAACTCCAGCGCACTCATCTGTAGCTTGCTCAGGCTGTATTTTTTTTTTCTGTTTATGAGCACTGTCTTCATCCCTTGAGCTTTATTTCTCCACATCGAGAGCTTAAATCTTGGTGTCCTGATGAGTGGCAAAACTTCTTTTAAAGCTGGAAAGTTCAAGCCGATATAACAGCAAGTTTCTGCCTTGTTGAAATGTCAAAGATGGTGAATTTACACCAGCAAGAAACAATGATGGTCTGGAGTTGAACCTGACCTCTTCTCTGAACAACAGGAGAATATTCCTCCGAAGATGAGCTGCGAGGGTTTTACAGAAGCTTATTATTTTGACACTTGCCAGCCTGACATGACATGACACAGCCCTCCATCATGATGCAAAAACAAACACAACCAGTCCAAAAGAGGCTTAAATTCACTGGATAAAATGTGAAAAACTGGAGATTTGGAGTCAGTTTGACAGAAAAGAGATAAAGACGAGGCAAGCAGCTCATTAAAATTGGCCTCCACCCAATCCAGACTCTACTTTAATTAAGAGGTTGTTGTAATTAATCCAGATAATCCTGATAGCCTTGAATAAATGCAGTGCATGATGTTTGGGCAGCAGGAGGCTGGATGACAGTCATCAGGTCAGAGGGCTCATCAGGAACTCCCACAGTACTTAAACTTTCACCCTCTGACTGAGAGAAATGTTAAGCACTGAAACGATGCACTGTTTCTGCATAAAAAGAAGGACCTCGAGGGGCTGAAAGTGAACTAAAATCAAGATAAATAGATTTACGGTTGCTGATTTTTGTACAATTCCTTCTAAAAATATTGCACCTCTTCTGGGTTTTCATATTTTAGAACATTGAATCAAAGAGGCTCAAATGCAACTTTTTAAAACACTGATCAACAGGAAAAAAAAACATTTAGGTAGATATTTAAATCTAAAAAAAAAGCAAATCCAACATATAAAATGTATGCTTTAAAGAGTTTGTCGCTTTTATAGGACAAACCTAAAGTGTTTTAAAATTATTTAGTTATTCAAAGCCTGAGGTACTTTCAGTGAATCTCTAATGCAAAAAACACACCATGAAATGTATATATTTTTATGTCTCTTGCACCAATCAAGTAGAATGGAAGCTACTCCAGGAAAAGCACAGCTATGCTTCGTTTTATAGCTGGTTTAGAGGCAATTTTGAGTTTGATTAGGTGCCATAAAAAAAGACCAATGTAGCTTCCTGACCACTATTTCAATACGAAAGCACCCTGAATATCTGATTTTGTAATACTCGCCATTGACTGCACTGTTTTTCTTTTTAGAAATCATTTCCTTTGCAAGGTTACCTTACAAAGTACACAAGGTTTAAAGATGGTGCAATAACACTAAATGTGACAGGAGGCGTTTAAGAACCACTGATGTAATCCAGTAATCAGTGGAGAATATAACCTCCTCTCAGTGGCTGAATCAAGTTATTCATATCACATGCAGACGTTTCAAAACTCCATTTAGTATTCACTATTTTTCAAAGTAACTGCTTAATGTTGCGCAAGCTTTCATACATTTATAATGAACAGAGAAGAGCACAGAGTGGATCCGTGAGGTATTCTTATTGATCTGTCCACACTGTCTGAGATGCTTCTCAAATGTGGTTTCATTTTATGAAGATAATCCCTCTAGTTTGGCATTTACTGTTATATAGATGCTATATGTGAATGGAGAGGATTTAGCCCACAGGCATGCAGATACTCTGACAGTCAAAACTATAAAAACTCATTTTTTGTCATTAAAAAACACCTAATTGTCTTTGTTTTTGCTATTAATGTCTAAAGAGCAGGTTTTGGGCTGGTTTACAAATAAATCACCTAATTTATATTTCATTCTTGTCATCTGTAAATTCTGTTAAAGAAAGAATATGATGAATGGATACTGGAATCCCCTTTAGGATACAATGGAAAGTAGCTACTGGGACAGATGCTGAAATAATAAAACACTAATGTACTTCTCATTCCCTTGTAAATGTATTTTAAAATCCACAGCACACATCATAAAGTCCACTCAGGCCTATTGATGCAGTTGGTTGAAGTGATCAGTGCTGCCCAAACAGTCTGCAGAGATGATACCTGACATGCTTTTGCAGTGTTTTAGCTGCTGAAAGCTGATACAACACTGCCCCCTGCTGGAGAAAACTCATACTATCAACTTCGGTGGCATCACCTCTGAAGATGGTTGGCACAGTATGAAAGACTAATGTGAAAAAATGAGCTGCACAACAGCTGCATAACTCCTTGTCTCCACCAGGGATATTTTTATTTTATCTCCATATAAGAACTTAGTTAGATTTTTCTTATACTCTGCATTCACACGACACCATCATACATCCATCATTTGAGGAGCAGTGAAGTCATGTCATTGTTACAGTTTCTAGAATTCAATGCCTTGACCTGCGGAGGAATTTCTGTTCTACAACTACACAAGATGTACACATGCTGGATTTTGATAGCTGATCCAATTGTTATTTGTGTGATTTCAACATTTTTCAAGCTGTTATTGAAAATGTAATCACATTATTGTGCATTAACTTTGTCATTTTTAACACTACTGAAAGTGTGGATCGGTTGCAATTTTGGAAAATATATTTGTGTGCTTTCTCGCTCATAGTGATATGTGAAAATCACTACTTTTCTAATATTTGGGAATTAAATTTAAAGCTACAGGCAGAAGAAAGTCAGTTTAGCTCTACACAAAGAGAAATGACTAACCAGACGCTGTTCAAAGGTGGCAGAATCTGCTGTGCACACCGCAGCCTGAACACTGACGTTTACTGGAAACCTACAGACAGAGACCAATACCGACTGTTTGACTCCCATCACCTACTGGAAAATAAACTGGAGGTCATCAGAACCTTGTGGCGGCAAGCTGAAAACGTCCCTACGAACGCAGAGAGAAAAGACATCCAGCACATGCCTATTAAGAAAGCACTAAAGACTTGACTTTTCCCGGCTGGTTGTGGTTTTCCCGGCCGGGCCTTCATTAAGTCAGCAAAAAGATCTGGAAAAAATTGCACAACAGCAAACAGGGAAGGGAAGAACAGAAGGAATAGCATTGTCATCCCCTGTGTAGCGGGTGTGTTTGAGAAACCTAAAGGGATTTTCTGCAAACACAACTTACTGGGGCAGCTCAAACCCAATAACACAAAAAAGTGGCTAACTCCAAGGATGAAACTCCCAAAGACAAGCTGAGCAACACTGTATATGCAGTCTAATGCAATGAGAAGCGAACAAATCCATACATAGGAGAACACAGAGTGATCCAGCCCCTCAGGACAAGACCAAGCAGTCCACTGGCATCTGAAAGATAAGAAATGTTCCTTAGAGGACAACAATGTTCACATTCAGAACAGAGAGGACAAATGGTTTGAGAGAGGAGTGAAGGAAGTCTTCCATGTTCAGCTGCAGCAGAGGGATCTACAGCACCACTTATAGGGTATTTGTAAGCCAATCCTGACATCAGATCTCTCGTCAGAAATTTTTTTCCAACATTAACACCTTTGGTCATTCTTCACAGCACTAGGCATGTGAGTTTTAGGTCATTGCCCATATGATTTGGAGGTGACAACATATATTTGGGACTAATAGCAGAGAGCATACACAAACAGAATCTGTATTCCAGTAACTCTGACATGCACTAATTAACACTAAACATCAAAACCAGTTTCCCAAGTTGCACTTCTGTTTCCTGATCAAAGTAAAAACTCCTGGCTAACTGGATTGGAAACTTTTGGGAAATGTAGGCATTGAGTATGACCTTAAAACAATCTTAAAATGATCATGTAGGCACAAGAAACACACAGACTGATATAATCTAATATAATGCAACCCTATTTATTGAATAAGAATCGGAAAAGAATGCCTTACAGATATTTTTAGAGGCTAGACCCACCTATGTTCCAGTAGTAGTCAGCCAGAAGATATTTGATTTCAGCATTTCTAAAATCTCTGCTATGACCCTTCTTCTCTCTACAGTGTAAGTACACAGTGTCTTCTCTAATGGCCTCATCATTTCACCATCATTACACCCTATCAGCAACGACATTTTAATCCAAATGTCAAAGTGTCACCATACTTTCCTTCACCCAAACAGACACCCGCCCACTCTGCATTTAGGGAGTGATGTCACTGTCTGCCTTGCCATCAGCTCTGAGCCTTTACAGAGTGATTTACAGGCAGTGAACTAATGGAAATAACTGATTGATGCCAAGGGAAGATTGATTAACTCCTTGGATCTCTCATTCCACCCTGAAGGGAATAGTTATGAGGATATATTTGGAGCTTAATTATGTGTAGGAGTCTCGGGGAGAGAGGGGAAAATAGCATTTCCTCATGTCTGAGGTAGTGTGTTTGACAGACACAGAAAGCCTTTCATGGGTTCTGGTCTTGTCAGAATTGACTCCACTAAATAAACAATTGGGCTTCAAGAAAACTGTCAAGAAACATAAGGAGAGACTCATCTCAGTGAACTGGAAGAATAATATTCACCGTGATTACTGACGGGAAGAAGGAGACGACTGACTTACACCAACCAGCTCGCACTGCTGAAATGTAGCTCGTGAGTCTGTCAAGGTACTTACAGCGTTTGGTGAAATCATTAGGCCGAGGTAAACACAGGGAATCCAGTGGAAAATGAATATGTTCCAGCCTTTTTCAGTTTGGTATTTACTTTGGTAGTTTGCTGCCTTTGGGAATAAAAACCAGAGGACTGGATGTTAGATTTTTATTAATAAAAATTCCTCATGAAAGTTGATTAATCAGGCAGAGCTGGAAAGTAAGTAAGTGGATTTACTGAAGTGTTGAAACTTGTACTTTACTCGTATTCAATCTAGTATTTTATGCAACTTCATACTCTTGTATTACATTTACATTCTACATTTACATTCTACAGTTCTATTAGTTAGTTTTTAGATCAAGATTTAAACAACATATGATGCTTTTAGAAAATATAATGCAGTGTTGAAGATTTGCTCATGTGGCTTCATTTGTATAACAGTTTGAGTCTCAATGTGGTGACATTGTTCAAAAAAAGAAGAAGCTAAAAGTAGAAAGGAAAAAAAAAAGTGATAAAATATATATATTTTTCCTACCACAGATTTATCTTGTGACCCACTGACAGTGGTGGAAAGTATCTAAGTATGTTTACTCAAATATGACACTTCATTCTGACAACTTTATGTTTCTACTCCACTTGAGAGCAAATATTGTGTTTTTTTTTGCTCCACTACATTTATTTGACAACTGTTACTAGTTGCTTTGCAGATTTAGTTTATTATTGCAAAATATATATTTAACCAAAATCTTAAATATTACAAGCAGATTAACAATTTAAAGTAGTGGTATGAGTGCCAGCCTTAAGGTGATGAACACAATAATGCATCATTAATCATAATCCAATCATATAATATACAGTATGCAAGCTAAGTACTTTTGGTTCTTTACGCACAACTGTATTTTGATGCTAATATGTTTGTATCTTCCATAACAGTCTAAAAAGGTAGTATATAACAATCTAAATAAACAGGCTTTACTTTAAAATAATTACTTTTATTAAATTTACTGAGATTTTGTTTCTAATAATTTATCTGTATTCTTCTTTAAATAGGAGTTGAAGTGTATGTTTATGGTGTTTTATGGGTATTTTTTTTCATAACTGAAAGGCCTAAATTGTCATTCAACTGAACTCAAGTGGCCATGTTATCAGAAAGTTACTCAGCAGCTTGGTTTGAAGTTAATGATCTTAAATTGACTTACTTGGAGTTATTTTTGATCAGGAGGTCTGGAGCTCAAACATAAAACACATTTTTAAGATGATTTTCTTTCCTCTGTGCAGAGTTGTCAAAATCAGAAACATCCTATCTCAGAGTGATGCTGAAAAACTAGTCCATGCATTTGTTACTTCCAGGCTGGATGATTGCAACTCTTCATTATCAGAATGTCCCAACAACTTCCATTTGATCCAAAATGCTGCAGATTGCTGCTAATAGCTTCTCTTCATTGGCTCCTTGTAAATGCCAGAATAGAATTTAACATCCTTCTCCTCATGTATAAAGCTGGTAACAACAGGCTTAATTGTTTCTAAAAGGCCTCATTGTACCATAATATCCCAATGAAGCCCTTCACTCTCAGACTTAATTGTTGTTCCCAGAGTTTCCAAAAGCAGAATGAGAGGCAGAAACTTCAACTATCAGGCTCCTCCGCTGAGGAATCAGCTTCTAGTTTGGGTTCAGGAGGCAGACACCCTCTCTACTTTAAAGATCAGGCTTAAAAGTTTCAGTTTGACAAAGCTTAGAATTAGGGCTGCTAGGTGACCCTGAACCATCTGTGAGTCATGCTGCTATAGGTTTAGACTGCTATGGGACTTCCCATGATGCACTGAGCTTCTCTCCTCTCCTTCATTCCTCACACTGTGCATGACACAACTTCTTCTGTGCAGGTTTCTGTGGCTGCTGGAGCTGCAAACTTCTGATCAGCAGTTTCTGACTTCCCCAGTGTTTACTGTTGTCCTATATGTTGTTTGTCTGTTTCCATCTGTTATCCTGCTCCTTCTACGTCACCCTCACCCCAACTGATTGAGGCAGATGGCGGCCCTCCCTGAGCCTGGCTCTGATGGACGCTTCTTACTGTTGAAGGAGTTTTTTCTTTCAAAGAGTTGCTCAAACAAGATATTTGGATTCGTTGGGCTCTCTGTATAATACACTATTGTAAAATCTTTACCTTACTGTGTAAAGTGCCTTAAGGATGACTTATGTGATTTGGTGCTACACATACACATAAAACTAAACTAAATTTAATTAAGTCAACAGTCAATCTAATTCCTTTACCTTTCTACCATTACTGTGTATTTATGGCCAAAAATATGTCAGTCAAGTGTGTTTTTAGAAAATAAATCTGAAGATTTATTCATGTTGTATGTTAGCTGTGTAGTTACTGACAAGGGAAAAAGTGCAATAGTTGCATAAATGCTGTTTGAATTAGCGGCTTGGAGCTGCCACTGTCACAACATCTGTTACAAGAATTAACTGTCACAGCAGTTTAAAGGCTGCAAGTGAGGAACAGACACAGAATAAACAGCACTGCTCAGTGTATGTACCTCACACTTCACCAGTACGCTATGTGCTATTCAAGTAACATTGTCTGGCGTGTCATTTTATTTCTTGCACAAATACAGCTGTAGCACGTCGCAGCAGATTCACTTGTCTCTATCCAGAACTTCTCAATTAGAAAATCAAATAGCTGTGGTTCATTTCCCTCAATGGGATACGACGTTTGTTTTGTTCATAAGCGCTTGTCATGCAAACACAGCAGAGTTTTTCCAGTCTGAGTACACCAGGAAGCCGCTGAAGGTGCTGTCAGTCTTGGTGCTGGAGTAAAATCCATTGTACTCTGAGAGCGCCATCTGGACCCACACCTGGTCACCAGGGACAAGGTGAAGCAGGGAACCGCCTGACAGAGATGCAGGTTTGGGCCAGTTGCCATAAAACTGAAAATAAGAAGCCACCACGTGTCCGTTCTTCATCAGGTCAAACTGTAGGCTGGCACGGTAGACTGTGGCATGGACGGCAAAGTAGTAGACTCCAGGGACTTTGCAGGTGAAGCGTCCGGTCTCTTTGTTGTAGTCGCCCTGTTCATTGAGCATGATGGTGTCGAAGCGGACTGCGTCGCCCACATTGAGGGGCAGAGTGAGGCCTTGAGACAGTTTGGCAGTGAAGGCTGATTTGGGAGCCACTGCACATTCTCCTGGTTCCCCCCTCTCCCCCTTTGCTCCAGGATCACCCCTGTCTCCGATCAGGCCTCGCACTCCCGTCTCACCTGGAGAGGAAGAGGAGCACTAACATGAGCATCCAACGCTGACAGTATCACACAATAACACAGATGAAACAGAGTACCTGAGTCCCCTCTGTCCCCTTTCTGTCCTTTCTCCCCTGGAGCAGCATCCCTCCCATCCCTCCCGTCTCTCCCTGGCTGACCGGCGCTGCCATGAGCTCCAGGAGAGCCGGGGATACCAGGGTGACCAGTGCACAGACTAGGAGGGATCTTGTTGTCTTCTAACTGGTTGGAAAGATGGACTTGGAGGACAAGGAGGGAGTGCAACAAAGGTAACAGCCGGAGTGATGTCATTGCAGTGTCAAGGCTGTGAGAGGAAAAAGAAGCAGAAAAAACATACAGATAAAGGAAAAAAAGTAGAGGCATTACAGCTTACATACAAGGCAATGGAGGAGTGACACCAAAGTTTGGACTGGACTGCACACAATAGGAGAAATTTTTGATCTGATGAAACAAAAGTACACCGCAAATCCCACAGCGAATGCAAATAAAACGTCAGAATTACAAATGGAAGGAGAGAACATGTAATTTTTTTCAAATTGCAGCATGTCTAAACACTGAAGCAAGATTTGTTTTTTTTTCTTTTTACAACATAGTTGAAGACCTTTCAGGATAATATTTAGTTTGCTTTTTCTTGTCAAACAGAGCATGACAAAGGATTACAAAAGTTTCCATTTTGTTTAAAAGGAAAACTACCAAGTAAATTAAAGGAGCGTTTTCCTCTCTGACAGTTCTGTTGGCTGCAAGTTCTCCTATAAAATCAGATAAAAACCTGCAGGATGATGACTAGTCCAAACTGCTGCACAGTTACTTTGTCATGTTTTAGTCATGGAGTTGTGCAACAATGTGACTCAAAAACACTCATATTTAGTCATAAAACTGCCCTTGAGAGTGGTCAGATTTTTTTTTAAAAAGAAGAAAAAAAAAAAGCTGAATCTATTATTTCTGAAAACCAAACTAAACTGTTTTAAGCATATTTATTCATGCACCTTGCATACAAACCCCCACTTGGTTTGAGGCAAAAGAAAATCAGAAATAAGCATACCACATTCCAACTTCATTTGATCTCAGTGCAGCCAAAAGTGTAACCAAGTGTACCAAGTAAGAAGTTTTGAAAGCGTCCTCCTCCAGTCAGGTGTAATAGCAATGAAAATACTTTTTAAACTTTCCTAAGTGTAGCTTTTTGCTGATATTTGACTGCAACAGCACACACACTGAGAGCTTGTGTTTATTAATACAGCTGCAGTTTATGATCCAACAGGTGACTCATTTTCCTCAAATGATCGAGCTGAGAGTTGTGATACTGAGAACAGCATGCACCTTTTTAGGGAAGGCACATGGAGGGAAGTGATGGAGGGAGGGGAAGAGCTTAAAAATAACCAGAAGTAAAGGAAAATTCTACAACAATCAAACAGAAAAGGAGCTGACCATCACCATTGACACTGAACTGATTTAACTTGTACATGAGCAAAAGAGAAGCACCCTTTCTTATTAAATCTAATAACTGAAAGTTAAAGAAATTTACAGCCCAGTTTACAGGATGAGAAATTCATGGCAAAAAGTATTTCGAACATGTCGTGAATATTATATGAAAACCATATTATATTATCAGCCACATAACATTTGATTTAATAAAGTATGATTTGCTCATTTAGTACAGACGCTCACTTCCAAAACAACACATTAATACTGTTGGTTTCTAAACAGATGTTTCTTATAAAAGTCTGATGAGATGCTGAATACCAGTCAGTCCACTCAGAAACTGCTAACAGACACACCTAAAAGTCAAACTCTCTCTCTGCCTCCTCTTTCCTGTTTGGTTGTGAGCATGAATTCACAACATCTGTCCTCTATTGACGCTGCATCTTTAGCCAGAAAGTTATCAAATAGTTCATTTGTGTTGTCTGCCTTATATAAAACTATAAATTGCATTGTTTAAAAAAGAATAAAAATCTTTTCCTGCTGGGTTTTGGTCCATGCAGGATATTTTACGAGTTCATCTCCACTGTTGGTTCGTCCGTCTGGGAGAAGGACAGGCGTCACGGCATCATTAACTAAACTGATGAACTGAGCAGAAGAAACACTTCCAGCTGCCAAACAACAAGTTTAGTAATGAAAACCTGCTGTTTGTGGTGCGCCGCAATAATGAGCAATTCAAGATTTTGTCATCTATCAGCAGGTCTTCTAACTGGAATTGAGAGCTTACATCCACAACAGCAGCAGAAAAAGAGAGAAAAAAGGAAGGGGGGAGGACATAAACAGAAAAGAAAGAGAGAAAAGGAGGAGGGAGAAAGACTTCAATGTCAGCATTCCTGGCAGAAGACGAGAGCAGACAAGAGGACAAATACTGGAGAGTCTGAGCAGCTGCTCACTCCTCAGTAGCCCTCAGATGATTGGAAACATGAATGTTTTCAGTGACAGCACCAAAGAAGAATCCACTGTTTATAGACCACTAATACCTGAACGGCGAGGTTCACTGTAGAAGTTGTTATTTTTTATTCATTTATAGAGAGCATATTGAGTTTGGAGAACACTTTGTGACACTTGTTTTTGCCTTTTCTTTTTGCCATGTCATCAGATTAAGTCCAAATGTTCTCAGTTTGAAAACTGTGGAGGGACTTCAACTGAAATGGCCAGAGCTCTGCTGGAAACTCGAGTTTTGATTTTAATCAAACTACAGTCCAGTGGTTTGGATTTAATTTTACCACCTGGGTGGTTGAGATGAAGGTTTAGAAGGGAGATCAAAAATTTATCTGACTGATCCATCCGTTCGGAACAGTTTGGCACGACGCCATAACACCAGCTGGAATGCGATGAAATTATCCACATTTACGGTAACTCAGCATCAGGCTGGTAAACAGCAAAGCTGCCCATTTATTTTAACCATGTAATTTTGAATACGGTCTTATGAGGTAGTGGAAAGTATGCAAATTCTGCAAGTAAGTCTAATTTAGATTAACTTGTACTCCAGTAGAGAGAAGTTTGTTAGTGTTGTTAAATTTTTACTGTTAATTTCGATTAGTGTAAGAATTTAGTGTAAAACATTTAAATACTGCTTAACCTTGTGTCAGTAATAAAATCAAGTACTGTAATATATAATAGTACAAAACTGACAGCAGGCATTCTTCTAATAGGTAAGATCTTTTACTTTTGATACTTCAGCCACATTGTTCTGAAAAATTTTGCACTTTCACATCAAATTTTGAATGCAGAACTTTTACTGAGTCATCTTTTGTATAACAGGTATATCTAGCCAATACACAGTGATGCACGTTGTGGTAATTTAGTTTATACTGGATGGTCTAGAGGGGAAAAAAAAGATGCCAGTACTTTAGTTCTCTCCCAACCCTTTCACCTGCACTGAGGAGCAGCTCTGATTTATAATGTTTAATTCAAGAATTGAAGCCAACCTTACCAGATGATGGAATGAAGTCTTTGGGAGCTGCTGCTGCTGCTGCTGCTGCTGCTGCTGATGTTCGTGTGTGTGTGTGTGTTGAAGAGAAACCACTGAAAGCTGTTCCTACCGTTCAGAGAGTCTGGCTGGGAAAAAACTGAAAAAGGAATGGTAATGAAATCCAATTAGAAACTGGGGTGGGTGGGACAGGAGGAACCATGGGTGGAGGAGACAGAGGAAAATATGTGATGGTAATCCAGCACAAATAAAAGAGATACACAAGCAAAACAAAAAGCGCGTCCAAATCAGTGTGAGGGGAGGGATAAGAACAGAGAAGAGGGGGATGAGAAATGGAAGAATGTTTCGGACGTTGCATAACGGTGTTGGGAAAACTCTCCAAGAGCACGGGGAGTTCAGAGGGCTGTGGTCAAAAAACGCAAACGACACTGCAGTTAAAAAATGAGCTGTCCTCCCAGCTTTATTACACAGAAACAGCACCGCTCACAAAGGCAGACCATCGACAGAAAAACTAAGAGTCAAAACAGATAAAAGCCAGAAACACACACACATTCACACATTCATTATCTGCCTCCAAGATGAAGTAATTTGCCCAATCCAGATAGCATCTTCTCATATCAGTCTTCCACTCAAGCAGGACTCTGACAGTAATCCTCTTTTTTCCCCCGTAATCCTTCAGTGGTAGCGTTAAGTTGATAAAGCAAGAGGTCTTAATGTCTTTTTGGCAAGTGAACTAAACTTGAGCTGATTATATTTTGCTGCTCTCCTTGAGACCTGGCCAACGAAAACATGTTTTCACTGTTATCATGCAGCGTTGACCCCAAAAGGACCGGTCTGGTGCCAGAACTGGAGATGATATCACAGCACATTGAGCTAATCTGTGATGAGAAAACAGAGTGAAGTCTTGGAGCAGAGGCAGTTAGTTTTAGCCATGCACAAAGTGAAAACACAGATGTAAATATTTTCTACATGTTTATTTGTTAGAAGTCATCTGGTGATAATCTACATTTATACAGTGTGCAGCACAAGTACACCATTGTGCAATATCATATAAATGTTCAATGATTCAAAGTTGCCCTTATGAATAGCCAAAAACTAATGCTTTGTAAACACTATACAGTCAAAATACAAAGTAGGAACTCAGTGCAACAAAAGTGCATACACCAATGATCGCTGACAAACAAGTTGGAAACCCTGTGATCATTGAAACTAAATTGAGTGCAGCTGGGATTTCCAATTAGCCTAACCACACGAACATGGTTATAAAATGATCTGTGAACTCCAGAACTTTCTTGGTTTTGGACCTATGGGCTGTGATTATCTGCATGTCGGCAGCATAGCTCAGTAAAAGAATTGCCAGAGGAGGTGAAAAATTAGACGATGAGACTTCACAAAGATGGAAAAGGATACAGAAAGATCTGTGATCAGCTAAAAAGCAGTGAAAATACAGTTGAAGCAGTGATCAGGAAGTATAGAAAAGAACCATAGTACCACTAATCAGAGCTGCAGTGTCCATCCTACTACAATGACGACACAGATAGTGCACTACTTGCACAATCTAGCTCTGAAAAAATGATGGGTAAGTGCCATAGGGTTGTCAAAGGAATTTTAAGTTTCTGTGACAGCTCAGACAATGTGAAGGCTATTGCATAATGCCAACCTCTATGAACAAAATCTAATAAAATGACCTTTGCTTGCTATACAGCAAATAGCTTCAAAAAGAAACCTTGTTGTGGAAGATTCTGTGGTCAGGTGGAGTCCAGCATGTTTTGCATGCACCTCATCAGAAATAATACAGTGAACACATAGTCCTGACAATGAAGCACAGCAGTGGGAGTGTGATGATACAGGGCTGCATTAGCATAAAAGGTGTTGGTGAGATGACACTGTAGCCGTCTCGCTACCTCCGTGGGATTCCCCCCAGCACAGACACACGAATCGCTGCCGGTCCACAGTCTTTATTGGCCGTACGGCGCAAACCCGGCACAAAACAATAGAAATAACACAAAGCGCCCGCGTGTCTGCAGCGGCCCGGCTCCTGCAGGCTGCAGCACGCGCTCTCCCGTCGGCGTCTTCTGTCTCACCAACCAGCCAGAGATCCTCCTCCTTGGCCTCCTTCTTCTCTTCTGCCGCCAGCACCCTACTATGTGCACAAGCATATCCACAATTAGCCAGACCAGCAGCACCTGGACCCATCAACTCACCTGACACTAATCTCCTGAGCTCTGCCCCACACCTCTCTCCCCTGCCCTCTGCCACCAATTACACCCATCTCCACAGACACTTATAGATGGTACCATGAATGCCCATGGATATACCAAAATACTGGCTGATAAGATGACTCCTAGGCTGCAGAGGCTTTGCAGAAGAGGATTATTCCAGCATGATCATGATCCAAAGCACACAGCCAAAATTACACAACAGTTTCTGAAGAAGAAAAAGTGAAAAATAAGACCCAGTCAAGTATGTGATCTGATCTGAATCCAGTAGAACATCTTTTGGATATTTTAGAGAAAAGGGTTGAGCAGCACAACCAGGCAAAAAGAGCAGCTGAAAAAAAAAAAAACAGAAGAATGAATAATGACAGAGCATCTCTCCTGAAATCTGATATCGTCTGTGCCGAGGAGAATGGAGTCTGTCAGCAAAAATTAAAGTAGACAAATATTGAAAAGAAAAAGGTTTGAATCTACTTTTGTGGCACTGAGTTTCGACGGATGGTGCAATTATTATCAGGTGATTCCATTTTAAATCATTTTACATTTTGGTGATATTGCACAGGGGTGTCTTTTTTTAGTCATGTCAGTAATTCAAAGGATTGTGATGCTGCCCTATCAGTACTCTGCTTTGGTCAAAACTAAAATATCTACACAACTTTTTGAAAGGCTGTAGTGAAATTTTGCATATCCATGTTCCCCAGAGGATGAAACTTGATGACTCTGGTGATCCCCTGACCTTACATCTAGCACCACCATGAGGTTGACATTTGTAGATTTGAGTTGACTTTTGGGTGGATGGACTGCTTTGGGATTTGGAGACTCGAGTTTCCCTCAGGATGAACTGTAGTAACTTTAATGCTCTGACTTTTCCTTCAGTGCTCTCACCAGGCTGACTTCACTCCCACTGACTCCCAACTCTTTGTGTTTGTGTGAAGCTAATCTGTTATACTCCTGTAGGTTAAAGTAATGAAATTAAAATGGTTTTTACCTACCACAATGCCTTAAACTATGGGCTGGAAGTCTGGCTAGCTGCAGTGGACAAGTCAGGCTTACCAGAGAAATCAAAGGCCTGGATATGACTACATGGCATCCATCCTCTAAGGGATTCTCTAGTATGTCTTAGTCCCAAACTCCATAGCTGAGGACTTTAAGAGGAGGCTCAGCAGATTTCTATGGATGTGGCAGAGGCTACCTTCACAACCTTCGGAGCTGAAGCAACAAGCTGAAACTCCCCGACAGTGGCCTGAATGAAGAATTCAGGGTGATCCAAAGGAGGGCGGTGATGCAGAGTCAAGAGTCCTGCTAACCAAAGTCTTTCAGTCTCTTATTGAGGCCAAGAACAAACAAAGTTATAGTGCAGTGTGAGCCATAGATGTTGCTGAGGTGCAGCCAAGGGTGCTGATGGGCGCAGCGGCTCAAGATTAGGGACCAAAAGTCACTCTTGGGGAAGCAGCTGAAGTTCCCTAAAGCGCTAGAGCCAGACTTGGTGCTGATCTCAGGAACCTCCAGGAAGATCATTCTGCTCTATCTTGCCAATCACGAGGACGCCCACACTAACAAAGACAAGACAGAAAGAGGTAAAAGCCTGCTGAGCTAGTGAGAAAAAAAAAAACATTAAAGTTCAATCCCATCGAGGTAGGATGAAGAGGGTTTTCCCTCTGAATCAAGGAAGGGCCATCAGGTTGGCTGCTGAGGCAGCACAAGTTCCTTTAAGGTGTCTGTGGATCAGGAGAGGAGAACCATGGGTGGCATAGCACCACCTGGAAAAAAGCCAGGGTTTGATCAAGCCCAGCTGGGTTGCCTGAGTGAGAGTGTTTGATGTTAAAACACTCAAACCACCTGATGACCCCAAGACACATCACTGAGTTAAAAAGTAAAAGTAAAAGTTTATCTGACTCTTTAGTAGTTTATCTCCCTGTTTTGAGATTATGTACAGCAGATTTGTAGAAAAGTATGCATGTCATTTCAAAACTGCAAAGGATAAAAGTAAAAACTTTGGCTTTTGTAAAGGAGGGCCAGTATTTTTGCTGGAGGGATGGATTTCCCAAGCACTGTGGAAACAGTTTTAAATACTACATTGTAAATCATTTCCGCCAAATTAATTCAGTCTATATGTGTTAAAGTCACATATTGAGGAAATTAAAATTATGTAATTGCATATTAGAACGTGCACCCGCCCTGCAGTTTATGAATAAAATATTTTACTGTGGGACGCCTGAGAACAAAGAGTGAAGCTGCTCTGAGTGAACACATGGCTCTGCTTAGTGTTTTAACACTGAAATGCTGCTTTTATGGGAATGTGGTGAGGAGGGGGTTTGTTGGTCAGCAGCTCTTTCAAACAAGAGCAGAAACTCCTTTGAATTTGAGTCTTCAGGCTGTTGTGAAGAGGGGTTTCAGCAGACTCCTGTGGAGGTAGTGAGCTGTGACTGAAGGTAAGACATGTATTTAATTAGCAGCACCAGAATCAGCACATTCTGAGTCTGCTACTCCAATTTCCTGTAAGAATCCATAAACTGCTGCTCAGAGGATTTACTGGTAATCTGGACCACTTGGCAACCCAACAATTTGAATTCACTTCCAGTGGGTGGTATTGAAGTGTGATTGACTTGGCTTAAATAAAAAAGGCAGTTTTAGTTTGGGGTTGAGTCTGTTATTTAGAAACAGACCTAGTTTCCCAGTGAAAATAAAGACCACCATGAACCCACGAACTGTGAACACAGATGTTCTGCTTTTTGAAAAAACACTGCAATGTGATGATGCACTGATTCCCCCACATCTGCTCTTGGCAGTGAAAAGAAATCGTTATTTTGACCAGAGCTAACTGACTCACTAAAGAATTTTATATAAACTGCCACAAAAGTAGTACTTGTAGTTCTGATCTGATGTCATTCCATTGTTGTAGAAACTCACAAAAAAAACCCGACACACCACATAAAACAGTCGCCTGTAATCCTGATGATGCTTCATGTTTTTAAGTTTCAAATCCAACATGCAGAGCTGAAATAGTGGGTCAGTTTCTTCTTCAGCTGACCAACAAACTCATCACAACTATTCTGATGCTGTATTTACCATTAAATGTAGTTTTGGAGGATCAGACTTCCTTATGTTTTATTATAGTAAACTAAATTACCCTTGGGTTTTGGACTGGGTCAGCTTGGGCTCTGGGAACACCTGGGAGACTTTTCAAAATGTTTTATTTCTTTTACTTTGGAACACCTCATTGCCTAAAGTTTCATTGAGAAAGCATTTGTCAGACAATAAAAATAATCATTAGTTGGCACTTACCTAATTTTAGTTAGAATTTTGGATGCATTTCTTCCTGATGTTGCAGAAATCCAATGGTTTCCAGTCATTTCTATACAGAGGATGAACAATCACACTGAAAATAAACTTTAGTAACTTGTGTTACTGTGTGGAGTGTAATCTGTGTAGCTGGCTTCAAATATAAAAACAAAATGCTAACAGTGACTAAGACAGGATCTGTGCATTTTTCTTTTTCAGAACACAATTATCACTGCAGTCTGGATTGAGCCCATTATGCTCTAGTGTCTATCAGAACATATTCCTGTACCTTTTTTGTCTCTCCAGGTGTTGGAGAAAACATCTGGAGAAGAAAGAGCTTGACCATTTTCTGGTTGGAAACAGTAGATCTAGTAACTCTGCTTCCAAAATGGGTTTCTCAAAGACAGTTTAGTGCACACTCCTGGTCCATTCCTTCACAGTCTCAGTTTCTCAATTAGTCTCTGATTTAAACTAATGAATGGTTCACAGTTAGTTAAAAACAGACCAGGCCAGGTTACAACTCTCCCTTGTGCAGGCAGGGCTCCTGATCTCAACCAGCTTCTCTCCTCTCTGCTTCATGCAAATCAGGCTCTCTCTTGTGCTTGTTGTTCTGGCTGCCTCAATAAAAAAGCAACACACAAATGAGTTCATCTCAATAACAGAATCCACATAAGCCCTAATAAAGACAACAGCATGCAATATTAAAAAAAAAAAAAAAAAAAAAAGATGAAACCAAATCCAGCTCATGAGGTGGAGGTTTCCTGTCTTCATCCTCTGTGCACCACATGAAAATAATCTAAAGTTTGTGTTTCATATAACAGTCTACACAACTCAAACAAGTGGCATTAAAGATTTTTATACAATAGAAAGCAGCAGATGCCTGGAGGAATAGAAAAACTACAGAAACAACAACACATTTTTCTAAACCACCCAGTCAAACAGTAAAGGAGGCGAGAGACAGAAAAGAGTAAAGGAGACATGTTTATTATTTAAACTATCACTTAAATAAAAAAGTGCATAGAAAATAAACATGATTAGAAACTTTTCTTTTTACACTTATGTACAACTTTGTTTCCTAATTATACATTCAACCAAGTAGTTTGTGGTTTATTTTCACGGTGGTGGTTTTCCTTCATTTCGTTGATGTGTATTGAAAGAACAATGTTAAATGAGAGAAAATATGACTGTCATGAATACCGTTATTACAGAGAGCAGGAGGAAATATTGATAAGACAAAGGTATATTCAAGGCAAAAGAAAACGAGCCTGTTCATGATCCACGATCCCTCCTTTTTTCAACATCCTATTGTACGCTTTCTCTGTGACACCACATCCCATCCTCGGCTGACAACTTCTATACAAGAAACAATTAGAAAATTACAAATACAGGTTAAGTATTCGCCCGACCTCTCCAAAACCTTGACTTGTAAAAGAACAATTCAGGGTGGATGTTGCACAAAATAAATAAATTAAATGTTTTCAACATCAGCATTATTTCAGCATTATGACTTTCTATTAAAAAAAAAACAGTACATAATAAGTACAACCAAAGCTTCGGAGGAGAGAGAGGTGGTCAGGGAGACATGAGAGGTTTCCAAAAGGAAAAGAAAAAAGACATTTTGGTGGGATCTTTAAACTCCTGGTCAGTCTCCACAAACCAAATCTCTTTAATTTTAGCCATCAAGTAAGCTGTCTAAAAAGTCCCTGTTAAAATGTAAAAAAAAAAAATAAAAAAAAAGAAAGAAAGAAAACAGAAAACATTCACTACAACAACCAGAAGAAAATAAAAAAACAAACAGGAAAAAAAAACAAAAAAAAAACTAAATGGCTGACCTCAAGAAGTTCACAACCACATTAATACAGTTACATTTCTCATCACATAAAAACCGTTTCTTTCCAGAGAGAAAATAAAAGAAAAACTGCAATGCTCCTTGCTGGCGAAGGAACACTCACAGGCACAGCAAAATTGGTACTGGATATCAATATACAAAAGAATGATGCACGTTAGTTTTATCTGATAGTACTGTAACACAAAACCATTATAGAGTACATTGAAACATTGCTATTAACCATTATAAATCTCCTGTTTTGCTACTGTAACTAAGTTTGTCTGTCCATTCCATATATTGTATAGATACTAAAGTACAAGAAATTACTATGCATGTTTCTGTATAATATTGTTAAGTATTTATACTATAATTACAGATACCGACGGAGAAGGGCCACTGGTGTGGCGTGGTAAAAATGAAGTCCAAAGAAACAACAGAGACCATTTCCTTATTGTATATATGCTGTTTAAAACAGTGAAATAAATGACTGAACCTTCTGACCCTGAAAATGCAGGAGTGGATCTCGTGAAGTGAGAGTCGTAGACAGAGCCCTTGGCATCCGTGACCGTGTCATCACCGATGCTAGCGTGAACTGTTTGAGCTAACCGGTTGTTCTACAGACAGAAATGCCACCGCTGTTCACACCTCAGTATAATTCCCAGTGCTGAAATGAAACTGCTGCTGCTGCCCAGTTTGAGGTCACATCTACACATCTTCCACAACTACCAGGGTTGCTGACACGAGAAACTGAAAACAAACACAGCTGACAAAGTATCATCACGAGTCTGGTGATGCAGAGGAAGAATATACATTCATTGTTGACCTTAGCAGCAGATCCCAGCGAGCCCAATGTTGGTGCCGCTGTACAACCGCGAGGCTGGCCTGTCAGTAAAGGTGGGGCGGGGGGGTCTCAGTGGAAAAAGCACAGCCAAGGTTTGCACAAACTACACCGTCAGGAAGGAGAGGGCTGCTGGTGTGGTCCCTGCCTTCACTTTGTTGCAGAAAAAGAGTCAAGTGCACTTTGCTAGAGCCTCAAACACCGCTGTCAGAAGTCATCAAGACCATTCCAAGTCGACCAAACTCAGTTTTGTATCAGAGCCCAATGCGCGAAGCATCCTCAGTGACTATCTGTGCTTGTGGTTTCAGCATTGGAGTTGCATTGTCTGTCTGGAGGGAGAGAGCTGAGTTTTCCTATGTCTGTTCAGTGCCTGTGTCACAGCTAAAGTGCAAACCATTTGTGGGTCATATTTTAGTTTCAGTTCACAACAAGGGGCAGTGTGGGAGTAACTGCTAACGGCCTTTAGGTGATAACGAAGTCAGCATGAACGGCAGACAATAAATTAATTAAAAGGGACAAAACCAAGTAATTGACTTCATAGTGGAACCAGTCAGTCTAAACAATCTGCTGAAATATTCGGTCCGGGACATGAAGGCTTGTAAGAAAGAAGAGGCGTGCTCATTTTCAACTAAGGCAAACTACAAGGAAAGGAGACTGGATGAAACAAATGCTTTCCAAATGCTGGTGAGCACTGATGAGCAGTCACCAGGACGACATGTTTTCTTTAAATGAACAAATTGGCTCAGTGGAGATATGATGAAAGCTGTTGGAATTAAAACAGAATTAAAATAAAGGCACCTCTTTATTATAGACCAAGTCTGCAGAGGGACATAACACCTTAAACTGTTGTTGAATTTTACTTGTGTGAATAGTTTGTTTGCAGCCAACTGGCTGTACGCCTGCTGACACTCGGCTGATTACTGACGGAAAACTGAATCACTTCGGTTTGACTGCTTGGTAGCAGCCTGTAAGTGGACTTGATTCTCGGTGTGATGTGTGGAGACAATAAGGCTGGAGAGAGGAGATATCTGCTATGGATCAACAATCTGAACTCTCTCAAGTGCATAATAATAGTTCACATGACTGCCATACTGCCAGCTAGAACTGAAACAATGAAAAAAAAAAAAACGTCAACTCTGACCAAACGGCCCGGGATAGATAAAGAGCTACTGGTGGACTGAACTAAAAAGGGGACCAAGCCACAGACCAGCGTCAGTCTTTGGAATCAAAGAAAACATTCAGGCTACAAATAAAAAAAAACAAAAACAAAATTACAACAAAAAAAAAAAAAACAACTTTTGAAAAGGCAGCAGAATACAAAACATAGAGACCAAGCATTAGTGTTTGTAAACCTCTATTTCCTACAAAAATGGCAATAAAATAAATACGATTTTTTAAAAATATAAATACCATCATTAAGTGCTATTCACTAGTGAGTGCTTTTTAAGATTTTTTGTAGAAAAATATACATTATTTACATTTGTTTTTTAAAAGCAAGCATGATATTTCCCTGTCCATAATAAAAAGACAGATAACAGACAAGACTTTAGAAGACAATACAAATAAAAAAACATTTTTCCATAGTAATGGTTATCACAACAGGCCAAGAAGAAAACAAGCTGTGTGAAAATTTAATTCAAGGGCGTGACGTTTGGTTCTCTTTGCTGCTGTAATTTGGAACGTGATTCAAAAGTCCAAGCTTATAACAAGTTTGATAATAACAACAGCATGCACAAACTTGCAACATGTCTGTCAGTACGTCTGTGTCTGAGACACAGCTCAAAAAAATCAATTATAAATATGTCTACTCAAGCACATCAGTAGGTTTCTCTGGTCCCTCGGTTGTCAGTCCACCAGAATCTCTAGCTGCCTCGCTCTCTCAGGCCAGAGGCTTCATCCCATCAACAACATGTCAACATAGCTACCAAGCTGTCCGACTAAAAGTCAAGTTAAGTACATCGAATGGTATCAACCTCAGATATCATCCTTTACACGAATGGCCAAAAATAAACATTTGCTTTTTCTTTTCTTTTTTTTAAAAAAAGAACTTCCCCCCTCCCTTGTCTCTTTTTTCTCTCTTCTTTTCTGTGGCCACTGCTCCCCCTAGTGTTTCCACCTGTACAGCTCTTATCAGGCTGCCATACACAAGCAGCCCCTATTTACAGTGTCAAATGTACACACCCACAAGCTTCTATAAAAGTTTGGTCAGGGAAAGGTTCCAGTAAATCACAACAGCTCTGAAGGCATCAGGGCACATTCAGACAGGGAGATGTGCATCAATAACAGCTGACACTGAGATAGAAACAAAAAAAAAATCTAACAAGTTTCTAATTTTTACTTCTTGTAAAATTACTGTTACAAGTCCCTTCAACAAATTGCACTTTGGTGTAAAATGGAACCAAGTTCTTTGATTTTTTTTTCTTCTGTGTTCACATCTCAGCATTAGTAGACCATAACATATTTCTAAAAAAGTAAGGAGGATGGGCCAATGTAAAAAATTATGAAGGGGTAACTTTTTCATCCAAATATAAATAAAACTTAGAATATTGCAGTGCTGTGATCTCATTACTCACCTCTGAAGGTGAAACTTCCCGTGCCAAATGTAAATGAGACAAAAGGAGGCACAATATGTTGGAATTTCTACGAATGGCCCGTCCTCCAAAATGGCCCTTTCTGCATATACAGTATACACCGACAACTGCTGCCCCTGCTGTGGTCTGTCAACACCAGCAGCAGGAACACTGGCACAGCTCGTGCCATCTTGGCAGCTGTGGTCCGTCGCAGACTGGACCAATTAAATCGGTATAAAACCAGTGACATGGCCAAACTCCTAGCAGGGGTGTCCTCATCAGCAGTCCTCTTTAGGTTGTTTAGATGCCGGTGTCAGTTGAGGAACTTGCGACACTTCTTTGCACCGCAGTTGCAGGGCAGCTTGTTGCTGGCATCCTCAATAGGGAACTTGTAGTCGTACGTGAGCTCCTCTCCACAGTAGATGCGGCGAGAGGCAAAGATGACAATGTGCTTCTGGCCGTCCACGGTGATGACCCGAGAGTAGCAGTTGGGCTCACAGGAGTGGTTGATGAAGCGGGCAGCGTTGCCATGAACCGTGGCATCTACCACCTCATAGTCATCGATGCGAAACATGTAACAGCCAATACCCTTGGAGGAAAGAGAAGACAGTTTGTATGTTTGACTCTCCCAATACGTTTCGAGTCGAGCTATTCAAACAACAAAAACATTTTGAACTCATTCCCAAGACCTCACCTTTCCATCATAGTATTTCTCCCGCTTGTCAGTGAGCACAGACCGAATGACATTTCCAGAGTATTCAATGACCATCTCCCCCGTCTCAATGGTTTTCTTGCAGAACAGACCTCGACCATGAATGGGAGACCTGCAGAGGGATACAGCGAATCACAGCCATGTCATTTAAGTCTTTGTATGTAGACATGTATAGTATAGTAAACCTATGAACCCTAAGGCATGGTATTTTTTTTTAATTGCCAAAATTAGACCTTGAACTAATTATGTGTGACTCTTGGTTTCGTATTGAAAACCAGCCTAATCTAAGATTAATATGGATGTTCTCCACTTGGATATCTCATCAGAGTCACATTATTCTACATGTCTCATTTAGAAAGTAACAGATTGTATAAAAAATAATAAATTATGTGCTCCTTGGCACAACCGAGAAGTCATTGGTGACTCACCTACAATCAATAGTCATATAGCAAGAAGTCAGAGAATTTAAGGCTGAATGCTTCAATTCCTTCAATCTGACCATCCTTTGGATTAACTTTCGAGTGTATCGAGACCATGCTTATACAGTAAATTTCAGTAGCTGCCAGTTAATCGTTGCAAAGAGCAGAATTGAAAGTGACTGAAATGTCAGCAGGTCTCAACATTAAAACAAGCAGGGATTTGTTATTGGTCTGAGCAATGAAGTCCAACAGCTGATTTCACACAGCCTACTTCTTTCGGCTTTGATGGACCTAAATTATTCATAAATGACTGACAGATTAAACACCATTGATCTCACCTGTAGACTCCAACAGTCTCCTTAGAGGTTGCCTTGAGCTGTTTGAATCTCACAGCAAGTGGTAGCTCCATGGAGGCACGCCTGCATCGACAGTATGAAAGTGAAATGTTATGGTAATAACGTAAATAATTTCATCACAATTTTAGCATAGTTACTGTAGTTACTGTAGAATAAATAATTTGGATTTTGTGTGCTATAACTAACCTGGCAGTCCTCTGCTGCCCTTCCTCATCATCCTCTTCCTGCGGCCTGTACTCAGGAGGTTGCCGATGTTTTGAGGCCAAGAAATTGAACATGTCAAACACAGACCTCCTGAGTAGAATAGAGAATAGTTAGACACACACCCAAGACAAGATCAATGAAGTCAGAAGGAAGATTCTCATTAGGCAAAGCAGTATTCAGTAACATGGTTATTTTGGGCCAGCAATTACATTTTATGTGTTGATTACTAACAGTCTGCACCAGCAGTACTATGTGGTGATAGAAGTAGAGATAACGAAGTGGTTGGACTGTTGTAATTAAGTGCCATTACTGCTCTGATGGACTTCTGATCACTTGTGAGCTTTACATGCCCTACTGGTCACCAAATGCACGATACCTTCAACTAGCTAAAAAATGTAAAATGTTCCTACTGGAGACATTTTTTTGTGCCTGTTCGCTACAACAGACTGAAATAACAAGCCCAATATCCTACAGATGAGTGTGTGTCAGTTTGTTCCTAACCTGTGGTGGAGCTCTGCCCGAGCCGAGCCGTGGGGGTTGATGGGAGGTTCGTCCGTTTCCTCTGGTTTGTGGAAACGGAAACGGTAGCTCCGACAGTGTCTGGATCCGTACAGCTGCTCCAGTAGGAAGACCACAGCCTCATGGACGACTCCCAGCATCCTCAGTCCATTCACACCTGGAAGGAGCAAAGCAAGACTTTCACAATGAGTTTTTCATTCAAGTGTGCAAACAGATATTTGTACTGAGAAAGTATTTTTTAGAAATATACTTAGACAAAACGAATCTGTTGTCTTTGGTTATTGTTGTGTTGTCCGAGTGACGCCTTACCTTCAAAAGAGACCTCTTTGAGTCGGGCATTGGAGCGAGCTTCCTGCACTTTATCAGTCAGGGATTTCCAGGCCTCTGTAAAGGGACATTCCCAATGTATTGTTAAATATTTTGCAGGTGCAATTAGCATTTGCATATAATCTAATTTTTGATACCATTAGAAAAAATGTCAACACTGAATAATCAGTTTTATCTAAGCAGACAGTGTGTTTCATATTAAATGCAGCAAGGACATCTCTAATTTGTATTTACAGTTACTGTTAAAATGTCAGGGTGTAGGTGGTGATATAGTTATTTCCTCTCACCTTCAATACTTTCACAGCGGATGTGGAAGCCATCCTCACTGCAGATTTCAAAGATGATGCCCTTTTTGGGTTTGCTATCCAAGCCAGCATCCCTGCTGTTTCCATCCTGGTCGGGTGGTGAAGCCACAGGAAGGGACCCTGCTCCTCCAGCTGCAGATGGTCTGTCTTTTCCTACTACTTTCCCAGCTAAAACCTGCCCTTCAGGTGTTTTCTTTTTCCCAAGAACACTAGAAAAGATGTAAATCAAGTATTAGAACTATATTTTATGATCAGTTTGGAGATGGGTGACTTAAATTGATACTCCATACCTCCTGTTGGTTGCCTTGTCTGGGGGCTTGCCGGTGTCCATAGGTTCAGGGGAGTTCAGCTCCTTGAAGCTGCGAGGAAAAAAGATGAAAAAGGTTTATAACAGGCACAAAGTTTACGTTATGTACTTAACTTAACAGCTGTTTTAAAAACTATTTTAAAAATTGTGCAACAACTAGTTTCGCAATTCGTGACATTTCACTTCTCTTTGCCTGAACCTAAATCTTAGGCAAAATATTTGATTAGCTTGGGGGAACAATCACATTTTTGTATTTGTAAAAAAAAATCACAATTATACTTTATCACTATCAATATGTAATAGGACTGTGAAGAATCTGTGAAATCAAGTTATAAAACTTTAAATCCTAAACTTGGATGTTTTTTGTTTTTTGTTTTTTTTTAAATTCTAGATGTTTTACATTCATAATGAATTATAAACTTCACAAAGTCACTGCAGGGTTCTTTCCAGTACTCATGTAAGCAGGAATAAACTTAGTGCACAACTGTGATACATTTTAAGCAGCCACAACTGTAAGAGTGTCACACCTTGGGTTTGAGGATGGAAGCCTTCCTGCAGGGTTGCTGCGATGCTCCTCTGCCTGAGAGGCCTTGAGCTTCTTCCCACTGCTCACGTCTGGACTCTGCCTGCTCCTCTTCGCTTTCTGTTTGCCTTTTTCTGCTCCTGAAACTGCAGCTATTGTGGTGGAGTTAGGTGGTCTATGTTCTGACGATCTTGGAATAGGAGTTGTTCTACTGCTCTGTGAGTGTGCAGAGGTTTGCGTTTGTGTGAACACTCCAACAACACGTCCTTTTGCTGGGCTGAGAGGGGTGGATGGGTTGGGAGCTAAAGTAACGGTGTTGTTTGGACAGGAGTCCACAGCCTGGGCTCTGTTAATGGGCTGAGATTGGTGCTGTAAGTGGACATTACTGCCTTCTGTGTCTCCTTGCTGGTTGACAGCCATGCTGATAGTCTGTTGGGAGGGCAGGACACAGATGCTGCTAGCTATAGATGTCTGAACGGAGGAGCTAAGCTGCGACATCAGAGGAGCTCCTCCTGCTGATTGAAGGACCACTGGCTGATCTGACAGGCCCAAGCCATGTGGACCTGCTTTGAAAAGGAGGTTGCTAATTGGCCCTGTGATCTCAGTAGAGCTGAGGACAGGGGTGGAGAGTGACACTGATCCCGGTGCAAGGAGGCCAGCAGCACCACTAGAGGGCACAGACACTACATTCAGCACTGACTGACTAGGATTCAGACCAGAGACGGTGCAAGGAAGGAGATGTGTGGAGGAATCATGACCCAAGATACCAGTCTGAGCAGGACCAGGAATCCTCTGCTGAAGGAGAGTAGTGGGATCTAAGTACATAACCCCACCTGATTTAGGTCTCTTGATAATATTAGGAACCTTGCGTTGGGAAGTGGAGAGGGTGCTTAACTCAACCAGGCTACCAGGTTGGCCAGGAATGCTCGCAGTAATCTGAGGGGAAGACAGGTTGATGAGGGTCATGTTGGGAGGGCCAACTTCAGATGGGGCCAGAGTGGGCTGGCTACGAGAGCGGGCCAACTTTTTGCTTTTTCTTGGCAGAAGACGAGATATAGGCCTCTTCTTGCCATGAGCAGAGGCAAGCACAGTTGGGGAAGATGTGAGAGAGGAGGGACTGGAAACTATAGCAACACTGTGGCCCAACTCATGTGGTCGACCAGCCTCTGAGACCAGAATCTGGGATTGGTCATGAGGCTGAGAGGGCAAACCAATGAGAAGTCCTGAGGTGGTGCTGGGTATTCCTGTCTGGAAGCCTGTTTGTGTGGGTCCTGCAAAGGTGTGAATCTGAGAGGGGTGAGGCATAGTGCCCAGGAATTTGCCACCAGCGGGAATTATTGGCTGAGCTGAAGACAAGCCAGTATTCAATCCCGTGGTGAGGGTCATGGAGCTCAGTACAGCAGAAGAGCTAGTGTCCATCACTCCTGTTGCACTGATTTTTTGTGTGACACCATTAGGGACTGTCTGAAGGACATAAAGTGGCTGGAACTGCTGATTGACCACAATGAGCTTGTCGGGGCCTGGTTTGATAACTGCTGGACTGGAAACCTGAGCCTGAGAAGGTCCTGGGCCAGGCACCGGACTGGGGCTGCCTGCAGCTGCTGCTGAAGCTGGGAGGTACTTTTGCCCCTGAAGAGGCAGGGAGGGGGAACTTGGCAAACCGGGTGTACCAGAACTCCTGGGAACATCCTGGTTAGCTGGAGGTTCAACCACCTGGCCAATAGCAGGGCTTGGAATAAACTGTTCAGGAGTCATGTGACCTTCTGTGACCTGTGTGTCCCTGTTTCCCAAAGCTGTAGCATCATGCTGATTCTCTGATGGGGACACACCTGGTCCTGCTCTTTTCTTGTCCCCACTCTTTTCTCCACTGATGTTCTCTGGGTCAGAGTTCAAGCCCAGCATGGTGCGGTCTGAGGTATTTGATATGAGACTCCCAGGAGTGTGGTTCTGACTGGTGCTGACAGTAGGGCTCCGTGTGGTCAGGACAGAGAGGTCTGATGGCAGCTCCAGAGGAAGATACGGCTCCTCTACAGATATGGAGCTATTCACACTACTCTCAACAACCCCTCCGCTTTCAGCACTTTGCAACGGCTGGGAAAAGTCATCAAACAGGATGTCTTTACGCCTGTTGACATCCACTCCAACGTAGCTCTCGTCCAGTAGCAGCTCTGAGGAGGACGGCTCCGATTGTTGACCCAGAGCCGGCAACGACATGGAAGGTGTGTTCAGGACAAACTCCATGATGTCTGATGGCAAAATGTTCCCGCAGTCATCACTGTTGTTGTTGTCAGAGTCTGATTTGAGCAGGTCTGTGCTGAGGGACAGTTGGGCCTCAAGAGGATCCTGACCCTGACTCTGGGGCTGGGACTTGACCCCGCCTCCTAGAGGAAGACAATTTTCCTTCTGGTTCTTTCTGCTTTCTCGCGTGTTGCCGCTTACGGCTCCACCACTGTTGTCAGCCTCCTTGCTTGAGTCATGGGAGTCAGGTTTCTCAGTGTGCCTTTCTCTGGCCCTCCTCTTAGGAGTGCTCTTATGTGGGGTGGAAGAGGAGGTGGCTGTAGTGGTTGTGGTGCTGGTGGTGCAGATGCTGGTGTCGCTCTCTGAGCCATCATCGACGCCATCAAGCTGGCCGATACGCTGCTTGCCTAAGGTCCTGTTAAACATAGCAAAGAAAATATGTCAGGCTACTAGAGACAGCAGAAAATACTCAATAAATGTTGGATAATTGGTCAAAAATGTGTGCACTTACAAAGCACTCAGCATTTCCTCTTCAGCTTTTTCTTGAGCCCTTTGTTGTTGCTGTTCCTCATCTTTTAGGAAGCGCTGAAGCTGGGATCCCCTTCCCAGACACTGGTCTAATCCTTCTATAGATGGTAGGCCTTCACCAGGGTTAATTATTGTTCGTGTGAAGTTGTAGTAGTAAGGATCTTTACCTCTGTGTTTCATTCCACTGTCTTCATCCTCCCCACTCTCCCCTGATGAAGATGAGGTGCTCATATCATCTGCTCCATCCACCTGACCCTCAGCTGACTTCTTGCGGCCACCAGTCCTTCTCTTAACCACAGCCCCACCTCCATCCCCGCTGCCGTAGAAAGGAAGGTCCTCTTCACCATATGAGCGAACCCCGTAGAAAGGCGTGAGGCCAAAAAACATGTTAGAGCGTGCCCGGGCGCTGCGACGAGGGTAACGCCGCTTGGCTGACCCTGATCCATCACTGTCATCCTCATGATGTTTATCCTCCATACCTCTGTCATGGTCATCTTCTGGGCCGTCACCCTCATCCTCTGTGCCTTGAGCGAGGAGGCTGCGGTGGTCTCGGAGCTCACCGCACGAGTGCTCTTTGTGCAGATCATCTTCCTCTGTGTGAGTCTGGGTGTCAGATTCAGAGCTGTCACTACTGCTGGCAGATGGTGAGGAGAAGAGAGCAGAGCGAGCAGAGCGATGGGTCCCTTGGACAGCAGGAGAGACAGTGGAGGCAGTGGAGGTGGGACATGACGAAGAAGAAATACCACCAACAGTGTTGGTCCCATTAGGATCAATCTTGACATCAGTCTTCAGAGGAGGTGCAGTGGGTGGTTTAACTGCTCGCTTTTTATCTCTGGAGGACAACGTCAGCTGATTAGTTGTTTGTTTGGTGTGCGACTGGGAAGAGGTCTTCACTCCTTTCTCTGTAGTTAAACCAGCCTGCTGTAAGCTGTCCAGACTAGAGCTGTTCTTCCTCTCTGGACAGGAGTAATTTTCTCTGCTCTTTGAGGACGACCTGTCCACTCCCTGGTTCTCATGCTTGTCCCCCTGAGCCTTCCCATGGGCTTTGGTGCTGTTTCCAAGCACTGGAGCTTTACTATTGCTGCTGTTGTGAGAGCTGGGGTTTGTAACATGTGTGTTGGAGCTGCCAGTAGCTTTAGTATTATTGTTGAGAAGGGGGATTTTGTTGCTGCTGTTGCTGTTATGAAGGGTCTTCTCTCTATCGCGGTCTTTGGACACATCTCTGCTGCCTGCTGTCTTAACTTTGGGGTGTTTGTCTTTGGCAGCTGAGGCTGCAGCTGGAGAGGCCAGATGCATGGAGCCTCGTTTCACAACATCATCTTCCACTGATGTCCGTGATGACCACAGGGGCTTCACAGCTGCTGCTGTGGGTGGACCTGATGAGTAATCATTTGATTTACGTGTATTGGATTTCTGAAATGAAGGCTGTGGGGAGCCAGATTTCCCAATGAAAGTCTCTTTATGGAGTGAAGATGATATTAAATTTCCAGTGCCACTACTACTCTCCTTCCCTGAGCTAGCCTTGTCCTTGCACTGGATGTTAGAGGTGGGGGTGGACCGGTGACGAGGCAACAAACTGAGGCTGGCAGAAACATCCTGATCTTTGCTTCCATGTTTCCCTTGCTTGTCCATCTGCTTGGTGCTGCTACCTCTTTGCTGACTTGTGAGAACAGCAGTGCCCACAGGAGGGGACGACTGGCCTGAGCCTGCAGGTACCAGTCTTGGGTTCTTGCTCTCACCTCCAGTCTGTTTGGACTGACTGCCAGGGTTACCATCTTTCCCTGAGCCAGAGTCTTTGCTTCTCTCTGTGCTTCTATGACTGGAATCCCTAGAGGGAGGTCTAGCCTTGTCAGAGTCTCTGCTTGAAGGTCTGTCTTTACCTTGGCCTGAGTCTTTACCTGTTTCCCTGCTATATTGTCTATGCTTTTCAGAATCCCTTAGTGTTATATCTCTATTGAGTGACCTAGCCTTGTCCATGTCCTTATAGCTGGAATCTCTAGAGGATGACTTACTCTTGTCTGTTTCTCTAGTGCTTGAGTCTCTGCTTGACTGTCTCCCCTTCTCAGAGTCTCTTTTTTCTGGTCTCCCCTTTTCTGAATCTCTTATGTGATCTCTACTAGAAGTCCTTCCCCTCTCAGATTCTTTCAAACCTGAATCTTTACTCAATGGTCTCCTCTTTTCTGCCTCTTTGGCTGAAATGTCTCCTTTTTCTGAGTCTTTTTGCCCAAGTTCTCTGGAGGATCTACTCTTGTCAGACTCCTTAGAAGCTTGGTCTCGACTTGACATTCTCCCCTTGTCTGCATCTCTCAATCCTTGTTCTCTGGATAGTTGCTGTCTGCTTCTGTCTGTGGAAGACAGTCTACCTCTTTCATCATCTCTATGGACCGCGTTCTTTGCTGAGTCTTTACTGAGGTGTTTGGACTTTTCGGGGTCTCTGGCAGGGGAGGGAATGAGGGGAGGGGGTGATGTTAGAGGTCGTGACAAAATCTGAGGCAGGGAGGTCAGTCCTCTCTGCCTGTTCAGCTGGTGGGGAGGAGGAGACAGCGAAGGGGAGCTGTGACGACGTGAGTCAATGTTCCGCATGCCAGGCTTTACCAGGGAGTCTCCCACTGTTACAATCTCATGGCTTTGGGGCTGCGAGGTCCCTCCTACAAAATATAAGAAATGGAAATTAAAATGGAGGAAAGCAGGGGCTGCCAACTTTAAAACTAATTTCTTCAAAGATAATCAAAATTATTTGTAATTATGTGTGTCTGAAAGCCTATTTTACAATGTGATCTAATTCTAAATCAAAAAAGGAATGTATATTTATACCTGGAGATGGCATGGGCCTGGGACCCAATGAGCGCTGACAAGGGGGGTAGCTGGGGTGTCGGTTCCTCGTGTAAACCCTGAGTTTGGGGGTGCTGGCAGGGGAAAGGGTATCAGAGCGCCTTGGGGATTCAAATGGATCAGGAAAGTCTAAATATGAAAAACGGAGAGATGGATACAAAACACAGCTTAGTCTAACACATTATTTATACCAGGAATGGTACAGATTGTAACATATTAAAACCTGAACTATGTGAAGCCTGTAGGTTACCTGTAATGGGAGGTGGGCTGTGTGCTATTGTGCGATTCTCCTCAGGTGCCATCATGCTCCTTAGATCAGACTCGGCCACTGGAGGATGACAAACTAGGATCCTACAGGTATATACACAGCGCTTTCGAGCATCCAAAGTACTCCAGTACATCCTTGAACACCTGGAGAGACGAGAGTTTATTTAGTTTGACTCAATTACCTTCGCAATTTCAGTTTCCTCCGGCACTTAGATGTACTTTAATTGTGGAGACAATAGTAATGGTGGAACTTAAAATAGCAAGAGAAGACTTTCAGGTAAATTAAAAGGTAAAGAAAAAACACTTACTGGTACCCTACAGGGAACAGTTTGCGTTTGCAGTCTGAGAGTTCAGTCAGTATTCCCAAACAATCAATGGTCATGGAGCCTGCAATAATGGTGTTTAAATTTAGCATTTCAGTGGCACTGGGAGTAGGTCAAAGAAACAGTGTAACAGATGACACTTTAACCAACTGACATTTACTAGCAGTCAACCTACCGATCATCATGTGGACATTTTCAGGCTCCAGTCCTGCCAGCCACTTCCTCCTGAGACTAATGCCCTCCAGGTCCACTAGGATCCTGCGGGTCACCTCAAACCCAGACACCACCTCAAGAAAAAGAACACAAAGAAAGGTGAAGAGAAAATTAAGAATCAAGTCACAGTTCTTGACATGTTTCATCTGTACAAGAGAACTACTAATTTCTGCTTGGCATTCTTTTATATTCATTAACTAGCTATTGGATGTACAGTAAATAATGAGATTTCCTTACTTCTCCTTTGATAAGGTCCCTGTGCTTTGGACAGTAGACTTTCTTGTCTTCCAGAAAAACGCAGTGGCACTGGCGGGCACACATGAAGTGGTAGTTGCTGGTGCAAGAGGTGAGGCAGCAGCCAACTGTGGCCCCTGGCTTTTGACACTTCTCACAGCGCTGAACACAAAGTACAACGGGCTGTAAGTGTCTGTGCAATAAATGTACACTGGAAAGAGTGAGAACTTGTGAGGAACAAAGTGTCCTGTCTTACCAGCTGTTTTCCCCTGAGAACAGCCATGTGAACATTTTTCAAAGAGCCGTCATCATCTTCAAACACCTCAGCGGACCACAGGGCACAGTTCACATGGGCCCACTCATTCTGACCGATGTACAGCAGCCTGCCACCCTCCTGAAACATACAGAAATGCTGTGAGTGACACCAACTCGGCCTTATGAGTATGAAAGTAAGTTGAAACCTGTTACTGACTCACATTAGTGTTCTCGTCTCCATACTTCAGACACAGGACGCATTGCCTGTTGTCAGTGACACCTGGAGGGGGAGGGAGCTCTGGGCTGTCTTCACGATCTAAAGAGAAAACATCAGAGTTATAATTCATAAGGAAATCAATGATGTGCTAAAACAGCTTATATGCAAGTATTTAAAACATATCTGGGGTTTGTCTTACCAGGTAGGAGTGGGGGAGGTGGGGGTAGAGAGGGAGGGACTGCTGGAGGAGGGGAGGCTGGAGAATCTGGTTCACCAGGGGTCTTGGGCCGGGGAGCTGGGATGATCTTTTTCATGAGGTGGGGGTGCTCAGCACGGGAAAGCTCCTGTCTCTCCTGCCACTGCGCATAGTTGTGGTCCAGGGATGGAGGCAGCACAGCATTTGGGAGGAGCCCACTGCTGGGGAACAACAGCACACAGAGACACGATCAACTGACCACCTATTAGTAATAATATTGACTGGCTAATATGTGAAGTTGGGCTTGTATTATTGCAAAAGCCCTGGTGTAAACAACAGAGCAATACCACAGCATATCAAAATAACCACAGGCGTTATTATGTGGGTTTACAGCCTCAGTGAAGCCTAAGGACATGAAAAAGACTACAAGAGCACAACTTAGGCTTAAATCCGTGCGGTAGGGATTGTTTTACATCAAACTAACACTCATCACTTATCAGACCTCTGATTTATAGGCAGTATTATGCACTTCAAAGGAAGCTTCTGTGGCATCGGGTAGGGTTTTCCCATCAAGTTCAACAGATTAAAACAAGTGATGAGCTAATAGGAATTTTAAAAGGATCTAATACACATGTATGTGATCTTTAAGTATCCTTGACAGTCTATGGCTGATGTAGAATCGCTTCCTGCCTTCATGTAAGGTCACGTATTAACTAACAACAGGCAGGCAGTTTTCACAAAACAATAATTAAACAAATACTAAATGATTAAATCACAAAGAAAGTGCAACAGGTGTTGCTCTTTAAAAGAAAACATTTGAGATAAGTCTAACTAGCGTACAGATTATATACATGATCTAAGGAATTTTTTCCCCAAGATAAAAAATTCTTCTGAGCAGTTAGTGAGCAGTGACACCGGTAATAAATAACCACATCCAAAGAGTTTTCCCAAGTCAGGTTTTGCCAAGTCAAGCAAGACTGGGTAATTGGTGCGATGTGAAGTCTCACACTTAATAAGCCAGCAGACGCATCAGAAAGCAAATCCATCCAGTGATGGCCACAGGATCCGCTAGATGGATCATTGGTTTTCTGGACTGGCATACTGATACATAACGCAACAGAGCAAACTGACAAGTAAACCACAATTAGACCACAAATATGTATCAAAGAGCCTTCAAGTGAAATGTGACACTGTTACGGTTTGCCTCCCACAATGCCTGGAGGCGAGGCAGAATAAATGGTCTGGGAAAGCTGACAGCTAAATATACTGTAAGTGAGCGAGTGATTGAGTGAGTTAGTGAATGAGTGAGAGAGTGTGACTGAGTGTAAGTGTCAGAAAAATTCCAATACGCAGAGCGCTAAAACCTTACGATTTATTTACAAAGTCAAAGGCTCACATTGCTGCAGACAGTATCAGTGCCATTCCTTCTAATAATGTCACGAGATGAGCCTGCTATCTTTTAAACAGAATCAGTTATTCAGTATGATCATTTCATTAGTAATCCTTGTAAAGACATATACGCGAATCAATAATTAGTGACTTCCAAAAGTACATTTCTGAACTGCTCAAATATTGAAACAAACTGAAGCAACTGTGAGCTAATGGGAGTTAATTTCATTGAGCCTGTATTCTCTAGTCAATAAAGATGGCAGTAGATATTTTAAGAATCACACTGCTGTTATTCAGAGTGTATGGGCCCCTATAGTCACCACTAAGCTGTCCAGTGGGATAATTAAATCTGAGAAAATGTAGAACCAATTTTATTACTGCAGCTTTAAAGTCCCTCTCAGGTCATTGATTAAACCCCTAAAAACTCACCTCTGTGCATCAGAGTTTCATATTTAGAAGTTTTCCCATGAAAATAATCCCTCACTGCCTTAAAGTGGCGTAGCTGTAACTCTACACCATTGCTTCCTTTAGAGTGAACGGATTAATGAAATTCCTGCCTTTGCGTTCACCTATCCCTTCCTACTCACTGCAGCTAGAGCAAACCAGCTCACCTACTATTCTGCTTGAATCTACTGTGCACTACAAAATGGCAAATTGTAAGTACTGGAGTATACACATTCTAACTGGAAATTGATTCCGATGAGTAATAACCATATGGAATCACTGCAAACTGACAGGATTGGTTACTTTGGTTTATTACATACAAAACCCTGGAAGTCTAAATCCACGGTTATCAGTACAGGGCAATCTCAAGGAGAAAATGCTCAGTCATTGTATTGACTGCTTATTCCCCTCATGATACATCTTCTAGCACCCTATAAGCACCATATGGACATGATAGCAAGGTTAAAAAAACAAACAAACTTGATTTCAATGGTCACTGTTGTGCAATAAGGTATGTTGAAAGATAAACACAATGATTTGTTAAAAGAGTCCCTTTCAGTTTTTGAGAAAGCTTTTTAGTTGCAATTCCCACAGCAGAACATCTTGCAGCTTTAAAGATTTCCTTTACCACTCAGAAAGATAAAGTGACTATCATATGACATCCTGATCTTGCCCCTTGGCTGTTACTTCCACTAAATATCTCAGAGTTTGTTGGTACAGACAACCCACACATTTTCTAAATATTAGTTCGCTGCTTTCTGGTTCCCTCCTATATACGGATGATGATACAGCTTCTACCAAAGAAACCACATCTTACTCCTCATTTCAATAATTATAGACCAGCAGATCTTGAAAACTACAGTTTTCCAAGCTTTTTGAACAGGCTCACATTACAGGAGTATTAAAGTCAAATTTTCTTCTCTGTAATTACAAACATAACTTGCGCTACAAGTTTAGAAAGTAATGGCACCTCACACACACTTCACAATATTATTAAAACTGAAGGCGCTGTCTGCTAAGAGGCCCTGCTTGAGTATTGATTTAGTTCATATTAGTCTGAGCTTTCATTTGAGCTTTTTTTTTTGCACTTTTGTTTGATTTTAGGGTTATACTTTAAAGCCTTGAAATTAAAGTAAAATTTATACGCAAACTGCTAAAAGTGATGCACGTACCTAATAAAAAATCTAAAAATGACATTATAACACTGTAAAAGTAGTCTAAAACCAACTTAAATACAAACAATGGCTTTTGTAACACTCAGACACAGAACACTATCTCGTTCCATAATCTCTTGCATTTTCTATGATGCAACGGACACTCACTTGGCAGAGACTTTTTGCCTTTCCCAGAACCTGGACTCTTTTACTTTGAACCATGGGAAGATCCGGTCCATTTGCTGAAATAGAAAACATTTAGTGAAGTTTACAAATCAGCCTATTCAAGCACTTGCACAAACCTGCATTTGGGCGGAGATGGTGGTTAGTGATAGTGTCATAACGTAAGCAAGTTACTCAATGAGCAAACCAATCAGAAGATGAAGAAAATTCCTTTTTTTTTCTTGTGTGCATGTAAAATAAGGTTTCGTATAACCTATAAACAACAGATAAACTGTCTGATTTGACCTAAAAGTGTAGAGATGCACTATTGTCATGGTGGACTTCATGAACTGCATTGTGCTTTTATTGAGTTTCAAGTGGTGCTGTGAGACTTGTGTTGATTTGAGATTCTTACCCGAATAAAGAAAGATTTCACCATGCTGTTGGCTTTCCTGCTCTCAGGCTGGCCTCCGTCACCGTTGATGGCTGTCTGAATGATTCGCACGATGTCATCACTAAACTCCATCTGGGGAAGAAATGATGAACACAAATGACACACACACATAACTGTTAAAACAGTAAGTGATGATGAACATTGGACATTATTGTGGCATCCATGCTCATTTACCATCATACAGCACTGTTCTAACCATGGATTCAAGAAAATACTGAACATACAATAACGAAATCTGCGATGAAACATCTTTTAGAGAGGATTTTTTCAAAATAGAAAGTGCTTTGAAAGTGCTTGTGATGGTATCTGAACTAACCCCCACTACATCAATCCTGCATTAAATCAGCAGGACAGATTTGCTAAGGAGATATTTACCCATGGCTAGCTTGCATAGATGGGTCCTATCCCTGAATGAATGTACGGGCTCGTAATGCAAGAATTCTTTTGTGTTTTGTGGCAGACAACACACTTCTCATATCGTTTCTTGAATCTGCAGCCGTTCCAGTCTGTGAGAATAGCAGAGATGCTGAAAGCAACAAACTTACCAATGAATTGTACCGGCCTTGATCCATCTTTTTCTCAACAGACTCCAGGTCTGGAGGGCAGTCACTGGGAGGTGTCGGGGTGACTTCGGTCAGGACGGGAGGATCTGGGCCCTCTGGGGAACGACGGGATGGAAGACTCTCCTCTGTCTCTGGATTCAGCTCTGGAGGCTTCACCGCCTGTCCCAAAAAGCAGAGAATAAAGCTCACACCAATATTGTTCACTCAGCTGAGGTTGCAGCTGTTTGTAACAGAATCTCTTTGTATATTCATCAATATTTACTCTGCATTCATAATTAAAATAAAAAATGAATGAGCATTAAATGACACTGTAATTTCAATCTAATAAAAATTCCAATGTTCCTGTTTGCAATATGGTAACACTGGCAAAGAATCAAAGCCATTTGTAAGCGTGTATCTGACCTGTCTGTAGCGTAACAGGTGTGTGGATGTGCGTGAGTTGAGCAGTGCAGTGAGGACATGGCGAATGCAGCCCTGAAGCTCCCTCTCCAGCGCTGTCCTCCACTCAGCTGGATGGCGTTCAGTACATTTGCTACACGTGTAGACAACACTCTCTGGCAGCTTTGACAGCAGTTCGTACATTTCATCTGAGGGACAGCAAAATGACAGGTCATTATTGCTACCATTATTAGGTTTCAGCATCTCATCTGCATGACAGCGCTCACAGCACAGCCTGTCAGTCATCTGCTAAGACAGTGACAACTGACAAGGCAAATGATGTGCAACAAGCTGCTAAAAACTAAATACAGCGCTCCACTTGAGAAGCGCGTACAGCAAACTTGTGTTTTATTATTACCTTCCACAGCACGTGGCTCTTATGGGGCTTACTAACCTGTAAGATTCTCACACTTGGCATGGACCCAGTGGTTGCATCGGCCACACTCCATCATCTTGCTGTCATAGTCATCATCATCATAGCACTTATCACACAGTGGGCAGAAGTTCCCTGAGAGAGAAGATGATAACAAGCACAGTAAGCTTTGATCACTTACAATATTGCTTCCATTAAAATGTTATCCTTTAATTGGCTGTCACGTTGTTGAAGTAAATGAAGACTTCTAAGTCTTCAAAACACACATCCATCTCCTTTAATCACAGAAAGAATAACGCTGCTTAACAGTGAAGAGCATTTTGGACTCCACATGCTGGTCGCTCACCTTTAGCAAAGAGTTTGGCACAGTCATGACACATGGAGAAATCATGTGACCACTGGGCATCCCAGGACTTCCCAGGTTTAGTGGCTCCACAACTCTTACAGCGCACACACTTGGTGCAAACCTGAAAAGGAAGAACACATAAACAAGATCATGACTACAGGGCAGAGAGTAGAAGAGTAGAAAGACTTAGTATATTAGAAATGGTGTGAAAGTGACTCTATAACAGGAGCAAAATGTTGTCACGGACACTGCCTGTGAGAGGTCCCATGAATGTAAATCGCACAATTTGAGAAAACGGATAATGTGTGAACAAAGGGAAGGGTAAAAGAAAAATGTGAGAGCATTATGCAAAAGTTTGGTCAGGCAGTGGTGCAACTGTGATATTTACATAAAGGCAAGAGGGTAGAGAGGATGTTTAAAGGAAGAGTGGTGTGCAACCATACCCAGACTCTCTTCTTCTTGGTGGGTCTGGTAGGGTGGTTGGGACCCAGGCACTCCGGGTGATAGCTGTTGCGGCACTTATCGCACTCTAGCAGCTGCTGCTACAGTGAGAAAGACCAAAAATGATATGAGATTCTGTAAATAGCATTTTAGCCACAAATATGTCACCTGGTTTTAATCTGTGATTTTAGTATTTACTTTTACCAATCAGCGTGACTTTGAAATGAGTGAATGAACAAGGCAGATGCAACAATTTAAAACATGATTAGTGTATCTAAGATTTTATGCAGAGATTTAACTACTGTGCTTCCCCCAGTTTATTATCGTTTGCATTCATAGTGAGTGTCATGGATGGATGGACATCGTTATCAAAGGCATTACGATGAAGCTATAATGTGAGCTGTATAGAGCTGTGCTTGGCAGGGTTTGTAGACAGCCACTTAGTGGCAAGTGCAGTCAAGGTTTTCTTGTGGCTTTGGGTCAACACAATTAGCCCAGGCAAAGCCTTTACAACATATAGTTAATGTGCTACAGTACTGATTTCTTACTGCAAACCATTAGCCACTCTGCCGTTCATAAATACTAAGAATAAAATGTCATGGACATGTTAACAACTGCTTCATGAGACTTCCACTCAATATTTGTCAAGTAATTATGCATTGCTTAATGTTAAGTAGAAGTTTTATGATCGCACAGCTTAGAATATCTGTGATATGATGTATCTGCAACAGCCTGAGACGCCAGTGGCCTCACCAGGAGCTGAGATTTCAGGCTTTTAGCTCACACTCCTTTGTGGAATCAGAGTGCCAGAGACCTGCTGGTGTTTAGTCAGCTCCCAGGTCAGAGATAAAAGCCAATCAAAATAATAAATTGCCTTATGCTCTTTGGGTGGGGATTTTTCTTTTTTTTTAAAGAACTCTTCGCAAAGAAACTCCCTCGCATTACCCTCTGCTTCTGCAATTGAATGACCAACCATTTTACAGATCTTACTAGCCAATAAAAGCACTTGATTGTGTTCCTTAGACCAAATACGCTCATACCTAATTCTAAAATGACAACCATACAAGGCTCACACCATGCACATTTTACACAGGGCTTGAGTTAAATAATAAAAGCATGGCAGGGATCCAAGAAGCTGATTAAATGCTGTCTGCTGGCAAGGCTAGCAAGCTTCTTTCTAGGGAAGATTCTTCAGTCTTTACACACTGTGAGTCTGAACTAAGCTTCTTTTGTGTACAGCTTTAAATTGTACACAACGGTACTGAATGGCTTACTTTAGTTTTCTGGTGCTGGCGCCCACAGGCCTGGCAGAATCGGCATCTTCGGCAACACCAATTCTCAAACTGCTCCTGGAGAGGGCGCTCTGACTCCCCCAGGCAAAAGAGATGAAACGGTTCACAGCATACCTGGCAGAACACAAACTATGGACAGAAAAAGGGAGAAACAGCACAGAGAGAAAGAGAAGAAGAGAAACAAAAGTGTTAGAATATAAGTTTAACAACTGATCTGACAAAAGGGAACTTTAAAGCCAAAGTTTTTATAACAACAACCATTTTTACCTCAACATTTCCACTACTTGCACATAGGAAGCAGAGCACCCTGGGTGTGACAGGCACAGAGGTGAGCAGGCTGAGGCCACCAGCCTCCCACACCTTTTCCACATCATGGTCCCTCTTAAAATCCACTCTGATACGATGCACTCCGTCGCAGGGCGCTCTGGACTTTACCTGGCCCCTAGTCGAGGGAGTGCTCAGCCAGTTTAAAGTACTGCTGCTGGGGGGTTTAGTGGTCAGCGGCTTCTTTTGTTTATCAGACAAGAATGGAGAGGAAGAAGACGGTGAATATCAGAAATTATACAGTAAAAACCCAAGTTTTGATGAAAATAATGTGGAAATAAACAACAAAAATCCTTTGCAGTGTCTTCTTACCTTGTCTTTTGGTCTGTGTTTGGTAGGTGACAGAGGAACAGAGCGAGAAGTTTGCTTCTTCAACTGTTTTGTTTCAACTATGAAAAAGAAACGGGATATCACATTTAAATAGGATGAAGTTAAGTTCTGCTCAGCCATTTTTGATTTATGTAAAACTTTTTCTATCATAACCTATAAATATTTAAAATGGTATCTGTTCAGATTTTAGAGTGATATATCAAGTGCTTTGCGAGATCAGTTAGTGAGACATTGTCATTCAAACATTGTCTCAATTGTCAATGTGGGAAAACATTTACTGAAAGTGGGTGGACAGGCATTTTTGCAAAATCTAAAAAAGTTTTTGATATATCAAGCTAAAATTTCCCAGATGTCATTATAAATATCTATGTCTTATGCTATAAAAATTTCAGGCAAATCAGAGGCGGCCAAACAGAAGTTGTTCGAAAAGGATGACGATTCTCTCACCTGGATCTGAAATTGTTGTTGATGAACTTTGCTGTTGTGATGAGTGCTGCTGGGGTTTCTTCTTGGGTTCGCTCAGAGAAATCTTGGGTGAAGCATCTTTTTTTGAAGGTGCCTGACTAGAAACTGGCCTTTGCTGCTGTTGTAATGGTTGGTAAGATTGCGTTGACTGGGATGGGGAATTCTGGGCTGAAGAGGACGAGGAGGAAGAAGATGAGGATGAAGAAGAAGATGAAGTGGAAGAGGATGACGTGGAGGTGGAAGCTGACACAGGCTGCTGTGGTTTGTGTCCCTTTTTGCTAACGACACTGCTCGTGACTGAGAGCTGTTTGGGGTCCGGTGTCAGGGCTGGAGACTGAGCCTGGGCTGTGACTGTGCTGGGTGCCTGAGAGGGTTCGTCTGGTTCAGAGGAAGATGCAAGGGCTGGAGATGATTGCTTCGACAATGGCTGCTGTCTTGACTTCTCCTCTCCCAGCTTTAGTGGAGGAGTTTCACTCTTTTTACGAGGAGGCTCCTCCTTTGATGGAGCAGGAGAAGTTTTGGGGCCAGACTCTGAGTTTGGTCCTTTCACCAGAGTAAGACCCTCTTTCTTCTCAGACAGCTTGTTCCTTTTCTTATCTTTCTTGCCTTTGCCCTGCTTTTGAAGAAACATTTTTGAGGGCATCCACTGCAAGTTCTGACACTTTCTCATCCTGCAAGACACAAATTTTACGTTAATTTCTTTAAAATTCCAACAAAAATGAATTAGTTTCAAAATGTTATTCAAAATTTACTTTACAATGGCAAAAATTAATTGTTACAAACAGCTCATCAGCTAAGACTCACTTGCAGCATTGCTTTTTAATGTTTCGTCCTCCAAACTTAGGCTTGTCGAGACAGTTAGTACACACGCCACAATCTTCTGGAACCTGGCAGCCTGAGCACTGGCCACAGCGGCGTGACCGACGCCCTTTCTTAGGGGGAGCTTCTTGAACGGACTTTTGTCGTGTCTCCCGCGGCTTTATAGGAGGGGACTGAGGCTCTGCCTCTTCTGAGCCCGCTACTGATGACTTGTCTGTAAAACAGATCCATCATTGACATGTCATTATAATTGACAAATTTCATCCAAATGTACAATACTTTTTTTAAACAAATTAACCTATTCTGTCAGTGGTCTAACAAATGTAAATCTTGGATTCAAAAGTTGTTTTCAAAATAATAAAACTGGACACAATGGACGCCTCAAAATTTGGCTAAATCTATGAAAAAACAGATCAACAACAATACAGTTTTTTCAATTGAAAGAAACTAAAGAAAGAAAATAATGATTTTAGATATATTTGCATAAATTCAATGCGACACATACGTGCCAGATGTACAGTCTTGTTTAGAAATGGCAAACATGGAATAATAACTAAGATTGTGCTCTTAACTTTAAACATGTCAAGCTCTCCAGCCTCATGAAAATTCACATGTCGCAACATGACATGAAACCAGTCAAAATAACAGGAACAGCCAAACTCCTCTCACTCCATCACCACTCTACTGTGTATTTGTGTTCCCATTGATGACTAGATTTCTCTTCTCCTGTGATTAGTCTGTCATCATCACATGCTGCAGAACATTTTCAGGACTTGCACAGATGTTGTGTTATAAATAACAAATGTTTAACTCAGAGTGCTCTGTAAGTCAGAGTGCTTAACACTTTATGTGTAAACACATCATATCACCAAAATATCTATGTTGAACAGCAGTGGTACAGAGGCTCTTACTAAAAATAGTTTTGTGCAAAGTGTCCTGATAATCCTAATAATGTGTACTTACTTTTTTCAAGTTTACTCATTTTTACAAATTGTTTTTGAGTGCTTTTTCTGTACTGCAAATGAGTAAAACTGTTACAATAAAAGATAGGGAAGACATATTGACCTGGTGATCTATAACATCTGATAGTACTATAACATATGTATACAAGCCCATTATTCCATTTAACTTAACACTTTATTCATCCCTAAAGGGGCAGTTGGAGGCAAGCAAATCTGTGCATTATCACTGCCTAACCATTATCATGTTAAAACTGGCAATTATGACTATTATATTATTATTCCACCCTAGGCAATTCAGCAAACTTTAACAGCCAAGCCAGAAGGTAAAAACCCATTAACAAGTCCAACGAGAGGTAAGTTCAGAAAGCCTTACCATCGTTCCCCATAGAAGATAGGATCTTCTCTCTCTCCTCCCAGGGCAAGGCACTAAGTGTGGGCATGTCATCAGGAAACACTGCCCGATTACGGCCAAGAGCCACAGCTGCACGCCGGCATACGTGCTTGATGCGAGGACCACGGACTGAGGCCTCTGACGAGTCACTCTCCTGACCCTGTTCAGCACACACCACCACAAAAAGTACAACAAATATTTGAAGAGCATATTAATAACAACAAATACACAGACAAGCGCACACCACCTGAAATGTACAACAGAAAAATCACTTTCAGATGTTGCTTGTGTCCTTGGGATGTTAGTTTTATTTGTTGTGAATGTTTCCCTGAACTAAATAAAGCTCTTATCCCTGAGCAGTGTGCAACAAGGATGAGCATGATGATGAGGTGGCAGAGGAGGGCTGAGATGGGTTCAGGCAAATTTTCTCTTCAAAATGTGCAATGCCTGTCTATAAACATCGAATCTTTAAATTAACAGAAGAAGAACAGAGAGTAGAACTGTCTGTTGAAGGGACAATACTTTCAAAAGCACAGTCAGTGCTGCTTTCTGCATAATGTATGAAGCGAACAGAATTCCCCTTAAGTAACACCCTCTGTGGGACTTTCCGCTTATCAAATTTCAGTCTGAGTACAAACACAGGTTTCTATTTATAGCAAATATTCATAGCATCATGTCAAAGTCACTTGCTTGTGGCTATATGATGAGAATGAGAGAACCAGAGAAGCTCTTTGTTGAGACTCAAAATCTATGAAGGCAAGATATGAACAGGAAAACTAACCTGGACCTTGGTCTGATCAGCAGGCTTCAGCTTATTCTTCTTTATCTCAAAGAGCTGGGCTTTAGCCTTCTTCAGTAGTCCAACTACCCGCTTGTCAGTCACAGGATGTTTCTCTGCTTGTGCCAACATCGATCCAAGAGAGGAGACAGGGAGCTGTTGTCTGCCTGGCTGCCCTGGAAGGCTTGGTGTCTGCTGGCTAGGAGTACTTCGCTTCTCTTTCTCCTTCTCCCCATCCTCACTCTCTGCTCCTTTCTCAGAGGGTCTGCCTTTCTTAGGCAGACGTCCTTTAGCAATGGACACGGGAACAGTGGAATGGAGCCCACGCACGTCTGAGGAAGTAGTGTCAGAAACCATGTCAACTGATGTTGATTTTTTTCTCCCTGGAGCCTTTTTTGGAGCAAGAGATAAGAGAGCACCTTCTGAGTCCCTCCCATCCACAGTAAACAAGCTGGAAGGTGCACTGGGGGAGCCATCTGGTGTAGAAACTTTACTTCTTTTCTCCAGGTCTTTTCTCCCTTCCCTCTTATTTTCCTTCTCTTTCTCGCGGTTTTTCTCAGAATCCCTTTCTTTTTCCTTTGAAGCAGGTTCCTGGGGAGCTGACAAGCCTTTTTCTTTGCCTCCTTTGCCAGCTCCTCGCCCTGTGTCCTGGGCACTGGAAGGAAAGATGGGGAAAAGTGGGGAAGAAGCAGATGATGTAGTTGACATAGGAGGTGGGTTTCCAGTGGCCCCTCTTCTGTTATCAGGTGTTCCTTGTGAGGCCATACTCCGCGATACAGTGGAGAAGGTGCTGAAAGAAGCAGGTGTTAAGGCACTAGTGGCTAGTGGACTTGAAGAAACCCCTGGCAAAGAGCTGGAGTTACTACTGGGGACAGACCCTGCCAGCACAGACATCTCAGAGGCACCTTTCCCCACAGATATCTGGCCTCCTATTTGGCTGCTGCGTCTGGTCATTGAGTGGGATGGAGAACGTGGGTGGCCACGTAATGTTCCCGAAACCAGTCGTCTCCTGCGCCGCGACGTTCTGCTGGAGCTAGAGGATGTCTGGTGTGGGGAGAGAGACCCAGGGCTGCTTCCAGATGATGACTGCAAGGTAACAGACTCAAATATCCGAGAGTGTGCCTCACTGGGCGTAAAGCGTGGAGCACGAAGCAACGGGCTGCGCTTTTGGATTGGTGCATCAAAGCGGGATGATGAGGGATGTTGATGGTGGGTGTGTGGGTGCAGAGGGGCAAAGAGACGAGTCCCTGTTCCTGCTCCGCTGCCTGGTGCTGGAAATGCAACTGGAGCAGCTCCCCCTCCTCCACTAACACCTTGGGGCAACAACCCCACGTCTTCAGGTGTAAGAGGGGGAGGACGGAAATTGTCGAATATGGGCTTGCGAATGAGGCCCTCCTTGGCATATTTAGCAGAGGAAAAGTACTGCTGTCTAGGGTGGGACAGGGATGTCCAGCGGAAGGTGGGCTCTCTCAGAATTGAGCGACTTCGTTTGTCTGACAAGCTGGACAGCACTGACGGTCCAGGCAGGAATGGTGGGATGGGGTGAGGCATCCAGGATGACTGGGGGTGGTGTTCACTGATAGCAGTTGTATTGGAGGAACCTGACTGGGGAGGTTGTGGAGGGGTCAGGAGGGGGGGAGGTGGAGGTGAGGAAGAGGAGGAGGCTGTGGATGAAGCTTGCTGGGAATTTACAAGTGTAGAGGAGGACATCAGCACTCCTGTAGGTGGGCTGATGATCGGCTTTTTGGCCCCAGTGGTGAGAGTCTCTCTCACCCTCTGTTTCTGACTTCCCCGGCCAACCCCCTGTCCTCTCCGGCCTCGTCGACTCCTCTCGGCCAACACGTGCTCTGGCTCTGGTTCAGAGGGAGGAGAGGGAGGCCGCGAGCTGTGCAACAGGTTGGCCTCCCTCTCTCCTTGTGAGGACGGAGAATGATCCTCTGGCTCTGACAAAGCCTGCGTGGCCTCAGAACCCTGGGAGTCGCATGATGAGTCATCCAGGCTTGGACTGCTAGACCTGGAAGACTCTGCAGAGGAGAGCTGAGAGGAATGCTGTGACACAGCACTTGAACCGCAAGATGGCGCGCTACTGCTAAATCGCCCGTTGGCTGCATTGTTGGTGTTATTGTTGAGCAGACTAGCAGCTGCTGATGGAACCGTGGGGATAGGGGCAGGAGATGGAGGAGGGGGGAGGGAGTCAATTGGAGCAGTGGTACCAGTGCTAGTAACAGCAGATGTAGAGGAGACAAGTACAGGAGAGGGGGATGAGGAGGTGGTGGAGGCGGGTTGGGCAGATGTGGAGACAGATGAGGTGGTTGTTTCTAACCGTGCCATCTTAGTATGGGGTGGTGGTGTTCCAAAACTGCCCTCATCTTCAATGAAGCGTTTGGGAGTTTTGATTATGCGAAGGGAGACAGTGCTGACTACAGGCATGATGAATTGCCTGATGTTCTTTAGTTGGGTCTTTCTGATTCCAGCTTCAATGGTACCTGCCCCACTACCCCCAATGGCTACAGCTTCTTTCTCCAGCCGCTTCTGCGCTCCTTTCTTAGCACGCTGCAGCAGCTGTTTAGCAATGGTTGCATCAGTGCGTTTAGAAGGGGGGACAATTCTAACAGGCTTTCGATGGCGAGGACTTTTTCTGAGGCCCACTGTCCTGCCTGGCTTGGAGGGAGATGGTGAGGCAGGTGGATTGGAAGAGTCCTGGTCCTCGGCACCATCCACATTCCTCAGTGAGGACTGCTGAGGTGTGTGTGATTCTGTGCCTCTGTCCCCACCCCTGACCCTAAAGGCCTTATGTTTCCCTTCCCCACATTCAATGGAGGTAGACAGCTGTGCAGCAGCAGCTGCTGCTGCTGCTTCAGCTTTGAGTCGCTCAGCTGAGGGCGGTCGCCCACGTCTGCGTCGGGGTACACCAGGTAAAGTCTTGAGGCGTGACTTGAGAGGGTTGAGTTTAGTCTCTGTTAGCCTCTTCAGGTTGGTAACTTTGGATTCACCCCGTCCACCTTTGGGAGGCTTTCCCTCAGTTTCATGTGGCTGAGCAGAGCCCACTGGCAGTCTCTTGGTGCCTTTTCTGTCTTTGTCCTCCTCTGTGTCCACGCCCAACTCAAACCCACCCTGCCTACTGTCTTCCCCTGCTGCATGGCTGCCTGTACTCCAGGCTTTCTTGCTACTTGAAGAAGGAGGTCTGCCTCTTCTCTTTTCCCCAGAGCCTGGTGGCCTCCCAGGCAGTCTTCTCACCTTCTCTGCTGGCCTTTCAGGGCCCTCAGAGTTTGCCTGTGTAGGGGAGGGAAGGGACGAGGGGGAAGGTAGACTTGCAGCAGCTTTCTGGGCAGTCAGGGCACGTGGGGGACGGCCTCTGGGCTTCTTCTCCTGTATGGGTGGGCCTGCTGATTCAACCAGAGAACAAAACAGAGGGCATTTATTTAGCATGGAAGCATTAGACATAGACAACTTATACTCTCATATTTATGTCAAGATAACTGTAAGGTCCCTGATGACCACATTTCTTTTCTTTTTACCTGAAGAAGTTGTTGAAGGGCTGTGTATTTGCTTCTGTTCAGCAACTGTTCCAAATCCTCCAAATGCTTCTTCCTACAAAAAAAGGAGAGAAAACATTAGTATTTTGTAACCATACAATTTTTGTCATGCCAAAATACATGAAAAAGCAATAGTTGGTTAACAGGTCACATTTTTAGCATCCATCATAGTGCATAATTGTCAGATGGCCTAGATGTGCAACACTTGAGTCATTGTTGAAGTCATACTCAGATGAAAACCAAGGCCTAAAGGCTATAATGATGTGCTCAATCTCACTTTCACCTCTGGCTTACTCCAGTGCTCTCATGTTTCTCTGGCTTGTGGAATGACATGTCTGCAGTTGGAGAAGACTCAAACCACAACAGACAGTTTGAATTGCGAACATCTAAATCTTATTGGGTGACTAACACTTAGCACTACACTCCTGCTCCCAAATGGAATGATAAAATGCTTAGGTGGTTAGTAATAAAATGCACCTATATAGACAGCAAGGGCAAAAACAGAAAACAGAAAAAGAGGCCTAAAGTCTAGACCCACATGAGCAGCCCTGTGAAAGTATAATGCCCATTACACATCAGCTTACACCTTTTCAGCTAGAGGTGCAAAAAGTCTTAAGTGTAGCTTGGGGACAGCAACAGACCAAAGGTTATATTGTTACCTAAATGTGGAGGGTTGTTGGATGTTGAAACACTGAGCATGCTACATGTTGCTATGCCAATGTCATCCCTTTAAATGTAACATAAATTGACTTAGAAAGTCAATGAGATAAATATTTGCCATGTTTTCATGACATGCTAATAATCTGTGATACTTCACTTACCAAACTGCTAACATATTTATGTTCTCTGGGACTTTATTTCGATGGTTCAAAAAATTCTATGTGCCACTGTAGATGTAACATGTACAGACTGTACATCAATCCTCCCTTTCATGCCTCAGCAGAGCCCTGAGATGTGCAAAGGAAAAATCACCAGTGGATGATTAACATCTTCAGGATCCTCTGTGTGCCACTTACTTCTTGCAATCAATGTGTTTAAGAGTGGAGGTGAGTATGTCATTTCATCATGTTTATTTATAGCAGCATGTGGGGATGCAGTTAAGGTTTTGTTGGCCCAGTTTGTAGAGCAGCTGCTATCCAAGTGTGTGCACACGACTGCATGCAAACTGATTTGCACCAGCTAGGAGTTACACACATCCCAATATGAATAACTGATACCTTAATGTGCCTGACACACATGCACTGTAGAATCTAATGGCAAAATACAAAAAGCGTTAATGCGTGCTGCAGAACTGTCTTTCATCTGTTCTACATATAAACAAATAACAATAACAGACAGTCAATACTGCTGTTTATCCTGGCAGGCTATATAAATCTGAGCATCCTACACTCCTCATAGTGCATTCGAGCATCTTTTTCTTTTAACGCTTCTCTCTCCACTTTGTCCCTCTCTTCACAGCGATAGCAGCATCCTCTTCTCTCTGAGCAAGCTGCTGCTCTTGGTTGGTGTTGTTGCAGAGCTGAGGGGGGCGGAGTACCAACGGACGGCACTGACTCGCTGTGATAGTGTGAGTAGCAGTCAATGACATCACAGCATGCTTTGCTAGAGGCAAGTGCGTAGAGCAGACTGCACAAATACATGTACCCGCACACGCATACATGTGCACATGTACCATCACACAAACGCCTCCCAGTCGTACCCGCGTATAGAGGGAAATAAAAGAAACACACCCCCTGTGCGTGAACTGCACATCAAGATGTAAACAAGCAGAACATAAGAGTGAGGATGCGGGGGAGGGGAGCACAGGCAAGGCAACTAGCAAACCAGGGTGAGGAAAGGAGGAGGGTTGTGGGAGGAGGGAGAGGAGGAGAGAAAAAAAGAGACAAGGAAGCAGCATCTTGACCACATGCACCATCAACAACAGAGGGTGCGCATTTGTCTCTAGGGAGTACTGAGGATGAAAGGGGTTTGGGTTTTCAACATGCTCGTGCAGAAGCTTGCCAAATCCCAATCTAAACAGGCCTCCCACACACGACAAGGCTCCCCTTTCCTCCCCCTTATTCCTGCTCTCTGCCATGCTCCCAAACACATATTCAGTCACTCACTCATTGCTTGCTCGCTCGCTTCCCGCCCACTGGCTGCCAAGCACTGAGCAGCAGCGTGTGAAACACAAGGCTCACCATGAGCTCAATAGTAGGGCAGGCACAAGGAGGTAACTTCAAGAAGTAAACAAACACTGTAGTAGACTACCGAGGTAAGGTTCGTGTACTACCTTGCAACTTGCAAGAGATAAGGTTACTGGAAAGACCTCAGTTTCCTTTTTCTCCTTGCTATTTTATCTCTTCAGCTGAAGAGTGCTCTTCATCTTTCCTTGCTTTTGCTGTCACTCTCACCATGAAATCCAAAGCAGTTTTACTTCCTGCTGGCCTGTCACATCTCATTTAACTGATCAGTGCATACATTACTTGATATAAATCACTAAAAGCTACAGAGAAGGAAATCTGATTCATTGTGGAAGCAACATTATTATTTCCTGGAGGTGCTAGGGACTGTCCCTGACAGTTAAGAGACGAATGTGAATTTGGTTTGAGGTGCATTTCTCTGTATCATACTGACAGCAGTTTTGCACTCCGAGAAAGCTAATGGGACTTTTATTGTCTTTCAAGATAGCATTTAGAAGAAATCAAACTGACTGCAGACAATGGGCTGCAGAATGGAGATCTGCTTCTGAGGTGAGGTAAACCCCAGCTTTGATCTAGAAAAGTTATTCCTTGCAAAAAGAGGTGCTTTCCAAAGTACATAATTACTTTGGATTAGTTACTCAACTATAGCATCCCTGACTGTGTAAAACAGGACAAACTAACCACCTATATTAGCACTTGTTAGTGAGACTTACAGTTGTAGGCTGCAAGTGTTCCTAAAAGCTGTGATGCCTAACAACAAGTCTGAAACTGGGTACAATTGAAGAGGCACAACCAGATAAAATCAGAAAGCAGAAAACAAGAACATGCTGATAAAGAAAAAAAAACTCCTTTCATGATCAGCTGATCGTGTTGACAACAAATTATTGACTCAGATAGTCTGCCACAGCTATCTTAATTGACTGAAAACTAGGGCTGGGCCATATCATACCGTGCACGGTAATACCAGTGTAACGTTAGGGGATGATATAAAATTGAAATATCTCAATAAAATTTGAGTGAAACGCGCATGCGCAGTGCCATTGTTTTTGTCCAGTCTAATGCACATGAAGCGAGAAGCATGGCAGCGACCGAGGAGGAGGGTGAATGCAGTGCATCGACCGACACAGTAGGGCTGGACCCAAATATCGGAACATTCTTTCGTTGTGATGGTTTCTGCAGCTCCACATAGCAATTTTGAGATCCGAATATTCACCTGCCACTCGCCACTATCCTCCACCCCCCCACCACCAAAGAAACTGGCTGCAAAGTTTTACGTTGCAAAGCAACTCTACTTTACTTTTGAGGATACTAGGCATTGTTATGCTCAGGATTTGTAAGCCCATTTCCATTTGAAATGCCTTTTGATTAAACAAATTGTCAGCAAACAATTTACAACTTATGCAATATTGATTTTGGTACAATATAGCTTTAATGCACATCAAAAACAGCTGCTTGCTAAATGGAAACAAAACTGTTCTTTTTTTAATTTGCACCAATAAAGTTGTGCAGTTTTAAAGTATTTTGTCTAGCGTCAATTATATCGTCAGTTATATCATTACCGCAAATTTTCTCATTTATATCGTGATAAATATTTTTGGCCATACCACCCTACCCTACTGGAAACATTAGGGAAGTCGCATGAAGTTCATATAGCACAGCAAAAGGAAAGAGTATGAAGCCTGAGAGGTCAGGGGGCACATGGCTGGACATTTGATGGGTTCATTTCCCACCTCAAACTAGAAGCCAGTGCTAGCCTTTACAAAATTGAAGCATGACCACAGTGTCCTTGTAATCTTTGCAAACTGATTTTAGTTGCCTAACTGTGTGATCAAGACTTAAGTATTCAAGTTCTAATTTATTATGTCTTTTTTCCCCAAATCCAACTGAAGTGTACAACTGCATTACCATTAAGCCAAGATATCAAACCTTAACCAGAGCCAGTCACTAAATTAATCATCTAGCCATTTATTGTGTTGTTTTAGAGTAGAGATAAATGTATGTCATCACAACAGTGTTTCGAACCATCTTCCTAACAAACCGAAACAAGAATATATTCACATAATTTAAACTTTTGGTCTCATTAGCTAATCTCACTGACACCATCAATATGGTGGTTTCACAGTGAAAGCCTGCCGATGTTTTCAAACAGCGTGGTTGGTCAGTGTTGTTGAATAAACCTGAACTGTAATAAAGAGATAAAATAATTCAAACATTGTATGGTCTAGAGAACACTCACAATGCACAGCACTGATAAATTCATTGCCACATTTTGTAGCAAGCACATCAAGATCTTATTTGAAAAACTAACCACTACTGATGCAATCGCTGAATTCTTCAGTCACAGTTTCATCATAGTTTATTACTGATGTTACTGCTGCTTCTGTATGTTCCACTCGATTTGTATAAAAAAAAAATAATGGGACCTCAAGGCATTGCTTTTCACAGGCTGCACGTAAGCTGAGCCAACAGCTCTGTGCTACAAGTGGTATTGTATTATTGTGAATTTTAAAAAAGAAAAAAAAAGATTATGTTGAATCACACCGTTTCAGATAAAACAATGATTGCTTTTGCACTGATTTGACAATCATGTATATGACAAAATCTTTGATGGGAGAGTGCAAATAAACCATGTGGAGAAAAAAAAAGATCAAACTTGCCATTGACTGGGGAAGAAAGTGGATAACAAAGCATTGTTTGTGCTTTTTGCCTTGAAGTTACTAATTTTTTTTCTTCAAGATTCAGCGTGTAGAATTCAGTCGCTTCAAGCAGTGAGATTGCAGAGTGCAACCAACTGAATACTCCTCGCATCATCCCATCTAAAAAAAAAAAAACAAAGGCCTTCTATTGAGGCAGTGTTTGGTTTGTTGTTTCCGGGCAAATATAAAAACAAGCTGGTGCAAGGTGGTGAAAATAACTATTTCTGAATTTTAATTTCACTTCTGTCAATAGAGTCACCTAAATCCTACACAGTGGACCTTTACATCAGACAAAAAAAAAAAAACATTAACCAGAAAAGTGATAATGTGCCAAACAGTTTAAGCTGGTAGAACATCCCAGACACAGCTGTTATGTGGCGAGATTGCATCCAAGGGAGCTACCACAGCTACCCTTACCCCATCCATATTACCCCACTACAATTACTACCAAAACCTTAAGTGTGTAAATTTCATCAACTTCACGAGCACACCTTGCTAACAAATGTGAGTATTAGTGCCTAAAGGACCACACAACTGCAGCAACACATAGACTGTTTAATTCCCAAGTACTACAAAACAAATAAGCAGAGTTCAAACTTACAAATGAAGAGTAAAAGGAGTAAGGGAGGGATGTCAAACAGATGTATAAGTTTTCAGTTGGTCAGTTTGATGTTAGAGAACAACTCAGAGGAAATCATTCTTCCTTACTAGTCTGAAAAAAACATTTTCTTGACACATTCCAGGAAGCTTTCCGCTTGGATTTACTGTACAGAGACTATGCCTCATCCCTTCCTGGAATGTAAATTGGTGATGAGCTCACACTCCTATACGCCGCTCTGATGACACATCTGTTCAAAAAGGGCCACAGAAGTGAGTTATATAGCCGTGCTGCTTTGTGACCCCCGTCTGCCCTAAGCAAAAGGTGGACATTTGTATTTTCAAGTGTCCAAACACTAAGTGCAACTGTTTCACATTTGCTCGACAGCATGCAGACCAAAACAAACACTTTTCAGGGTGGGATACCTCCTCTTCCTACATCTCACACGTAAGGAGACGAAGACAGTCAGTGGACAAAGGCAAACAGACTGATTGGCGCGTGTGCATGTTGTCTCTTGCACTCTCTCTCTCTCTCACACACACACACATACACAGTAAAACTCACACAGGCTGGCACGCACCCACACACACACACACATCCCCTCCTTCCCACCAGAGCAGGCAGCGTGAATTGAAGTTTTAATCAAAATAAAGACAAAGAAGACACGCCTACTCCTGATTGCAATGAGGGACATAAAGTCTGGGGGACACTCATGCCCCTACCATCACACACACACACACACACACACACACACAGGAACACACACACAAAGAGTAAGAAAGACGACACAATTGCCGCCTTTCTCCCAGTCAGGCAACTCCTAAAGCAGAGGTGAAAGCTCCTTGCCCGCCTGCTGTAGTAGAATAAAGCCATGGATGGGAGGGTCTGTGACTAATTCTCCACCCAGCGTTGTCCCGTTGGGAAGAGGGGGGTCGCCCTGCACCCTTTGATATCCCTGCCTGCACTCTTTCAGCCGCCCGCACTTTGTGAGAGCTAGAATAAAAGCAGACACAAAGCTTCCTGCTCCAATCCACACGCTGTCTCGGGGATGGGTAAGGGGGTGTGTGTGTGGGGGGGGGAGGATATGGGGGTCTTCCATTTAAATAGGCCAAACACCTGCTGGACTGAAGCCCCTTCCACTCAAACACACTATTTCTCTCAAACCAGTGAGGCAAAGAGACATTTAGGTTGATACATCTATTCAGCTGCATTTTTCTATGAATGATTAAACACTGGTAATAATATGAGAGTAGAATGGATGCAGCAGAAGGCCAGATATAATGGTCCAGGAACAAAAAGGGGAAAATGATGCAAAGTCTGATTGGGGTGGAGGCTATTAAGGTTTTAAGGTCAGAGATTTACCAAAAAGCTAATATAGATAGTACTCAGCCCCAAAACTAGCAACAACAATTTGGCCAGATCAAGAAAATGAATTCCACACATGCATACAAAAGCTAATAAATGCCTTCATTTGGACAGCAACAGCCAACAAGCACCCTTTTGAGCCATCCCAATAGGCTTAGTAATCCATTCCAAAGTGGCAGCTGTCAGAAGAAAAGTTGCTCTGCCTCTCAGACAGGGTTGTGTGTGTCTGAAGTGGATTTGGGTTTTTCTGCCTGGATGGAGGAAGGAGGGGCGGCCGAGTGTCCGGCTGGCGCTCTGTTCAGGGTCGCCCTGTGAGCTCAGCAGGCTGCAGTGAGCCTGAACAATCCTGCCCCGGTCTGGCGAGACAAGCACTACACTGCTTCTCAATGAAATCACCATGCTGTGTCCGCAACTTCCATAGGCTTCAGGTTCCATGGGGATTTAATGGTCCATTCTGTCTTCACACATCCCAAACACTGCTATAGCCTAATTCGCTGGAGCAGGGAAGGGAGGGATTCCTAATTACTAAAACAGTCGTTTGTTTCACAATAATATCATAAAGTTGTAATACAAATCACAAATGTACATTACACACAAGAAAATCACTAGGCAGTGTGCATCTTCTTCAAATAATTCAAGTTGTACTGAGATGTTATAGTCCAGTCTGGCTGTACACTTACATAAACAGTGTCAGACCACCAAACATTATCAGTGCTTCAAAAAGCTTAAAAAGCCACTTGTAAACAAAATTAGTGAGTAAAATTTTCCTAAAACATAAAACGTAGATTTGGTACAAATGCAATTCAAAATCAATTAATTCAACATGCTGTATCTGCAGTTTCCTTATAATTCAAGTTCCATGAGGATTTAATGGTCCATGCATCAAAAATAGTAATACTCTTACTCAACAGCTCAGAGGAACTCCTTGTTCCTTCACAAGCAATGTGCTCACAGAGATGCTATTTCGGATCAAATGTTTCTCTAGAATATGATGAGACTATTTCAAATGCGTTAACACATAAGGAAATGTTTCCCGATACCCTGCAGAGCCTTGCTGCTACATCATAGTAAAGGGGCATTATAATCTCCAAAATACGGTTCAAGATAAGTGTAAAAGCAACGCGTATTTTCGACAAGTTCAGAATAAATAAATAAAAAAAACATAGCCAAAGGCCTGACTTGTATGTATGCAAATGCTGCTGTGCTTTAGCTAAATAAGTATTCCGTCTGTGCTCAGACTAGGAGCAGTGGAGCTGGTGGTAAACATCCCCACACAGTGTACTCCCACTGCAATGAACGCATGCTGCTCATCATGAAGAAGGAAGATGGTAGTTCGCTAAGGCGAACACACCCCCACATCACACGGTCCGTCAAGAAGGGGCTCGTTATTGTAGCCAGCCCTGCATGCGCACTGTCACTCGCAAGTCTTATTTCTCTGATAAAACATAGCCAATTGAGACGCCAAACCCTATCGATATACTCGTATTAGCACTTCTGCGCTGAACAAGGGGGTTTTAAGTATGTGGCTGTGTACTAGACGTCACTACCAAGCATTATAAAACCGATATTATTTTGGTACTAGCTACGTACTGACTGTAGAGAAGGGGAAAACATGTCCACCTCCCATTTTCCTATGCATCAGCAATAGCCCCGATGGCTAGCGTGGCGTAGTGCGTAGCATGGTAGCAGTCCTAGCTTAACACTAAACAGCAATGGAGATGATTTAGTTTAGTGTATGAGCTCCGCCAACTTTAGCCCCGATGCTTTAACCCCGCTGCGTAGCAATATGCTGACCGGAGGTAAACACAGCAACCTCCCGAGCAAAACTGCAACTTTGAGGTCGCTTACGACAGGAGAATAATGGTGTAGTTCTAGCTCAGAGATGTAGACAGCTAGCCTGCGAGCTAACCAAGCAGCTATGTTGGCCAAGCCTCGCTGGAAGGTTGACACCTCAGTGCAAACACTCAGCCCTTGAGCCCATGGTGTAAATACTAAGCTATTTAGCAGACACAGATTATCTAATAGAAATCTGAAGCAGGTAAAGTGAATAATGGACAGCCCGTTCGCTCAGACGTTGCAGACAGACGCTAAGTTCACGTTAGCTCGTTACAAACCACAATTGTGTACTCTCGCCTCCTTCAAGTTGACATGTCTTGTTTTCAAACACGTTACACGCTATCTTGAAGGTCCGGTGCTGTTAGACCACAAGGAAACGACAGTATTATAAAAGGGCCGTTTAAATACTAGTTCGCTGTAGGGAATTAACATGAACATGAATGTGGGAAGATAACTTTTACTGTGTTGATGTGTATGAATATGAAGGCAACATATGCAGCCTTGGAGGCTTCATATCAAGCTAATGCTAACTAGTAAATCAGTCGTAACGGCTTAGTTACGGTGTCCATCAGTCACCAAGTGTGCTAGTATCTGTGCTGTCTGTTAACTGTACTGTGTGTTGTAATAACGATATAAAACCAGGATTTCTCTACTGTTGTCGGGCTAGCAGACTAACGTTAGCACCAGTTCATCCAAACTGTGTGGATGTAGCCTGTCCTCACACTCCACTGAGGAGCACAAAACTTTCTTTCCAGCAGAACCGTTGGGACCATAAATCTGAATACCATTTGGCGTTTGTGTCGCTTCTAACTAAAGTTAACGTTACAACACGTTACTGGAGAGTTTAAGGCCACACAAGCAACTCAAAGTTAACTGAGCATCCTGGCAATGACAAGTTTGCTCACAGACACACTTCACGTTAGGAAGAGGAGAAGATGGTCTCAGCAACCGTTAGCTCCTCATCTCTAGCGCAACAAACGCTCCTCCAAGTGAGCCGAGCCCCGCAGCTGTCTGGACCGATGCTCCCGGGGTGTCCTGTGCTTACCTCCGCGCTGCTCGAGTCGCTCGATTCCCCCAAAACATCCCGAAATTTCTGCAGGTTGCTCTCGATAACCGAGGAGACCTGTAGTGCAGCATCAAACCCGGGTCCGAGCCCAGCTGCGTTAGGGTGGGCTCCCGAGACACTCCGCAAAGAGGCAGTAACCCTGATTCGGCCCGCTCTCCTCCCGGTACCGGAGTTGCTGCTCCCTCCGGGCCGAGCGGGGAACCGCCACCGACAGCTGTGCGCCATTTTACACTCTCTGCCTGTCTGCCCTGCGATCAGAGATACCTCGGTGGGCGGAACCCTAACCCAGCACTCCACATAAACAACCTCTACCACAGCGCTCCGCTCTCACTGGCCGACACATCGGTATCCATGTTGCGGGGCGGAACTGAAGAAACCCCGACAATGCATTTTCTCAGCGGCCCTATTCAGGCTCTGCATGGCTGAATCCAAATCAGGTTCAGGGGCTTTGCCCGGGAAAGGAGCTTCGCTTTTGAATCATGAATGAAAAAGAATGACTGCTTGCAATGCGGTTTCTTCAGCAGGAGATAGTGAGAAGCTTTTTATGAGTTGCAGCCAAACCCAAAGATAACACAAGATATACCAGGACTTAAAATAAGCAGGGTAATAATTACCTGCATCTAAGTCTAAAGACAGAGAGTAACAATTAATTCTTTCCAACAACATCACTCATGCTAGCCAAGATTTACTAGAAAAAATGTCTTAAAAATGCTCCATGAAAAGCTTAGCATCATAATGCCACCAGGTGCTCACCTGCAGGTTCTTCTCCCAGGTGGGATTCAGGATGGAGCTCCAGCTGTATGATCAGGCAGTGCAGCTGGTGCTCCATCCTGATCCATAGAGGCTTTTGAATTCTTCTTCACCTGGCATTTTACTCTTGATGGGTATATTGTTATCTATAACACTCGCACAACACCAGCCTCCATCAATAGGATTGTCTCAAGTCAACTTTATTGTCAACCCAACTCTATACTCGATGTATATAGTGCAATAGTACATTAAGACTGTGTGTAATAGGCCTAGTCCTGGATTTATATGTTATTTATAAAATATTTAATTGCCATTTTTTAAAAAAGTTTATCTGCAATATGTGTGAACGTCAGAATACCCAAATACTATAGGGGAGAGAAATTGCATTCCTCCAGAAACTAGTAAAAGACACTAATAGAACTATAGCACTACAGATTATATGTAGCATTAAAGCAGTTATCATAAAAGAATCAGAAATTATGATATGTAAAAAAAAACAAAACAAAACAAGAAAGATTAAAGAAGTGAGTGAGCAAATTGTCTTTGTGGTACATATATAAGTAATAAATACAGCTAAATGTTCTGCGTTATGTGCAGGATCTAAAACAATACTTAAAAGGTTCTAAGCTAAATTACATAAAACATAAAAGAAACATACATAGCTGCTTGTAAAATCAGATCAAAATGGCTTTACATGATGGAAAAAATAAGTGATAATATTGATAAGAAATATTGTTCAGTGCTCCATGTTGTGATGGGAAATACATAAATATTCCATCCATTAGCTATACACATTGTAATCGATAGAGGGTTGTCAGTCCTGCTTAGGGCCAACACAGAGGCAAACAAACATCTACACTTACACCTGCTATAAATTAAGAATAGCCAATTAACCTACCATGCATGTCTTTGGACTGTGGGAGGAAGCCTAAGCACCTGGAGAAAACCTGCACAGACACAGGCAGAACATAAAAGGGCCCAGAAAGGCTTGATCCCAGAAATTTCTTGCTGTGAAGCAACAGTGATAACTACTGCAACCATGCTGCAACCACTTGACATTGCACCCACTTTATTCTTAAATAAAAGCAGGAAAACTGTGGAAAGGGTGTCCAGCTCCCAAATCTTCTAAAAGATTAACATTGATTGCTTTCTAGGCTTCAGACAGACTTCATAGTTTATGCACTCTTGCATAAACTGCACTGAATTTGTGTGATTGCAAACTCCTTGTCCTTGTTCTGGGAAGATGCATACACATTGTTGTGTTTATCACTACATGACCTTAACAGAGAATTATGAACAGAAAGACTTAATGTTTGCTAAATCATTTCAACATTAAAACATTTAAAAACATTAGAGTTGGGCGCACCTATAGCTTACTGTTGAGTGGGCGACCCATAAACAGGGGCTATAGTTTGTCGGTGCAGTGGTCGTGGGTTCGACTCCCGTTCATGACCCTTTGCTGCAGGTCTCTTTTCCATACTTCTCCCCCCTTTGTCTATCTCTACTGCTTTAAAATGAAGACAAAAGCCCAACAAATCTATTTAAAAAAAAAAAAAAAAAAAACAGAGAGTGAAGTTTAAAATTTGGCAGTTTTTTTTGCAGGTGTTTACAGTTGTTAGAGGCAGGCTGATGTCATCATGGTAGCCTCCCAATTTGTTCTACTGAAACAAGTTATTTCACTAGTTATTAATATTTTGCACAACATATTTAGAGTGTTTATGCATGAGTGCAAATATAGTATCAGCTCACACACAAATTTCAAATTACACCCAGTGCATCTGTTGAGAATATTTTTTGTTCTTAAACCCAAACCAAACAACTCATTTCCTGACAGAGTGGAAACGGTCTGCACTTATGTAGCTCTTTTCAACCTTAATGGTCCTCCAAGTGCTCTACGGTTTTTTCTACACAGCAGGTGCTCAGCTGCCACTGAGACCAACTTGGGGTCCAGGGTTTAGCCCAGGCACACTTCGACAAGATATTTCCAAGGTTAACTGAAAACAAAACGGGCAAAATAAAGTAGTGAGCTGATGGAAGAACTGAGAAATAAATTCAGCTTGTTTACTCCAAACCTAACTGACTACGGTTTCCCTTAAATTCAAACTTAACTTGTTCCCATGTGCATAAAAACAAAAAAAAGGGAGAGACAGGCTACTTACCAGCAAAAACTCCATTGCAGATGAGTGCCCCTATTTTATGCCGCTGGATCAGGGAGTGGAAACATGAAGGAGGAAACAAAGTTGGAGAAACCCTGTTTTTTCATTCATGAAGTCAATTATTTAGAATGAGCAAATAAAGTTCAGTGAAGAGACTGCCCCTGCAGAGTCTGCTGGCTGAGGGAATTGAGGGAGAGTTGAAGGAAAGGCTTCTTAAACTGACTAGTCAGCAGCTGTCGATTGGCGATTCGACTTTCTGAAACCACCAACCAAAGCTGACAGGTACATTGACACATCGGTGGAAGGAACACCACACAGTTAAAAAAAACAATATGTTCCTATAACCTGACAGTGCTTCACAATACTCCTTAACCAAAACAACTTATCGTTCAAAAAGTTAATTAGGTGTGCAAGGTATAACCAGAAGATGAGATCCTGAATCTGTTTAAGCTATGAAAATTGCAAGTACATACAGTTTATGGGAGGCTCTGGTGGTAAAGAATTTCACATACACCTGCTGAGATTGTCTAACATGTAGACATCACAACTGTACAAGTTGTTGGGAAGTGACATGGAAACACATTTTCCAAGTTAAGAAGCCTAATGATTATAAAAAGAGTAAAATATCTTATTCAAGACACAGGATTTACCTCAGCCTTGTTCTAAATCAACACGGAGCTTCACAAATACCAGACACTGGTAAATTATCTGCATTTATATTTAAAGATCCCCTCCAGGCACTTTAAAAACATGAACAATTTCCTGCTTTAAATTCAGAGACTCTGTGGGGGCCCCTCGAACCAGTGTTCATCACCGTTATGTTTTAAATATTGTGACACCGACCAAAAATGTACAAAATCTAAACATTTTACTAACAAAAAAAACATTAATTTTATCATTATACTGCAATGGATTGTCATGTTTATGAAAGAGAACATAACACTGTCTTATATAATGCACATTAGTTTTATTTCTTAATCATACTGTACATCCAAAATAAACATTTTATAATCACAATTAAAACAAAAAATATTGCATTATAATTTAAACCATGTAATCATTCAGGTGGTAGATGTTCAACACAGTATGAGAGCATGCCAACAAATACATCATCTTCCTCTCACGTTTTACCATTTTATACAAGCACACTTGATTTTGAATTAAAACCCCTTTAACTCAAAAACGCTACTCAACAACACGTTTTCTGCCTCCAGTCTTCTTTTGTATTCCACTGCACAGCTTCAAATATCTCTCAAAGAAACAAACTCATAATCATGTCTGTGAAGAATATGAAACAAGTCGGATCCTCATTCGCTGACGCTTACTGCAAGGCTCTTGGTTTTAGGCACCGATTCTATTGATCAACTGTTTGCCCACACGTTCATAAACTACGCTTGCACACAACTAAAAATTCTGTTCAAAATGCGAGATCAAAACAAGTAATTTATGATCTGATGACAGTTAATTTAAAGGGTGACGATGACTGTTGTATGTACACTGCCAGTTAAACATGACTGAACCCTATATTTTTGCATTTTCAGGGCTTAATCTCAAGAAATGTGGCCACTGTAAGGACCTTAAAACAAGATCAAACACGAAGTAGATATAAATGAACTGAGAAATGTATCCCAATTTAAACCCCCTTTGCTGCTTCTTTCTATTTATACTAGGCATTGTAGATATAACAAGTTGACTAACTGCATTGCTTATTTAAGGAAACAGTTGAGGAGAAATATGACATTTCCTGAACAGATTATGTTTTCTTTTTCCCCTAACAGTTGACCAGATCACAAGTGGCTTTTGGCAATTGGTGTTACTGTCGTATTTACTTTTTGTTGTTTTTTCTACTGAAAGCCACAGGCAAAAGTGAGTTATGTTTTGACACTATCTCCTTCGCCTTTTTGTGTCGGGTCCAGTCATTTGGGGCCCACTATCACTGATAGTGTCTCAAAGGGGCATTCCACAGATCTCACACAAAAAGACCAGTTTGCTCATCAGCATGAGAATCTGCTGTGTTCTGTTTTCTGCAGCTCTGAAGGAAATTTTCCTAAAATCTGAGACAACAAAATTGTACCAAATTGTGAGCAGCATACTGCACTATTATCTCGTCTGCTTTTTAGACATGGAGCTGTCACACTACTGTTTATTATTATTCATTTGTAACAGCTGTAAACGGCTCCCACGTTTCCACACTGTATTGCCATAACAAAGTGTCTGTCAATGCTGCTCTCAGCAGTTGAGCAATTTTACTAATTAATGGCCTAAAATGTGGTTTAAATTAGTGTAATTATTGTCTAATAAATGAAACACAGTTTAAAATCCTTTTGTCCCACAACCTTAATTAGCAAGGTCTCAGATCTTAACAAGATAATTGGGGCTTCATTAAAGGCAGGTGCTCAAGGCTCTCACGGCTCTTATCTTGGTATTTTAGAATACAGACAACTGTAAAACAAATACACAGTACGGTTTTGTGCTGCAGGTATCTTATTTCAGTGAACAAGATTTTAAAAACCTCAAAGTAAATTTAGATTACTTTCAATAAAATAAAAGTCACACACAATTAATTTCAGTTTTTCCGAGGCCTTACTTTTAATTTCTAATTATATGTACAATGAGCATGCTGGTTGAGATTGAACCAAGAGTGCAAACATTTAGGGTGTTAAAGGACTTTAAAAGGCAGTGTACGATTATTAGATGTATTCTTTATGGAGGTGAAATCCAGGGTAAATTATAAACAACTCCATCAATGGTCTGACTTGTGAGTTTCAAAAATACTTACCTTGCAGTATAAAATCTGGTTAGGGCCAGATGGTCAGTCAGGAGTTCATACAGTACATTCAAGTGCTGCTGAACTGACATTTCTGGCCACAGTTCTGACTGTAATAACTATTTATTATGGAAACAGAGGCTGCATCGCCCTAGTAATGTTTACAATAGGGCATCATGGGAGTATAACAGCTACTGTATGGGTTTTGAAGTCGTCACCTGCAGGTGGGCTATAGTTTGCCTCATCTGTTGTCACAGAGATGTTCCATTAAGCATGAAGGCTGCACGAAAAGGCGAATGCAATGTCAGTCGGACCGGCGGAGTCAGAACAAATCCACAGAGGTAAGCACACCATGGATCAGCCATGAAGCAGAGGAGCGTGTGGGCTGGGAAAGAAAACAACGATGCGAGAGGAGTCATTGTTTGTCACAGTGAGAGATCAGGGCTAGCCACTGGGTCCCAGCTGCAGCCCCTCCTGCTTATGCTTATCCAGCCACTGTAAGATTTGCTGTTTGAGTTCCTCGTTGGGCCTAATCTGGTCCATGGTTAGAGGACTGCGGTTGAAAGGATCCGTCTGGTCACTGCAAGGAGAAGGCAGTTAATAAATGGTTACCCTTTGAATACTACAAACTCCATATATGCACACATGCTATTGACAACAAGTCCAGACACAGATAATATAATTTATTTCCTGAATGGAAGCACAATATATGACCACATTTCTGGCTTATAAGAAGTAACTAACCTGAGGAGATGCCTTGCTATAGTTGAGCGGTCTACTGTTACATTGGAAGAAGGTAGAAGGACAGGATCTAGCATCAGAGTGGACATGATGGGATCCAAGAATTCATCTGGAGCATCTGCATACGTTTCCTCTTCCTGCTGCTGCCTGTCTGCATGAGACTAAATAGAGGCACAATGACAACAAACTTTTAGAGCATCTCTTTCAGTATTCATCAGTGAATAAATTCATAAAAAAGAGGATTTGTAGAAGCTGAAGAGGGATTCTAGTGTTTGTTCTGCCAAACCACTCCAAGTCAATTGATACCTTTATTTTATCAGCAAGGAGTCCAAAAGCCACAATCATGTCCCCAGGCTTGTTGATCTTCTTTAGTACTCTAAGTGTCTGGGAGAAGAGTGTAGGAGAATACGATCGTCCATCCTTTGGGACTGTAGCACAGAAATTCTCCTCATCACTGCCAAAGATAAAAACAAACATTTTTTAAAAACTGTACTCAGCAATGTGCCACTGAATCTCTTCTCAAGAGTATAAGGTACTAATTAGAGGAGACTAAACAATTACAAAGATGAAAATATAAACAAAGACTGTGAAATGCTTCTTTCAAAGAATATTTTCTATTATTTGCAATTGCAATATCTATTCGGTTTGTAAAAGAAGAATATTCCCAACATACCCCAGGTTTAGGTAGATCGTGCAGATGTCAGAAACAAGCTGCTGGGGCTTGAAGTCGAACTCGCTGAAGTCCTTGACTTTAAGAGCTCCCATCTTAGGACCCACCAGGTGCTGCAGGAAGTAGTTGAGCATGGAGATGATCCTCTCGGCTAGGAAAGGCTGCACAAAGATGCCCTTGATTTCTGAGAGCAAAGTGGTGAAAGAAAGTGGTTTAAGACAACACTGAAAAGGATTCATCGATGTACTATAGAAGCTCACATGTAACTATCTATTCCGCCTGACCTGAGGTGAGGAAGGCCAGCGTGCCGATGGTCTCATTGGACATGATGTTGTGGAAGCGTCCCAGCTGTCCAAACATCTGCAGGCTCGACTCCTTCTCTCTTCGGGCATCAGGGGCCAGGCCTTCCCACTCCCCTCGATCCCGCTCCAGCTGCAGAACCTTGATTTTACTCAGGTACTATGACAAAAAAAAAAAAAAGACGTGGTATTACTTTTGTTTAACTCAGGAAACGTCTCAGTCAAGTAAAATGTCTTCAGGAACAATAAATAAGCTATTAGTAAGAATTTACAAACAGTTATATTTTTGGAAAACACATTTGTGTAAAATTACAAAAAATCCGTGGAAGGCTTCCTTTAGTCTTTGCAGTATTTGGGGATTTTTGCTAAAGTAAAATTAGATTTTATCATCAAATAATGATTAGGGAACATCACAACAACCTGACAAAACTCACAAACAAATGGAAAGCCTATTAGCTTATGCCACACGTATTAATATGATGGAAAAGATTGTGTGCCGGAATCAATAAATATGTTTTGTAATAACTGAAGGCTGCAAACTGAAAATGCATCATAGACTCACCTGAATAGCCTCATCCAGTAGGAAGATGGCATCGTTCATCAATAAGTTGAGGAACCTGAGGAACAGAGGGGGGTTCATGGCCTCCAGGTTCTCAGATGCATAGGTTGCTAAATGCTGAAACAAGTCAATCAAAATTTTAAAAAGGAATTTTAAAAACATCAGGATAATTCTGGCAAGTAATGCATCTTGAGATATAACCTCCTGGTAGTGAATCATATCTTGTATTTTCCCTCCCCATTCATTCCTTCATTACCGTTAACTATTTTATGCCTACAAGGGCTTCAAGTGTATACTAGCATTTGTAAAATGAATTGAAAGAATTTAGTAGGTCATCCCAGGGCTATGAGGACACACTTTACAACTTCTTCTGCTTCTTTTAACCTTTTTATATTTCTTTTATAACTCCACTCATATGTGGAAACATAGAAACGTCTGCAGTTCAGTTGTACACTTGGTGGTCTGGACACACAAGTTTGGACTTACTAATATACCTGCAGTGGTGAGTGACTTTTTAGGTGAGAACAGGGATAGCGAGCTACATGATTGGCAACCACACAGAGAACACATCAAATACACACAGAAGGGGAACCGGGGAGCTGTTGTAAAGCTCAAGAAGTGCAACCATTATCTGCTCTGAAGAAACAGTATATTTGGATGAATGCTGACCAAAACATTCTCTTCTAATTACCTTGATGCTCTCTCTGTAGTTTTCTTTGTCCCACATGTACTTAAGAATTGGATACATAGGTCTCCTGTAGTTGAATTTCTGCTCAAACTGATGAGGATCACCTGGGGAAAAAAAACAGAGGAAATCTAAATAAAATCAGACATGCTTCAGTGCTTCCCTCTACTTGCTTCTCTCCTTATCTTGTTGTGCAAAATGCACACGGTCAGCAAGCACAATCTTCACAGTTCACCTGATTGAAAAAGCACCCCAAACAATCCCAAGAGTCACCATTTCTGTTCTGATTGTGAATGTTACAGAATGTTTAAACATTTATGGTCTTTAATCAACTGATGGGTACAAATATGCTTTTATTCAAACTCAGCAGTGCTGTTAAAAAACAAAAGCTCCATCTACAACCACCACTAGTAAGTCAAAACTTGTGAGTACTACAGCTGCTTTACCTGTGAATTCAATATCAACAAACACAGTGATGAGGGCCTCGGCCAGCTGAGGTGCATGTCTGTATGTGCAGAAGACTCTCTCTCTCTGGAACACGATTGGCTGAGCAGCACCAGAAGCCACTGGCTCCATGTGGGGCATCACTGCCTCCAAGACCTCTGCAAGCTTCGCTCTTAAATGAGGGTTTTTCATCCTGTTGTGCATGCAGGAAAGGACCGTTTAAAAAATTTAGCTTGAACCATTTTTCCTTTCATCTGTACAAACATCACAGACCATGGCAGGTGAAGTCATGTACCTCTCTACGTTACCCATGAAGACAGTAATGAAGTTAAGAATCTGCTCCAGACTTTCAGCAGAAGTCTCCAAGACATCGTCTGCAAACCGACGCAGGAAGATGAAAAAATCTCCCAAGTTTTCTGCAAAAAACTCTGATAAACAAAAGGCAGAGTTTAGTCATGACTTTCATGTTAAGGAGTGTTTAGTATTCATAAATGAATCTAATCTATTCTGCGGCCATTTTAATTATTTTTTTGAATGGGCTGAACCCACAGTTTGGTCCAAAAGTGTTTCTTTTGCTCTAAGACTGAAACCTTCAGTGTTTTATAAACTCACATCGTATCAAAAAGTGAAGTATGACGCGAAATAAGCCAACTAAATGATCTATAATATCATTAGCTGCATGCTGGCAAGGTGCAAAAACCAGTTCCATCAAATTTATGTTTGAGTCAGTTATTATGAACACAGTGTTCACATCTTCAACTGTAGCAGATAAAAAAGACAAAATATTAATAATCCTGACCCAAATCTGCCCTGAGGAAATTGTGAGAAATTAGAGTTCTGCCTTCCCTGAACCTTTTGGGTCAGTATGACAATCCAAGATAAAGCAGAGTTTTTTTGCTCCACTGTATTTTTAGTGTAGTGGAAGATCTGACCTACCTGGCACATAGCAGAGCATAGGATTCTGCAGGGAGGGCAGTGGAAAACTGAGTGCTACATGCTCAGTCCCCTGGTTTCCCATCCCAAGCTGAACCAGCAGAGCAGCAGTGGAAGCTTGGAGGTTAAGGCAGCATTGCAGCATGGCAGGCTGCGTAGTGGCAGCTTTGGTTGACAGATAAACAATCATCAGGCGCTCAAACTGCTCCAGGAGCTGCTCCGACATTGGGTTGCCTGTTCGCTGGGCCTCCTGCCACGTCACCTGGAGCCGGTGGAGAGACTGGTTCATCTTCACCATCTGCTCATGGAGTCTGCACACACACACACAGGCGCACACAGGCGCACACACAAACACACCATGCATGCGCACAGGTGCATGGACACAAACAGAGCAAGATAAACTGTGTTAATGCTGATATATGGGAGAACATATAGTGCACTGTGACGCGAAGAGATCTGTTGCACTGTGAAGGTTTTAGCTGAGCGAAGTTTTAATACTCTGAACCCCAAGCAGTTTTTGGGTATTTTTGCTCCTGTGTGTTTTAATCATGATGAGGTCATTTTTCACTGCAACACCAAGTCCTGCACCTCTATGGAAACAGCACAAGCATGGCTAGAAGTAGAGAGAAGTCAAAATGCATTTTAATGCAGTGCAGTAAACTTATCATGGCACTGATCGTAAAAAGTGTAATTTCTTATCTTATTGATTTTACATGTTTAGCATTTTCCCAAGTGTCGAAAGGTATTACCAATACTGGCAAAAATGGTGGCACGATACACTAGACTTTATTTACGTTTTTGATTTGTTTCCCTAATTGTCTTCTATTTGCTCAGTGTAAAAACAGCCTGCAGTTCAGCCCAGTTCTGCTGAAAAGTTCCTAGATTTTTGTCACAAGACTGTCACGTGTAGCTGACTCACTAATGGCTTCTCAGTTGGGCTGAGTTGCACAGAATTATTTAATATATTAAAACCTGAAAGTTACACATGACGAATTCAAGGACTGTCAGAAAGTTAAAAAATCTGGCATGATTTAGGGTTCAGAGGGTTAAACTCTCTTTAACTTCCTTACAAAGATTTTGCTGTTATATTGTGAGTACCTGTGGAAGCCGAGATGCAGTGTGAGTTGTGTGAGGATGAGGTTTTCAGTCAGCAAGCTGTAGGACTGTGCAGACTCCACTGGCTGCTGGGGGGGCATAGGGATCAGGCAGGTTTCCTTGTCGAGACCTGGTATAATACAGAAATGATCACATAGATACTTTTGTTGAATTCTAAATACTTAAAAGGGCTTTACAAACTACTACGAATCCAGTTGTTAAAGCAAGAAATGGACCAGAGCTGCTGCATTAATACAGGTGCACAAAAGTTGGTGACAAAATTTGGGTTTAAAATCCTAAAAATAAAAGGTTACTGACACTGTTATTGCCTTTCTCGGGTATACTGACCTCTTGCGTGCACATTCCGATTGCGCCTCTCTTCTTCGCTCAAATCTTTGAGTGCGCAGTAGGTAGGGTTAAAGGTGAGCAGTTTAGGTGAACGTGGCCTGCAGAAAGGCTGGCACAGCTTCAGTAGAGCTGCACCCAGGTTCAAGAAAAACGCATCTGAGGCATACATCTGGAAGAAGATCTCTGGCATCTGATTGGCCCAGATCTTGGCTCTGCCGGCATTAGCCTGCAGACAGTTTCCCAACCACGAGAGCAGCAAATGACGGGTCTCACCAGATCGCTGGAGCAAGTTTTTTAAGATCTGATGCAGCTTCTCATGAAACTGATTCATAAACTGCAACACAAAGGAAATAAAGGTCACTAAACTGGATGTATTTGTAGACCGATCAGTGCACGATTCCTATTTTTAAAGAAAAGGCACAGAAATTAGCAAGAGCAAACAAAGGAGAATCTGCTAACCTGGTGGATGTTGGCCTCCTGGACCTTTGTCTCCTGGGCGCTGGAGCGGGAGGGGTTCAGAAAGTAGCCATGTCCCTCGACCACACCGGGGGTTTTCAGCAAGCAGGAGATATTCAACACCATCCCCAGTAAGGTCTTTTGGTACTGCAAACCATTAGCTGGGTCTTTGGGCTGAATGTGTTCCACCAAGACCTGGGAAGACCAAATAGAAAAGGAAAAAAAAAGAATGTTAATAGCTCTGTGAAATGGTATATGATTACTGTATACTAGTGTGTATTATTTCATTAGTACAGAGTTAAGAAATTAGCTGTTGCTGTAGGAAGATGTATTACCATAACATTTGTTAAAATCTGGTCTGTGTGTTTCTCTTTACCTTGGCAATATCTTTATTGTGACTGAAATAGAGGAGAACATCTAGGTAGGAGTACAGCAGAGGCTGGCACAGGTCCAAGTCTTTGATGCGTCCCTGGAAGATATCAAACACTGGGACTATCACCTCCTCGAAGGTACGCACCTCTTGGTCAGAGAGCAGGCCGGCAATGACCTCCTCCACAAATTCAACCACCTCCTCTGGCTCTGTAACACAGTGAACTTGTAAGTGGAGAAATGAGAGAGAACACTTTACTGAGAACAAGTGAAGATGAAAGGAGAATTAAGAGGAAAAGAAAACAAGAAAGGAAACAGCAAGGCCCAATCCATGACTTACGTGCTCCATTAAAGGCCTCCAACAGCAGGTCCAGAAGCTGTTCGTAGATATTCTGGCTGATGTAGATCTCTGGGGTGAGCAAAACTGTTCGCGTGTTAGAAACTGTCAGGTCCTTACAGCGAACAGCAAACGAAAGCAACTTCTCGGGTACCTTCGTCACCTGGTGCACAGATAAGAAAAAAAAGTTACTGAATTATGGAAGAGAGTGGGTTATTTTAATGTTCCAATTACTGAGAATAGTCTATTAACAGCTGGCAATCTCTGAAAATAGAAGCACTAAAGAGCTACAATTAAAATCATGCAGGAAAAAAAAAAAGCACACCTCTTCCTTTGCCCTCTGGTAACAAGCGAAAAGGTAGGGGATGGCACTTTTCTCTCCAGCATCACGGTCAGCAGACAAGTTGACAGCGCTGCATGACGTCATGTAGATGAGCTGGTTTCCTGGCTCTAGCAGCAGCAGACGGTTAAACAAAGCCTGGAGAACAAACATTATACACATTTCAGTCTAACCCTTAAAGTAATCAAATCATCATGCGATTCCTTAAATGTTTCAAGCAGATTCTCACATTTTCAGCTTCCAAATTTGTCACGTTCTTGTATCTGATTTAGTCAAACAATGCCCTTGACATTTTTTAAAGATTGCTTTCTTCACAAATTGTATCTAACATTTAGTGGTTTATTGACAGGCGAGAAACAAGATGGATGGGGCAACAATAATGAAGTTGCTGTTGACGTTTGACCTGCTCTATGTTGTCCATGTCCAGCCAGTCCTGTCCATCTAGATCTGCAGCCATCTCCTCCAAGTAAACACAGCGAGGAGGAATCCCATTACCTCCTCTCAGACTGGGGTCGCCTAGGGGTGAAAGTCCATCAAATAAAAGTCAGTGTAAATAATTTTACACATAACAAGTTGTGAAGGTTAAACCAAACCAAGCGTGAACACTGGATTAATTGTAGTTGAGAAATGAATGAATGAGAAATGAATGAACACCCAAACACTGGACTAGATAAGGCACGGGAGGATCAAATAAATTGCATGTATTTACTAAAGACTGAGATGGAAAAGGAATTCATTAAGGGGCTCTGTATGAAAACAGAGAGGCTTTTAGCCAACATTTCCTGAAGATCATGACTCATCTTTCAGCAGACTCAGTGGCAGAGAAACGCAGGCAACTCACAGAGAGACTTCACAGTGGGGGGAGGTCTTTATATTGTCTTAAAGGATGGTGAGTCATTTGTTACTCACTGGAAACTTCTTATTTGACTTTCAGGACATCAAGCGGCATCCAACAAATGTGCCTCAAAACAACAGACTCAGTGCAGTCTCATCACCAAGCACCTGTCTGCTGAATGTCCCTTTAAGATCAAAGCAAAACCTCAAGGGAAAAAATGATTTGTTGGTCGTATAAACGGTTTGACACAGACAGTCTGATGTGACTTTGCAAAAGTCTCTCACGCACTGGTTTTTAGACAGGCCTCAAATTGGTCAGCTTTGGTATGAGAGCGTGAAAACAGTTTATCACTTTGCTACTGGAGTTACTATAAGGTTGCTGCAGGTTTATTACAAAATGTATGTCCACAACAGGTAAAGAAAATAGATATTACAGAACTGTAGATATTGGTTTGTGACAATGACCTCAAACAGTGCTAAAATCAAGAACTACGTTCAGTTCCATCTGTTGGACCCCTTGTTCTATCTTCAGAAGAAGTTCTCCAGGTTATCTGAAACAACCTGCCAGTTTAACTGAAACTTGGTACTTTTTTAAAGCCAAAGGGTGGTAAAATGAAATACTGCCAGAAAGAATAATATTCTGTCCTTTTTCTACACTGTGCAAAAGTTTATAAACCTCAAACTATACACAGGAGTAAGGTCGAGCTAAGGAGAACTTGGGTATATCAACGCAAATCATGTGACAGATTGTACTGGATATTATCCACGCTGAGTTAATACTTGAGGTTTGTTTAAGTCGGAGGCTACAGTCTGATTATTATTCTGCTTTTACTTACTGTTGTCCAGAGTGATTAGAAAAATTCGCTGGATCATGTGATTGACATTGAGCTGTTCACACAGCTCTTGCCGGGAGCGGAAGGAGCGGCTAATCTCTGCCACGGAGTCGTCATTGTCATCGACGCTGTCTGACACAGAGTTCTCCGACTCTGACTGGCTCTCTCCTGAGTCCTCCACTGCGAAAACACATACAGCGGTTAAGTATGAGGACATGTGGATACATTAAGGCTAAACGTCAGCATGACAGTGAAATTTTGAAAAAATGCTGATGTTTCTTTAACAGTGACATTATATCTGAATGTAAATGTTTGGGCACCTCTTGGTCAAATGACATATTTTGTTGATTTTTTTTTAAAGTGAATTAAACACAACTCCTGCAGAAAACTGAGATTAAAAGAATCCTTCAAATGTGTTTATTTCATGATCTTCAAAAAGTACTTGTGGCATGTGCAAAAGTTTTGACCCTCCTGCTTGTAAAGACCTTCGTTAACTCATTAGGCCTCATCTGACTGGTCAGAACTTACAAGACAGACTACAGACTGTTATCAAGGAAATGCAACTGATGATTTTTCAGAATGTTTCATGACTCTTAACAACCATTGGCTCCTCAAGAAAGTGGCTGAGGAGCTAAATCAAAGCTAAACGTTTCTTAAAAAGCAAAGAAAGGTTATAAAAAGATGTCAATTCACTTTTAACTTGATATTTGAAATGTCATTAAAAAGTGGTAGTTAAGGGGGATTAAGGTAGTCAAGGGAAGATCTGGAAGACCAAGGAAACATTTGGATAAAACTGCACAACTGCCAGGGCAGAAAGACAAAACAAAAGCCTTGAAGGACCAGTACAAAAGTTACCATGACACAGGACAGGTGATGCACCTTCCATTGTGCAGTGTTGATGCACAAACAGGTTTTACAGATGGAAACCTTACCTGCAATGTCCTTGCAAAACGTATTGTCTAAAGTGCGAAAAACAACTTCTGGATAAGCCAGTAGTCGTATTGGACAAGTGTTGTGTTCTAAGAATGGGGATGGGAATGTTGGGCTTTCATGACACAGGGATCACTGCAAAGATCAAGGGGAGAATAGTTTTCACTTATTAGCCGCAAATTCTCAATGCAGATGTCATGTATCCAGTCAGGAAAGTGACAATGAGATGAGGCTGGCTTCTAAAACAGGATAATGATCCAAAATATGCCTTAAAGTCCACCATTATCTACTTAAAAAACAGAAGCTGAAGCTTCTGAAAGGCCCTCATAATCCCAGAGTCTTGAACATCCCTGAAATTCTGTGAGAAGACCTTATACATGTGTGCAAGACGACCTAAAAATATCTCAGGATGTGATGTGATCTGCAAGGATGACTGACTGAAAATCCCTAAATCAAGAAGAGAAAGACTCTTGGCTGGCTACAAAAACATTTGCAAGCTGTGGGGGGGTTCAGCACTAAGTACTGACTCTTGCACATGTCACAGTTTCTGTGTAACTTCTGTTCATAAAATAAAAAGCATCAACATTTAGTCTGTTTGCTGCAGGTGTTGTATTTACTTCTTTTCACTCGAAAAATCAGCAAAACATGTAATTTTCTCAGTTGGGCTCCTAAATTCCTGCATGCAACCGTTTTACAGTATGTATTTATGTGTATGAATTATGTGATGAAGTGCAATTTGACTCTGAGATCCACATAAGCAGTGACTGTTTCAAATTAGAGGATTGCAGGGAATCTGATAACTCTACTCACGTGGTGGTTGAGCAGACAGCTGTTGTGGTTTTTGGCCTGATGCAAACTGTTTGGCATCAGCCAGTGAGCTGAAGAGGGCAGCGAAGGGGTTGCAGGAGATGTTCTGGTTGTTGTTGCCCTGGTCAGTCATCTCACTGGGGCTCAACACTCAATCCATTAAAGATCCCAGTCTTAAGGAGCAATGCAGACACAGAAAAAAAGAGGCAGTGGAAAAAGAGTTACACTACAGTAAGAAATAGGTGAGCATGCACAGTATATTTACATGACAAAATCATTATTGTGTCAATCATGTGACGCTTTTATCATCATCACCTCACTCCTATAGAAAAATGAAGACCTGCAAAACTTCCTCAGCTTGTCATTACCAGCAAGAAAGTACTTTATCACTTCTATACTTAAAGAAGCTGGAAGTAGCACCACTTGAGCATCACACAATCGTGGTTGATTCTTTTTGTAACAAATTAAGTTCCTACTACAGAGCAAACTGGGCCATAATGCATTGCATTTTCTTTGTTTTTCTGTAGGTGATTCATTTTACGTCAACATTATTAAGGGTCATTTGGCCACCTCCATCTCCTTCTAACAGATTTAAACAGAAGCCAGCATCATTCCTGTCACATGACAACATTCTCCTGGATTTAACTTCCCTCATGGTCCAGTTTCCAGTGAAACTGTCCTTAAAAATCTGCTCTTTACCTCCCACTCTAGTGTACTTTTTTTCCCACCAGTGTTTAACATTCTTCATCTTTGAAATTCTGCAATTCATTTCTGTCTGTATCTCACATTTTTAATTAAAGGGCATGCTGTTTTGGTTCTGTCCTTTATATGAGGAGTTCTCAAACTTTTCAGCCTCCAACCCTGAAAACGATGGTGCTAGAGACACATGACCACGATCATCACATTTGGTTGCAGCATGCAAACATTGCATGCAGCCATGTACACACACTAATTGACTTATCCAAATATGGGTATAACGACAACACAGAAGAAGACAGCGGCCTAAGAATCATTATATTGTTTCATAGTAATGTAATACAGACTGGCAGCAGAGTATTTCAAGGTAATCTCCATATAAACTGCAGTACTAATTAAGGATACAGTATGCAGGGGGCAGCAGTTTTATAAATATATATATATATATATATATATATATATATTTTTTTTTTTTTTTTTAAATTGTGGACTTCTAAATGTCATCTGACAACCTCCCATTAGTGTCTTGCTACTCTCACTTTGGGAACCACTGTCTTAAACTACCAATCACAATGAACTGTCAGATCTTTATAATAATACCAAACACTAAAACATAAATGCCTTCTTTTGTCTTATGAGTGGTGGTTGCAATCTTGATTAGTCTTCTACAACATGATTTCCACCCTCAGATTTTAAAAGTCTAATAATCTAATAGTTTCTACTGTCTTGTTTCCAAATATGCAGACAAATGCAGGGGCACATGTAATTGTGTCATCGTAGGTCATTGTCATGTGAGTGAAAATGCTTTTTTACAGTAGATCTTCATGATGCAGGGTTGATTTGATTCAATGCTGAAGGCTGCTTTTCAGCACTTAACAATTTAACGGCTCATACTTGTACTGTCCATGTAATGGCATCAACGTGATGTATTACTTGTGCAGCGCCTTGCAGCCATAAGAAATTCTCTTTCTATACAAGCATTAGTAGAAGCAGTAGTAGTGGTAGTGGCACTATTGTGTACACAAGTACTGTATATCACACCATTTGACTGATATCTCAAGAAAACAGATGACACACAGACTGCAGTTTGTCGATTAGGAGAAACCGTTTTTGACAAGGTTAGAAAGTGTTTAGCATGACATTCAGAAAAGGGGATAACAGTAAAACAAACACCACCTCCTGCTTACTTTCTGAACAGTGCAGTGAACACATGCACTGACTGTCACTACGTGGAATGCGTGTTTGTACAGCGCTCACCGCTCCAGCAGATTAACGTTACTACGTGTTGTCACGGTTACCATCAGTTTAGCACCTTTCACCAATAACTCGTTTCATTTTATGAAGATAACCTTCCAACTAGTCCCCTTGCAGCTATTTCAAAGCAGCCATATCGCCTGTTTGTCAAATTAGTGAAGAGAGGCAGGTTTAGCCACTTGACGCTACTTAGCTAACTAGCTCGCAGGTTTAGCTAGTCGCCCTGGCCGCCCTGCACCAGGGATAGTTAGCTGGTTAGCTAGTGTGTGGAGCAGCAAGCTAAGCTGCCATGGGGTCACCACGGCTCTATTACAGCATTGATTTTAGCAGCTGGTAAACGGATTTCACGCGATATCAGTCGAAATAATGTAGACAAACGACAAAGAGTGCTGTCGTACCTGTTTGACGGGAAGAAATGTGATTTTGATTTTTTAAAAATTGCTTCTACGAAACCAGCAGCACTTCCTCAGTAAATAGAAATGGTGAACGTCATCAGTGTGCGACGCAGCGTCTGCTTTGCTGAGTAACTTTTCACTTTCCAAACACGATGGTAACACGTTTAATTAGACTGCATTAATGTGCAGCACTGTTGTACAGTCTGATCCTATGAATAGGAAAAATAAAGCTAATATCAGCCCAGTTTAAACCAGTACGAGATTTACTGTACGCCCATAATATTTTTTTTGGCGATTATGTAAAGAAATCATGTGTTACGTGAGCAAAATATCCAGTAATCTAAATGAAGACACCTTTATTTATACAATATATTGAAAAGAACAGCCGTTGCGTCAAAGTGTTATAACAGTATTATTAATTGTGTAAATGTATGTTAATTATTTAAATATCAAGGATTCAAACCTTATTTATATATAAAATACAAATGTATCTGTAAATAATACATAAATGAGCTAAGATATGACGGTAATATTAATTAGGAGATTACCCTAAGTAATTTAAATATTAAGGTTAAAACCCTACAGTATTAGGAATTATGGAGATTAACCTGACACATTTTGGAGATTAGGATCCTTCAAAGATATACACAAAAACCCAACAAATTCAAGGACTTTCTGCATCACCTATGAGTAAGCTTTTTTATTTTAACTATATTATTCTGCATAAATAATTTATGGTGTTCTTATGTTACTCTTCTATTTCATTTTTTTTTTTAAATATATCAGATAAAAATATCAATTTTCTGGATCCAAGATTAACAAGCTTTGTTTTTATTAACATTTTTATGTAGCTTGTTTTGTATATATTATATAATGTTATTCTTATGTTACTCTTTGTATTTCATTATTTTTCTACATCAAATAAGACAAACTAGATCTTTTATAATCCATTTTCTAGACTTACTAAATTTGGAACCAGAGACAATGTTGGGATCTTGGGGAGTTAGTCCAGTCCAGCTGTTTTTAGATTGCAACCAGATAACTGAATCATGTTAACATGATTTGATGGTAAAATGAATATCAAATGTGATGCACTGCTCTTGGCAACATGATGTCATCCCACTTGTTTCACATTAACATCACAGTGAGTGTGAGACAGCTCCAACAGTAGCTCTATAACTGTATGCCTTAGACTTAGAAAGCAACCAAGTTTTTTTATATAGCACCTTATCATGCACAGAGGGTATCGTGTGTGTGTGTGTGTGTGTGTGTGTGTGTGACAATCAAAGGTAAACAAAAGAAAACATGTACTGGAAGAGTACAGGCTGTCTACACCAAAAATAAAACTGATCAAGATCCAGTCGGAAAAAGAAATATCTTTAGTTTTCTTTTCAAAATGACTACAGCTGGCGCTGATCTAAGTTCCAAGAGAAGCTGATGCCAGCAGCAGGCAGCAAAGTGACTAAACGCCATCTTGTGGTTTGAACTCTGGGCATCATGAACTGACCAGTCGCTGCACATCGCAAAGAAGAAACTTTCCAGGTTCCAGGTTCCTCAGCAAAGACATCTCAAATACTTTTTGAGTCGAGATCATTCAGAGACCTAAAGACAATAAGTAGGGCTTTAAATTCTATATGGAACTGGAAGCCAGTGCAGAGATCTAAGATTTGGGAAACACTGTTCTCTCTTCTTGCTGTTTGTCATATTCTAGCAGCAGAATTTTGACCATGAGTAGCAAATATGTAATAAAGTCCAGTGATGAGTGCATCACAATAGTCCACTCTCAAACAAGATTTTTATTTAGCTTTGAGTCACTTCAGCAGCAAACTTCAACATTTGGAACCTTTCAATTCACATTTATTTTTTTGGTTTTGGTTTTTGTTTGTATTACTGTGTGTGCACTTGTTGTTGTTTTTGTGTTTAAATGTGTGTGAAATCGGCAGGTGTCCAGACAGAGCCAGTTTGATCTGCATCTGCGTGGACTTTGATTTGTTCCCCTACAGGCTGCAGAGTTTTCTGATCATCAGCAGAGGGCAGCAGCAGTCTGGGAGAAGATTTCTTCCTAGTTTTGATGAATGAACACCACCTTTCCTTTGTTAGTGTGTTTATGAAATTAAAAACAAATTATTTTCATTTGTGAAGCCCGTTAACTTGATTAAGTTTGGATAACATATGCAGGAGTTGCAGTTTAGACAGCCCCATTTGTTTCACAAAGGTGTGTTCATGTCCCACAAGGACTCAAACATATTGCAGATTTGTAAGAATGATAGAAGACTTATAATAGCAGGTAAAACATCTATTTGTAGTCTGTGACCTTGAATGACTCTCTAGGATGTATTTTATGCAACCTGCTGCATGTTTGGAGCTGTGGTCATGATGCAGAGTGAACTTTGGACCTTGGTTCCTAAGAGGTTTCCACAGCACAGTGCATTAGTGCAGAATTCTGTCATTGTCTGTGTCTTTTTGAGCATCTGTCAGCAGGTAAAAAAAAAGAGATTGCTCTTTTATGAGGAAGTGTTTTATAATTCATAGTCATAATCAAGACCTTTCCCCTCCCCCCTCAAACTAATCTTTAAACTGATCAGTCCCCTGCAGACATGTTATGATCATTTTATGCTATGATGCAATAAAAATCAAACCAGGAAAATTAGATTTATGGTCAAACTTCTCAATAATTTTGCTCACATTTGTAAGAGATAACATCAACTCAAACATATTTTATTTTTGTCTACATATTTACTGTGTAGACCTGGGCGGCTGTAGATCAGGTGGCAGAGCAGGTTGTCCTCTAACTGCAAGGTTGGTGGTTCAAAGTGTCCTTGGGCAAGACATTGAACCTGAAGTTGCATCCAATGGCAGGTAGCACTTTGCATGGCAGTTCTGTAAATGAATGTGTGTGTGTGTGTGTGTGTGAATGGGTGAATGAGAAAACATTGTAAAGCGCTTTGAGTACCACTAAGGTAGAAAAGCCTATATAAGTGCAGGCCATTTACCATTTACTGACAGCACAGAAAAGTCTATGTGCTGAATGTATCTGCAGTATTTGTATCTCAGTTTATGGTTGTCATGGAACCTGAGCTGCTTTTTATTATTGTACCAGTGTCAGCTGAAGACTTCTCTTTTTCTTCTGTTTATTGTGTCCTAACAAAACAAAAGTTGAATTGAGAGACGACTCTTTCTCCCTTTTTGAGTTGATCACATTAAGAGTCCCAACACAAATAGTCACAGACACAAAGATCTTATTATTTGATGTTTTATGAAACTATCCGGCAATCATTCCAGACGTGGTCAGTCAGACAGCTTAGGAAATAACACAGTTTGTACTAAGCAGCTTCAATATTGAACACTGAGTCACAGAAAATGAACATACGTGTGTCTGCTACACAGACGCACACCAAGAGAACGTTTTTGGTTTTTAAGTAAAAACCAAATAATATTGTATTTAAAAAAAAAAAGAAAAACTAAACAGCATTCTCAATATACATCAAGACATACAGTGTTTCTCATACAATCAGCTTTTTTGTTTTTCACATACTTAACATTTGAGCAAAACTGACAGTAAAAAAAAAAAAAAAAGACAAAATTTCTTACATCCAACTTGGTAAAGACAATTTCAGCAACGACTGAAACTGAAGTGTTTGATCGTTTAATTCCTGACCTCTTAGATCGGTTAAGTTAAATAGTCTGAACAAATACTTTCCACTGATCTACACCTATCACATATTTCATATAAAGTCTCAGACGTAAAGAGCTTCATAATACAATATTACAAAATAAGGCACAATATTTACAGTCTCAAACAAACCCTTGAATGTAACTGTGAAAATGGTAGTGTTTCAGGTCGTTACAGGTTAGATTTTAAGAAGGCTCAGCCTCTCAGTGAAATGTTTCAGTAAATGTCTTTGTTTGTAGTGGCTTTGTGTTTCCATCACTGAATTAACAGTGTCTTTATGGCTGTTTTTCACCACATACGATGTACAAGATGACTTCCCTCTGACATTTTCTGCTGGTGCATCCTCTCCTCAGAAGTCAGTAGGTAGTTGTAGCACTCAGTCTCCATTGTTATTTGCCGTACTGTGCTCCTTTGCCCCGTCTTAACCAGTCCCTCCAGGGGGACTGGGCTTTGTCCTGACTGACATCTGAGCTCCAGGAGGATGTGGAGGACTGACGTGTCCAGGTGGAGGCCGTCCTGCTGGGTCTGCGGAAGAACGACATGCCGTTGGAGGTGGGTTTCTTCTGAGGCTGCTCCGACTGCTGCTGGGTCTTGAGCTGCTGGTTGATGATGATCTGAATGTCATCCTGAGGAAAGGTGGGGAGGAAGAGGAAATGAGCAGGAAGTCTGAGGAGCAGGGATTCAGTCTGGTGTCTGCAGCATGTCAGCACTACCATCACATCATTCAAGCTCACTGGTGCCGCACGCGTTGCTTTGACAATGATTGTTTAAAGGTCAATTTTCTCCTTCTGTGAATTAATCCCATGAGAAGACCAAATGCAACAAAGACATAATCCTGTTAACAAATATCATCCCATGTAGCTCATTCTTTTGTGCCAAAGACTTCCAGTTGTGTTCAAAAACAGTTAAATAGGTCAGCTAGCCACAGCACTGCACAGGTGACATGTTTCTGTGAGTTTATTTGAGCCAATAAACACTAGCAGTCAGTACTACTCAGTGCAACGCTATGTACTGTTGTGTATGTACGTGTGTCTGAGAAACATTTGCTAAAAACTACACTGTACAGCAGATTTGGTAAATTACTGAGCCTTTAAAGACATCAAACTATTGTATTGCTTTAGCAGGGATCAGTTGGCTTAAAGCTGAGAACCACAGACAGGACAAGTCAAAATGTTGTGGTTTTGTCATGGGATTTGTTGATAACATTAAATGGAAGTTATATTTTAGATCTTCTTTGTTCGTCTGCCAGAGACCTTTCAATTAATTGTGGTGTAAAGCTCCGTCACCATGAGCCAGCGCACACAGAAAAGATGTTTTGGTTTGGATTCTGACTCCAACTCATGTACCATGAAACACAAAGACAACATTTCTCTACATTTCTAGGTTTAACATTTTCCATTATTACCACTACATTTTTTTTCTTGGATTTGTTGTTTTTCTTTTTTGCTAGCGTAACATATCTTATCTTGCTTTGGTATATCTTCACATGAAATTAGTCTGTATTTGAGAAACTCATCCTTCCATCCAGGCGAATTATCTTATTCTGCACTTATTCTGTACATGGCTTTGTTTATGATTTACCTTATGTCTTGGATATGCATGGTTTAATATCCCTAACATTTAACCATTAACATTTTTTTTAATGAATAAGGGTAATTCATTAACCGTCAAAGACAGACAAAGTGTACTTCTTCCCTCAGCTAACATGACATCTATAGAACACGAACAAGTGTTTCGGTCTAAATGTTATTTGCATTATCTTCATTAAAGCATGACAGATCAGACCCTCTGACAGATGGCTCGGCTTGGCATAGTGACTCAGCAGCAGAAGGTCTAAGAGACAGAGACACCTGCCGTTCAGATCCCGTCAAACTGTCAGGACTGAGAGCAATACGGCTGCATCTGTCGCTGACCTTCCCCGCAGGAAACTCAGCCTGAGACACATCCATCCATCTCTGGTCTCATTGAATTATTACTAAAACTGCAGACAGCGAGTCTCAAAATGTGATATACCATCAGTGATGATGCAGATCTTAAGGGCGTGAATTAAACGTATCGATTGAGGATTTTATAGAGCAGGAGATGTCAAATAGAATTCATGATAGTGGAACAGGGATCTCACCTGCCAGGCCTCCAGTTCTTGTGACAGCTCCAGTTTGCGTTGGATGGCTTCTAATAACTGGTTGTTCAGAGACATCATGTCATTTTTACTTCTCACCAACTCTGCCTCCATCAGGTTTTTCCTAACAAGACACAGTGAAACCTCTTTAGTCACATACAAGATGTTTTTTTTTTTTTTTACAGTCAGGATGTTCAAACCCTACACAGGTAAAAACTCATTACTGTAGCAGCTACAGTGTAGCTGCTGGTGCAGCTGCAGCTTCCAACAGGAACTATGAATTTCTTTTACACAGTATTATCATGAGTTACTCACTTGGCTATGGCTTCGTCTCGGTCTCTGATGGCCTGTTGGACGACGTCAGCTTGATCTTGTTTTCTCTGCAGCTTCTGCGTCAGCTCAGCGTTTTCCTGCCGCAGCTGGACGTTCTGCACAACACACAGAGTAAATATTAATCTATTTCTAAAACAGAAAATGCTTTGTTATTGTGATTAAGTTTCTGTTTTTAAAGCAAATCTAAAATAAAATTTAAATTCTACTACTTTTAGTTTGTGGAGAGGCAGTTTGATTTAATAAGTGTAATTTCAAAGGGAATCCAAAAAAACCAACGTGTTCAGCAAAACAGATGTGCAGGCTGTAATTTATAATAGATACAAGATATGAGTTGTGAAATACAAAATAAAACACAAAAAAACACCAGGTCGTCATATGTGAACTTGAACAAAGTAACTCAGGTGTTATTCTTCACCATATATTGATTTAATTTTAAAATACTAATGCTATGAATGTCAGAAACTCATGTGCGGAGTGTAAATGTAAAAAAACAACAAAAAAAAACCTGCAAGTTATACAGTATATTATTTGATGTAGGCCAATTATGGCATGTGTTGGACAACTTAGGTAATTAACCTGCAGTAAAAATGCACTCAGAGGTCCCTGTATCTGCATATGACACTAAGATGGATTGCATTGACGACAACAAGGTCAGTACTGGTGCAGCCAAATCCGGATATAATGGTCAGCCACAGGCGCTACCCCTCCTTGACAGATATATTCGTTCATCACTCGGTTACCTGATCTCTCAGCTCCTGTGCTGCGCTCAGATTCCCACACTGATCAGCCGTCCCACCGACAAAACCCAGATTCAGCTCCTGAGACAGAGACATCAACAGAGAGATCAGGTGTCAGTCGTGGACGTACACCGAAAGGGGTTTCTGTGGTGTTGGCCTATTTGCAAGGTTCTCTGAGGGAGGAAGAGGCGGGGCGGGATATTTAGTTACAGTGATAAACGCATGTTACTGGTCTGAGTGGAATACAAATGCTATGAGACACAAGTGGACAATTGTATATGTTCACCGCTGGCAAACAGGGGCTTAGCAAAGCACATAAGATATCAGTTGCACTAATTCACTGGCATTTTTCGCTTGTACAAGGGCAGGCAGCTCCTCAGCATAGTTCAGTGTGAAGACACTATAGAGCCTCTAACAGCCAGTAGGGGGTCGACAGACAGACTGTGAATAAACTGATGAATGTATGTGAGCAGGCTGCTTAATGGAGCCATGATTTGTGCTTTTTCTGTAACTGTTTCTCACTTCTAATGGCTCAAAGAAAAACAAAGCAGGGTAGCTACTGCACGCTCAGTATAGCCGAACATTTTAGAGTGTCACTTCAGAACAGCGGCACATTAGAGACATGCAACTGTTTCTAAATCTGCTCACACTTTCACAACACATTTTCAAAAACCACACAGTTAAAACCGCTGAGCTTCTAGTCTTTATCCATCTAGCACATGTTCTCATTAACTGATGCACATATGGCACAAAGGACATCCTGTATATGGACACCAGAGCTGGGAGTTTTGCACATATATTGCTTCTGTTAATGATATATGATTCATAGACTCAAGACATCTCAAAAGCTACAGTGTGCTTTTCCTACCCTTCTTTGATTTCAAACGAGGTCAGTCTTTTGTTTGCATATCCTCTCCTGCTCTACTTGTTCTTTTTGTATGGGGTTGCTTACCTGAGGGCCGGATGCTAGTGTTTGAGCCACTCCCTTCAGCCGGTGCAGCATCGCCTGCAGGTCCTGCTGCTGATCCACCACCTCTGACCTCCCCGGGCCGTTCAGGTTCCCCGTCAATGGGAGCAGTAACTGGAGGATGGACCCCATTTCTTGTGAGATCTAAATAGAACAAGGGGGAAACATGTTGATTTATGTTTCTTGTGACTTCTACAAGATGTATAAAGTGTCATTTTAGCTATCGCTTTTGTATTTCCTTAAAACTGTAGCTTGAAACTCCCAACTGGTACAGCTTGGAGGCAGCTACTGTATGTTTGGCCTACATTAAAGGAGCTCAGATGTTTCAGTAAAAAGTAAGCTGTTCGTGACACAAAAAAAAACAAGAGATTTGTTTTCCTTTTTCTCTTTCAGCACAGAACATATTCTGTCTTGAGTGACATCAGGTATTTTCACAAAGGGAGGTGCCTGCATTACCTCATTGCTATATTTAACTTACCTGAGTCAAATATTATGACATGATACTGTTGATCTGATAAGAAAGATATCTGAACAGGGTGGTTTTCAGATGATAAAAGAGCAACACCTTATTGCATAAGTTTGGGCACCTCGGGCCAAAGGACATATTTAGCTGACTTGAAACTAATTAATTATGCGACAAAGAGGCATTAAAATGAATCGGTCTTCAAAGTTATTCCACTTTTTTATTTCATGAACTTTAAAAAAAAAAAGTGGAAACTCTCATACAATGTGACAATACCAAACAGGAAATATAGTGAATGAGTCACGAGTGCAGTTACACACCACATTTTCCTGCTGCACCACAACAATAACAGCAGACACACAGAGTGAGAAGACCTTTTCTGTTCTCTCCTGAATGTAATTTTGTCCCCAGTAGCAAGTCCTTTCTAATACTTATTTTTTCACTCTAAAAATTCAGACCTTCACACCTTCTCCTCGCAGAGGGAGTCTTCGCTTCAAACACAAATCACACTGTCACTGAGAACTTGCACAAAATGTTCTGTCATTGAACTCCTCTCTGCTGACACAGTCACTGTGTTTTTACAACAACATCTACGCATGTTACCTAAAATTCAACGTACAGATGATGTTTCTCCAGTGCTATTATTGTGTGATCTCATCGTAAATGTCTTTAAGGAAATACATCGACACAATTCCCTTTAAAACACGTGATCTGTGAATCATTGTGGGCAGGACTTCAACAACATGACTTTAAAACTAACAATTGCCAACCACAGCAGGGAGATAAAGTCAGTGCAGCCGGTTTCCATCAGGCAGTACTGGTTGTGTTTGTTGATTTGTTCAGATAAAGCAACTATTTCCTACTTCTGAGCGGTGACATACTTTTGTTTTGCACAAGGACTCCACAGTATTCACAGTATGTGTTATAAACAAAACTGTTTTGTCACACTGTGTCGCCTGCTTCTGAGAATGTGTGTGTTTCACAGTTCACATTGTAACGATGTGTATTGTCACATCCAGTTGTTTTAAGGTTAATCCAGAAAAAATAAAACCTGACAAGTTTAGGTGAATTTATCACAATAACACAAAAATCTAATTAAAAATAGTCCTGCTCATTGGCAGTTTCCTAAAACATACAGAAATGTTTAAATAGTACAGTAATAAAACAGGTTCTTGCTTAGCTGCTTTTTGTTTACATTCACAAAGAACAGACAGGCTTCTTACTGCAGGTCAGACTTCCCATCTGCAGCAATCTCAGGGCACCATATGGTTTCTCATAACTCCTCTGTTACAACACCTCTAACCATTTTCAATATCTGTGAAACTTATAAACGGAGCGAACTTGTAAGTAGGCCAAAATATGTTTGGCAGCCTTGGATTTTAATCATATTGTGGAGGCCAGGATACCAAAGGATAATTACTAATATATGCTGGCAGGTGAAGTGAATACCACTGATCATCTCATTACAGAGCAATGTTAAATATTGTTGCAGACCAAGCTCACTCCTTGGTGGCAGCAGCTTTCCATTACTCAGGGACAGATCAAGGAACCCGACAAAGAGCCCAAAGTGTTGAACCAGCCTCCAAACTCCCCAGATCCCAAATCTAATCAAGCATCAGCTAGATGTGGCAGAACAAACCCGATCCACTGCCAAACAACACAGAACACTGTCCCCTGTCCATGCCCTGACAGAGCTGTTTTAGCAGCATGAGGAGGACCTACACATTATCAGGCAGGTGGTTTTAAGTCTCTTATTTGCCTATTTGAATTGAATTATTTAGAGCTAGAGAAGCCTACAATGTTTCCTCTCCATCCTTTAGCTCCTCACCACTTCCACGATAACTGACAAGTAAAACAGTGCCAACAATATCTTTTTTTTTCCTGCTGTCAAAAATTCACATGAAAACCAAGACAGAAAATCTCAGCAATGTTCTTAAACAGCTGGGCACTGTAGCTACTGTCAAACCTTAGAGGACTTTTATGGGACTAGTTTCAACTGTGGATTAATACACACTCAAGTGAGTTTAAACAGCAGCAGGACTGTGTTTGTAGGATCTATTCAGAATGAACTGCAATGATGAAGGAGCATCATGCAGAGCAACAGTGCAGCTCATGGATGTGTTCATAGTTTGTTTTTTTTTACAGCAAAGGCCCAGATGACTTATATAACTTACATTTGACTCTAGACACACAGACAATGCTTGTCAAGGATTAACTTGGTCTTTTCATGAGTTGTGACAGTGACAAAAACAACACCAGATGTATCCTTTAAAGAGCTACACAGAGTACTGAGTACATATCTGCATGTACTATTATTTGGTCATCTTGGCTGATATAGGACTTCAGCCCATTCTTTCTCTGGCATAATGGATTACCAAGCTGTGCCCTGATGGTGTTAAACACTAATCTACCTCTTCTTTACTGACTCCCAGGCTCGCCGTCTCCAGGCTGCTCTCCAGCTCCGACAACAGGGAGGCTTCTCCGTGGCTCCTGTTTTCCTGCAGGGACACCTCCTCCTGCAGCTCCTCCACCTGGGCCTGCAGCTGCTGCGACCGACTCCGGGCCGCCTCCACCTCCTGCCACGCCTCAGCTAGCTGAAAACACAAAGAGAAAGAGATACGCGATAATAAATTACACAGGAGCGCAGACAAATAAACCCGCAGGCACAATCATGATGCTCAGATTGACAACGAGTATAACAAATAAGGAGGTTAAGATAAGGTAATGAATCCTCATAGATTACTGAGTTTTGTTTAGTAATATTTCACCCTGAAGTCAAGAGTGTCATGAGAGACTCGTGTAAAAACTCTACTGACATTCAGGGTGACAGAAATCCTGACGTGCCAGATTCCTGTCTGCAGACAAACATGAAACTAAACGAACACGAGAGGAATCCAGAATTGCTGGTGGAAATTACAATGACGGGGATGAAGTGATTGTTTAGCAATGCTTTCCACAATCCAGCCGAAACCCAGGCCTGCCAGGCAGAGAGCAGAAAATCCCTTTGTTATTGAGGCTCTTTCATTCATACAACTGCACGAAGCCGTTCTGTGGTGCTTGCTGCTACAATGAACACTAATCAGCGCGTATTTAGTTTGAGGAGAGAGTGACGTTCCCGGTGTGTTTGTTTTTTCACCGCAAGTACGTAATGCGTTTGTGTCTGTACCTGCTGGTTGTGCTGCTGGTCGCGTTGGTCGTGAAGAGCCAAGCGAGTGTGCAGAGAGGCCAAACTCGCCCTCAGCTCTGCGTTTTCTTGACACACGCTCTCCAACCGCTGCTCCAGCACCTGTTCCTTCTGTGTGAGTCGCAACACCTGGAAAAACAGGCGCAAACATAAATCTTAGATAACTCTCTTTGACTTTCACTATGCCTTCATCACACCAGTTCAAACCACCAGCAGGAGCTGTCATGAAAAACTGTTAAAAATGAGTATAGAAATATGGTTTTATTTCTCCTTTTTTGGAAGCAAGTAATCAAAATTACTGAAGAATGATTTCTACTGTTGGAATCTGTCTGGCTGCATTTATCTTATTCAGGAGATATGCGTCTCCCAAACAAGAATTTGGACTTTTCTCCTCCCTGATAAAGCCTGAATTTGCTCAGTAGTTTAAACTAAACACAGATACTGCTTCTTTTGTATTGTTAATCATAAAAAAAACACTGTTATCACCACCATCAATGGAAGTTCTTTAAAGTTTGGTCTCATTTTTAATTAAAAGAGAGAAAAACATATTAGTATGCAAACATTCCTATTTCCTATTGTAAAAATGCCCAATGTTGGTTTTGTATTCTTGCTGCATTTTCTTGTTTCTACTCTGGTTTGTCTGGTTTTTATCTCCATAATTTTTTTTTATTTTATGTGTCCAGAATAAATCCATTTGTTCTATTACCTGCATTTAAGTGTTGCAATATAAGATTTTTAGTTGTTTTATGTTCTTAAAAGTGAAATATTATCATTTATAATCACTCATGTGTAAATGAAGGCACCAAACTGAACTCAACAATCAAACAGAAAATGAATCAGCAACTGGAAAAACACTATCAACACTTCTGAGAGATAAATGCGACATGAAAACACATGCTGGGGCTGATTGTTCTGGTCATTCTGTCTGTTTAAGTGCATGATGCTTTCATGACTACATACTGTTTGATGAATCATCCTTTTAGCATAACAGGGACATTTAGGATTAGGTGTGTTTACACGTGTGAGTGGTTCAAAAGTTACCTGCTCTCTCATGGCACTGATCAGCTCCTCATCCTGCTGCCTGTTGTGGCTTCCTTTTTGTTGGAGCTCCTGTTTTAGCACCTGCAGCTCGCTAGACATGGCTCGCTCCACCTCCATCGCCTACAAACGCACATCACAGAAAAAAAATCACACGAGTTTCACAAATGGAGTAAACGAAAAACGCAGAAAACTTGCAGGACAGACTTCTGTGTTCATTTTGTTTAATTTCAGACACGATGATGGGGCTACAGAGAAATCCAAGCACAGAAAATAAATCCTGAGCCAGAAAAGTGTAATCGTACATGTGTATTGGTGAGCCTAAAACTCCAAAACGAAGCTTGCCTCAGGCATGAGCTTTAAGAGAACAGAAACCACAGTCTTTAAACTAAAAATAACCAAACATACAGCAGGAGATCTCTCTGGAGTGAAGTCCTGTAATCTATACTGAGATGAGAAGAAGCTGGGGATTAGGTGACTAAAATTAAATGTGGTTGGTACTTTTTTTTTCTTCTTCTTTTTTTTTTTTTTTTTTACTGTGGGCCCTGCAGCAAAAAAGAAAATTAGATCTCTTTCTGTTAACACAGTGTTTCCAAAGCTGGGAGGTCAGCTTTCTAGCTGCTTCAGATCTGAGAAATAGCAATATGGTGGTTCTGAACTCAAGACACAAAGGCCATAACCTGACACTGAAGAGGGATCAGTAGATTTTGGGATTTTTTGAAGACTGCTGGCAATTGTTTTTCCAAGTTTTCTGTTTGTATCACATCCCACCCATGAGCAGGCAGCGAGATGATGCACAGTCCTCCCAACGGTACCAGGCTGCTCAGCTGATCTACAGGTGGCAGCTGTAACAAGCCAAGAAACATGGCGATGCACTGCTTAGCCAGCTAGAACACGTGGATATGAACAATGTAGGATCTAAGTTTAAGAAAATAAGTTGAGCAAAGGAGGAAGGAAATTCTCAACATACTTCGACGAAGCTCAAAGATGCACACAATGCATTTTGAGGGAAACGGTCAATGTAAACATCACTTTGTTCATGAGAAACTTCGAGCCATAAAAGCTGGGAGCCCTGACTGTAACTTACTCATTGAAAGAACAGGAAAGTTTGCCAATCACCTAAAGTGGTAAATAATTTACTCTTCTCTCTGCTGGTTCTATTTGTTTCACTAAGAATCGGCTACTTTTGCAGAACATCTTTCTCAAACACAATCAATAAAACACAGAAACTCAGGGATCTCTGGGATGCTGCTGCTCCACTGCTGAAGCCTGAGTGAACAAACCATCCATTGCCCTCCACCTCCTACTCCTCCTCCTCCCCTGTCCCGGTTTTGGACCCCTGGTTCCCCTTACTCAGCAGTTTGGCGGGCCCCTGTCAGGTCCCATCACGGCCACATAATACAAGATGAAAGTCCGGACGCCGCGGCAGATGGAGCGGAGGGCATCTTGGTCTCGGCAGTGACATCACCATGCCACATTAGACAACAATGTGGCGGAGGCTAAAACTTGGCCATCGTGAGGGTAAAGCTGGAGGGGACAGCTTGAGAGTACGGCAGGAGTGTGCGGAGGAAATGAGGGCTAAAATTAGTGAAACGTGTGTGTGACGAGAATAAAGTTGGGCACCGATGGACAAAAACAAAACATAGCATGCAGACACACTGCGAGAAGAAGAGTGGGGAGGGTAGGGGGGTCCAAGATTTGTGAGTCGTCATTACTGCTGCAACATGGGCCTCTTCCACAATAGAGGCAGCGACCCACTGAGAATCACCAACACACGAGTGGAAGGAGTGCACTGCATTCGGTGGCGACACAAAGCCCGAGATGATATCCCCTCGCAAGGCCCCCCGAGCCCGAGGCCTTCAGCAACCCAAACACCGAGTTATCCGACAGCTGACTCCCCCAGCTACAGCAGAGCCCCTCAGGGAGCGCACAGAAAGGACAGGCTTTCCCCTGGGATGAAGGGATGTTTGGGTATGAGCGGGCAACATCAAAGGAGAAAATTAAAGATTTATATCTCTCTGCAGCGTTTATTGTCTTTTCCTTTCTGTCCGTGAGCTGGCTGATGCTGGCAGAAGGGAGCAGAGGTCACGGGGGAGCTTGTTTCAATTCAGGCATCTCCTTTTACAATAACGGAAATCCACGGCGAGGGATTCGTCACAGCTGTCCAATAACATGCTGAGCCACAGCCACAGCAAGCCATCATGTAACAGTGGGTGGACAGCAGGAGGTGAAAAGGTAAAGTGTTGTTTATCTGCTAACAGGGACATACAAAAGACCCTCTTTGATACAAACAAGGTGGCCAAATTATAAGAAGCACCTCTGAGGATACAGTACATTAACTTTCTGATAAAAAGGATAAAAGGTAAAAAGGTTTATTTCGGCTTGGGGTTTGGCACTGGTAAACAAAGAAATAATTACTTTTCTCACATGCTTGCTAGTATTTCTTTTTGTATCTATCTCTTTTTTCCATTTATTTGCATTTTCTAAAAAGTTTTAGAGTTGAAGTAAAAAGTAGTATAAAATTGAAATACTCAAGTTAAGTACAATCCCCTTACAATTATACTTAAGTACAATTCTTTAAAGCAAATTAACTTAGTTACTTGTCACCACTGGTACTAAGGCAGATCAAATGGTAGATGCCCCGCTTTATTAAAGTTACACCTTACAGTATAACTCGATAAAAATTCAAAATAATCAAAACTACACTCTTAAATGAGCCTAATGTTTATCAGCGCTACTCTACAACAGGTTTAACAAATATTCTGTTGTTCGTCATTAGTTTTAGTTATAACAAACTGACAGATGACATTGTTTTGTCAGAGTCTCCCTCCTAGTACTGTTTTACTAAAGAACTGTGCTAACTCAGATTCAACACTGACTGTGGCACATTAAGTCAAAGGATCTGGTGTAAATATAAATTATGTTAACCCAAAGTGTGAATAGTTCATTTACGTTGATTCACGTCCAAACCAAAGTCCTGAACTGACCTTTAGGAATGTATTATTAATTTCTTTATATCTGAGTAAACAACCCGTCCCAAAAAGCATCCTAAACATCTCATCTCCACCCAGTAATCACACTCCCGTTCCTATCATTTCTAAAGTTGCACAAGAATCAGACTAACTCAGCAAAAATGTTTTAATCTTGCTTTTCTTTCTTTTACCATAATTACTGTCATAATCTCCTGGTACCCCAGAATTACATTTTATGTATTTTCTTGTTAGAGACTGCCTGGAAACTCCCTCTTTAAAGTAATTAACTAAGAAACTGAAGCATGAGACACAGAATAAAGTCATTAATGTTTGACTTCTCAGCTGTTTTTTTTTTCCTGTTGCGGGAATAATTTGCAATGGAACCAGAACACCTGACATCACTGGTCACTCCTTGACAATTTAACACTTATTTTCTGTACCTCGGCTCTCATTAAACATGTGACAGACTGGCAAACATCCACATCGCTTTATTGCCGCCACTACCTCAAATGCACCAGGACGGGGATTGACAGCAAATCTTTCCTATCTCACAACAGAGTCATGCTGGTAAATTCTTTCTGAATTCTTTCTCTCTCTCAGGTTTCTGTGGTTCGATTACAGACACCCTCCTCCAGATTCTTGCCCTGCTCTGCTTACACTCTCACACATACACTCTATAGTATAGAGTTTCAGGTTCTGTGAAACCTGCTAAGGTTTCATTAGATACAAAGTCACAACCCAGAAGAGATTCGGCATGCACAGAAATGATCTGAAGTGCACTTTCGAGTCTTTGTTTTTAAGACACATTAGGGTGTAAATTAACTTTATAAACTTGCTCCAGACAACTTGAGTGAAGCAAAAGGATATAAATATAAAAGAAACATGAAATGTGTACAGTTTCCTGGATTGTCTTCTGGTCCCAAATGTGAACACAAGCTGATTTTCATAGCTATCAGTGATCATAAACTAAATATCTTTCGGTTTTGTTCTGTTTACTGGACAGCTATGGCATCTGAAGGGGATCTGTAAACATTTTCTCTCATGTTACATTCATATACACATATATTACTCATTAACTCAAGACAATAATGAACAGGTTTACTGATAACGCTGGCCCGCTAAAGCACAGTCGGCACAAAGCCACACTCACATAGTCAGAACTACAGTCACAACTCACCCTAGCAGGCAGCGGGGCAACAGAGGCAACGAAACCTGTCACCACGTCAGGCAAACACCCGTCAGACATGAAGCTTCTTCACATTCTTAAACACACTCCCTCTTGTCTCTTCTTTTACAACCACAGTCGAGAGTTAGCCATGTATGATGCCAAATACAAAACTTCCTCCACTTTCCTCTCCTAGAGCAGCTCAAACGCAGATAAAACACTTTTATCTAAATTGACATTTTCCTGAACTTCTTCTGGGGAGTCTGTTTTCCACACTAAGACTCTCAGCCTGGCCACAGAAGAGGGGGAGAGACATTTACAGTTCCTTATTCTGCGGACCTTGACTCATCGGTGGGTGGACTCTGTTTGATTCATTTTTAACTTTGCAAGCTCAGGTTTGCTGTTCATTTTGAAAACAACACAAGGAACTGCTGGACCAAGCGATTGGTCATGTGGAACGCAATGCGTCACAACTGTAATGTTTAGCAAAACAGAGCCCCACTCTTTCACACTGGAAAAAAACTCAAGGTTGTCCAGCTGTGTGATCCAATCGTCTCCTCCCTGTCGACTGATAAGAGGCTGTAAAATATGTCACTGGGGTGATTTTGCTCTCGGTGTTCACATTTTTTCTTAGAATCGAACACCCAAGATCATAAATATCTGATTGGAGCACGTAATTATAGGAGTCAGCTGGACGATGTCAGGGTATTGTGTCATACCAGTGTCTAAGTTAAAAATTAACATCATGTAACAGAATTTACTGGTTCATCTGATTATAATGTGCTTATGTAGGGCACAACCAATGGGTAGTTTCGCAATCGGTTAATCTTCTAACTTTTTCTCAATTAATAGCTTAGAAAATGTCTAAAAAGTGGAAATGTCTAAATTTCTTGTTTTGTTCGAATAAAAGTCCAAAAAAAATTGAAGTACATTTAACAACCTGTGATCAAACAGTATAAAAATGACTTAAACAGTCAGTCTGCCTATCGAATAATAGTTTTTTTTCTTTCTCATGTGTTGAATTCTTTTTACAAAATCAACAGACCTGCTGGACTGAAGATAAGCAAAGTGAAACCAAAATATTCCAGACATTTTCTGTCCTCGATCTAAAAATCAAATCACGGCATTAACTTTCACTCCTTCTCTAGTTTACATATCATTTCCATGCAGCACGGTTCATTTGCCTCAAGCCAACAACTCAGATTTTGTCTCATAGCTACCAACTGACTAAATCCACTTCTGTCTCTCCTGCTCACATAAAAACTTTTCTTTTTTTTTGTTAAATCAAAACTTGAATTTCTACACTAAGCATTTTGCTTTGGCCTCGTTCTGGACCAGATTAGACTGAGTCAGACTGATACCTGAGTGGTTTTCAGAGAACACTGAGCCTCTCTGTGTGGATTGGATGACAGCCCGGCTTATCTAGTTTGGCTCAGACGGCCTGCAGGTTTGGATCCTCTGAAGGTGTTTGTTTCAGAGAGGCTCGCGTACCTGTTGCCACCAGGCTCTATAGTTCAGCCCCAGATCATGATGTGAATAACATTAAATTATAACATTCCATGAAGCTAGAAATGCCGCCTGTTATCGCTTGTGCTGGACTCACAGTGTTCAGCTCCTCCCTGAGCCGCTGCGTCTGCTCGCTGTGCTCCAGCTGGGCTCGACTCCTGTCCTTCTCGGCCTCGCTGAGTGCCCGGGTGAGCCGCTCCACCTGGGCACTCAGCTCCCTCACGTCCCGCTCCAGGTCGCCCACCTGGCTCTCCCACTGGGACTGGGAGCCCTCCAGCTTCAGTCGGAACTCATGCTTTCCCTGCTCCAGCTCCTGAGCACAGATGGAAGGGAATCATGTCTTAGCAGGTGAAAGAATATAAATGAAGCACAACAAACATCCCAAAAGTTAAGCCATAAATACAGCTTATCCAACGTGTTTATGTTGTGGCGGTTAGTAACTATAATGCTAAAAAAGGATGCTTCCTGGCATCTAACAATAGCATATTGTTTTGGAAGGAATCTGAGTGATGAAATGTGCCGGTGTTCCTCATTCAGAGCTATGAAGGATCACAGCTGCAATTTGAATTAACAAAATGGAGTAACTGATGGTGTGAGAATTTACAACACATAATTTATTCCACAAGAGGAAAACATCCAATCTGTTTTCCTATATTCCATCACAGTGGAACGCACACATCCCCTTACAGCTGATTAACAGTTTTAATCAATATCTATAAAAACAGTCATTGCAGCCTTTTCCAATCATCCATCATGGTTTATACATGCACCTGTCTGCAGCTTGTCTTTGCAGCACTTGGCAAACTAGTTTATCTCCTTGTCCTTACAGTGCCTTGGCTGACAGTCACATCTGATTAGATAAAACAGTGAACATCTGAAGGAGACATCAGCACTGACCCTGAGAAAGTGATAAGGCCATTATTCAATCTGTCATAACGTCTCAGGTGTGTGATTCTGTGCAGCAGAAAGGTACAAAAATGTGAAGACTAAGCTTCAGTTCACCTGCTGCGATTTGCTAAACATTTGGTAAATTTGGAGAATCAATATCAAGTAACTTCAGGATCTCAGTGAATCTATGTTTCTTGTTGCCGACTCTGTTCTCTCTTTATATCAGAAGTTAACTACAACTGAAGTCTTGTCAGGAGTTAGTGTTTTATAAGTCAGCAGAAAGTTGCTGGCTTCATTCACAACCTGTGAACAAAGCTCGCCTGAGAAGCATTTCAGCATGTCTGTTTGAATACTTCTGCAGTCAGTGGACCAACACAAAAGACCTTTTTTTAGAGATCAGAGAAGCATGAAGCTGCTGATCAAACTGGAAAAAAAAAGTTTAGCAGTGCAACCATTTTTGAAGTGGAACCAACTTTTCTGCCTGTTTACATTAGACTGTGTGAATGACGGATACACAGCCTACTGTGGATTGTACACAGTGGGTGTTGATGTGTTTTCCCACCACATAAATGTCAATTTTATGTCTTATTGCGTCAAACGACACGATTTATACATTCACTGAGCACCTGTGAAAACTAATACAGCATCTCTGCCATAAATTCTACTTTTATGAGGCTTATGTCATCAGATTATTCATTATGGAGGCTATCGTAGGTGGATGTGGTGTTCTGGATTGCAATATTGATAAGTGTTTCTAACATTTTACCCTCCTTTATGTCAATTCATGGGTTGAAAAAATAAAAGGAACACTTCAGTAATTTAAAGCAGACAATGGATTGCATTAGGGTTTTCCTAATAAACTGCTCAGTGAGAGTGTATTACTTTAAAGTTGTTTTACTGGACAAATAATCAAGAAAGTCACAACTGGGTGCATATAAACACATACAAATGAATAAATCTTCCATATTTTTCTGCTTACAAACACTCTTATGATGTATAATTGTGAAGAAAAATGCCAACCTGTATCTAGTTCACACAATATCCTCAAAGTTGCTCTCCTGTCTGATACCTTTTCTAGACATGTGAGCTGGCATTTTCACTCGTTGTTCTTGCATTTTCGAAGCTGAAATACATTTTAAATCGTTTTTTTAATAATCAGGAGAAACCTCATTGTCACCCGCCCACCTCAAAACACGAGCAGCCACGGCGTCGCCAAAACTTTTCAAATCGCACATTTCACTGATTATCCTCCATTTTTAGAATATTTTCCTCTAATTTATCTTATCTACCGACGCCCTGCTACACAGAAAGAGCAGATTTTCCTTACCTCCAGCGTGTCTGCGTACTGTTCCTGAAGTTTTTCGCTGTGCTCTTTGAGCTGACGGTTTTCCAGGAGCAATGCGTTTCCCAGCTGGGCTGCCAAAATAACCTCTTCCTCCTTTTGTTTCAAAGCAGCCAGAAGTTCATTGGGGTCCCGATAATCTGTTATTTCCCCCGCTCCGTAGCCGAAGTAGTAATCGTCCTCCAGATCCATTTTCTTGGACTTGAAGCTCCATTCATCCAGTCGATCCATAACTAATTTAATTAGACCTTCTTAATTGAGTGAAAAAAGACAGAAACAACAACAACAAAAAGAAACACGCTGAAACGGTGCCATTAATGTGCCATTAAAGATGCGCGTTCATGGCACCTGAGGTGCAGCTGCTGCTTCGGTAAGAGTCTGGATGAAAATGAAGCTGAAACTCTCCGGTGAGAGTAGGCTGCTCTCCGTGTCACCAACAGATGACTGTTTTTCTCCAGTGGGAGTTGCCTTCAGTCACCTGAGCAACTGTTGCCACCCCGAGCGGCAACCACAGAAACACCTGTCCTGGTTAGAGCGCTGCGCCATCATGGAAAATTACGCACAGATACGCCTGTATGGTGCTATAAAACGCAGCAAATACTGTTTTATCTAAAATGTGAGTAACTGCTGTACAAGCATCACTATAAAACACTGCTTAAAATGCTTTATAGAGAAGCTTAGTTTGACTGTTGTCTGACAATATATTTCGTTCTTCTATTAACCTGGAAAAAAAGAGATTACATTTCCATTTTAATTTCTGTAAATATCCACTCCTAATATATATATATAATGAAGTTACAGTGTCTGTCATTATGATAACCATTATCTGAGATCCCTCCTCTTATTGTTGATATAACAATATTGTCTGTGTGTCCATTTTTGTATCACTTTTGCTCCCCCATATAGTTTTTTGTTGGATAAGGAGTATGCAGTTTAACATTGTTCCAGTCTGATGCAGAGCATGAAACCAATGAGGTGTACAGAAAGTTTATAGCTTTGCTGATTTTTAACTCCCTAGCTGGGCTTCTACATACACAGTAGAATGAAAATACAGTTTTCATTCTTATTAGATTATAACATACAACAGACATGGATGTTCAAAGAAATGCATAACAAAATGTGTCAACTGTGATGTAGAAAAATATCTAAAAAAAAAAGCAACAACTCTGATTTGCCTTAACCTTTGTGTTGAAAAGATTTTAGATCTATATATAATTTAAGGAATTAAATGTTGTTTGGTAATGACCTCCAAACAGGTATCCATTATGTAGCTTTTCCAGCATCTTGCCAGATGATCATAAACTACAGATTTTAGATTTCAGCAGAGCCACCTTTGGCAATAATTACACCATAACAGTGAATAGAGTTCTCTCTCTTTTTTCAAGCAACAAGTGTTCAACAAATGGACTGTGCAAGGTTCTTGACTGCCAAGGAGGGGGAGTGTCTGCCTGCTTTGTCTAGACGCTTTCCAGAGGTCAAAGGTCAGCCTCTACCAGGTTTCATGGAGCAGGGGCCAGTGTCAGGGGAATAAAAGACAAAGCATCCTGACGCATGGCGCAGCTTTTGTAGCCGGGGAGGCAACAGCTTCTGTACATATGGCAGTGGGGACCAAGCAAACGTGTTAGCGCTGTATGTCAAGGCCCAGTATGCCTCACCGCCATTGTCGCCATTGTTCCTGCTCAGTTTACAGGCTGCCGATGTGCCGTAAGTGTGACGAGGTGTCTCATAAGCCGCCTGCAGTGACACATGTGCTCACATCAACACACCACGGCTAACAAGCAGTTGCGTTGGAGTGTGCGCGCATACAGTCAGACGTGAGACATTAGGAAGAAGCTCGAGTCCTCTTAAAGAATACAATCGTCAACCTCTTTCCACACTTATTACAGTAAAGATGACATTTCCTTCTACTGAGTCAGACCTCAGAGTGATGGTGCCTATTTAAGTCCAAGGTTTCTGCTGTAGGAGTTGCTGCAGAGGAGAAGAAATAGGCTTGATGCTTCGCAAGCAAAACCGACAACCATAAAACCCTGCTTGATGTTTTAAATCAAAGAATCAAGTGCTGCTATAACTCCCTGACAACAATAATACTGTATATAACACCGTCTGTGCACTCAACCAGCTCTGCATCAGCTGCATCAGCAAGATGTGAGATGGTGCTGAGAGTGCTAAATTATGCTCAGAGTAAAGGGTATATAAATATTATCAGCGCTGATCAGAATTTAGATGAGGAGACACAGTGAGAGACTCTATAGATCTTGATTTCATCAGTCAGGAAGGAAGGCTCACCTCCAGAGTTCATGCTTAGACTTATTCTCTAGAGATGATATAGATCATAATTTGAGCCCAATGTTCACCCTAGAAGAGAGGATAGACGTTAATGTAAATACATCCACAGGGAGTTATAAATGAAGTTGGATTTGTGTTTGACTCCTGCTAATATGCCAATTTTATGCATCCACTGGGAGCCACTTTAAAGCTGGCTAAAGGAGTGGTAGTGCTTTATTTAGATGGAAAATACAGGGATTTACACAATGGAAAAGCAAAAACCTCCTTGTTAAGACTAGAACCTTTAGTGTTATTGGATTGCCATTACTTAAGCAGTATCACATAAGCAGGATTTTATTGTTGATTGAGGTGGAGCTCATTATCACAATGTCATGTAATGTACAGTGCTGTAAAAGATACAATACTACCCTATGAGCTGTACTGGCAAAAAGGTATCAAGTAGCATTAAATATAAATATTATATACACACACACACACACACATGCACGCACACACACACACGTATATAATAAAATATAAATAATCAGGAAAATACTTTTAAATGACACTTAACTGCAGTCTTTGAGTATATATACTTTCCACGTTTTAATACCACTACCACAAATGTATGCAAGATTTAATCATTTGTTTGTGTAACACTAACCAATCACAGAGCTCTAGTGACCTCTAATGGACAAAACTGCAACATGCATTTATTTTAGTTAAATTCTTACAGTATTGATTTCCTTTCCTGAGGAAGAGGTTGAAGCGAGAGATGTGAGATCAAATTTGAGGGAGAAAAAAAAGAAAGATTTTATATCAATAGTACAATCAGGAGAGATAAGGGGATGTTGAGGGTAAATCAAAGAAAATGACAATAGAGAGGTAGTAAGTTGGAAATAGAAGTCCATTGCCCCACACTAAATACACCAGACATTTTTCAGATTTCAGAAATGATTTAAAACTTAATGACTCCTGCAAACTAAAACCTTGTTAATGTGTCCATATGGTGTTTTTAATATGCTAGAAGACACATCATAAGGGAAATGAGATGTCAGTGTCATGGCTGATATTTCCACCTTGAAACTGCAGCGCACCAATTACAGTCTCAAAAACACCGATTCAGATTTTCTGTGTTTCGTATGAAACAAACCAGAGGAACCCATGATGTAGATTTGGGAGACGGGGCTTTCTGAATCATTATTCATCTTCAGAACTGGTTTCCGGCTCAAACACATGTGACTGAATTACTTGGCATTGTGTAACATAGACTACTTTTACAGTAGGTGAGCTGGTGTGTATGAGCTGCAGCGAGTGCAGAGGGGCGAAAGGTGAGAGAGATGGGGACTTCATAAATGTGCAAACTATAATGAAGGCAGTGGTGTAGACTTAAATTTAAGCCATTTTATAATAAGAAGGGTTCATTTTCAAGGTAAAAAAAAAACATATATACAACAAAAATATCGAAACCTGTTACACAGAAAGGAGTTTGTTGTTAAATCAGCATACAGAGAGGGGGTTTAAATACGCTACCTCACTCACAGACTAAATGTAAAATAGAAAAATGGTCCAGAATTATGTAAACAGGTGGCAATTTATTATTATTTTGTGTTTTATGTATATTTTTTTAACATACATTTTGTTGTAATCAGATAAATTTCTATTTTTTTGATTTTTTTTAAGCTTTTAAAAGTAATGGCAATGTATATCCATTCTAATTTTTTTCTATATATTTTTAAACTTTGTGTTATTATTTGGTATAAATAGGTAAATTAAATTTTTTTTCTTCTGTTTCATTTTATTCTTCACTGATGTTGAATTGTTTCATGCTTTGAGTACATGTGGCAATTTATTACTATTTTCTTTTTTAAGCCTATTTTTGAATATATATTTTGCAGTAAACAGCTCCATTTATGTTTGTTTGTTAAGCTTTTTAAAATTATAGCAATGTATATCCATTTTATATATATATATATATATATTTCTAGATTAAAGATTTGTCATGATTATTATTCTGTTTCATTTTATTCCTCGCTGATGTTGAATCGTTTCCTGTATGAGGTGATGTGCTCCCTCCGGCCTGCAGGGGGCGCTGTGTGCACAAGCGCTGCTGTCAAAACCTGGTGAAAAGAGGAAACTCAGCTTGTAAACACTCTTGAACGTTGAGTCGCTGAGTGGAACAGACTGGTTGTAACTTATGGAAATTTGTCATTTACCAATAAAGTGACAATGGAACGGAGTGCAGGGACAATTTCAGCTATTAAAGCTCTAAGGTAAATAACATCTAACAGCTCTGTTTTTCGTTTTATAGCTGCGTAGTCGCCGCACACCTGTGTGTTATTATGACAACCTAATTAAAGTCAGTACTTATAAATACCGGTAGCTTACGAGCTAGCAGTAAATCAAACAGGCTTTATTCTCAGCATTTCGCTAAATGTGTCATTTTCTGGCTATATTCTGTGCTTTTCGGTGTATCATAAAACTTGGCTGCCAGGTAATCTCACCTGTCGTCTCTACTTCCTGGTCAGGTATCCAGGCGGCTCCTGCCTCTCCCGTTGCTCATGTGATGAGCTTCCGTGTCCGCTACTCAGCTGGCTGGCTGCTGAGCTCAGGAATCTCTGTCCGGAGCTGCGAGGTGACTCACAGCTTTATGTTTTTGTGATACTTAAAAAAAAAATTGCGTTAAACATGGATGCAGCATTTCTGTACTTTAGTTTTCTTATATTCTGTACATCAACATCAGCGTAGGTGCATCTGCTATAAACTGAAATCAGCTAATATATCAATCTACAAAAACTCTAATAAATAATGGAACAAAATGCAACAAATGAATGAAAGTGCAGGTTAACTGTTGATATAATAAGGTAGAAGCTATAAACAAATTTGACAGAAAGTTTACTGTTGCATTTTGTTATAGTCTTTTATAGTTGTCTTCGTAAATTTCCATAGAAACCACATTGAATTTACCTATAATTAAATGTGTTGTCTTTCCCTTTTTAGACTCAGACAGGACAGGTGACGTCTTGCTGGTGGGAGAGCTGAGAAATTTACTGTCAGACATGTCCTCTCCTCTCGCTGTCCTGACCTCTGAGGTGCTAGAACCGTCCAGCCTAAACAAAGTCGCCGGTGAGAAATGAGAGTCTGGTGGATGCCGTTGCAGTGATGTTCATTGTAGCACTTATTTGTAAATTTGCTATGCATCATTTTTAAATGAAGTGTGTATTGTCCTAAACTAATTTTGAATAATCCTACAGAATTTCTCATATCAGAATTGCAAGCAGCTAGCATACTCAAGCATAAGGATTTGCATCCCGAAGAGAAGACAGCAGGAGAGGAGTCTGAAAAAGAGCAGCGGGTAGAAAGTCACAGCCATGAAGTCGCTGAGTGTTATCGGGAATACGACGATGATGATGTTTCAGACAGAAGGAAGGCAGAAATGCAGGCAGAATGGATATTATTGCTGCACGCCCTTGACATGGATGCTTCCTCTCAATTTGAAGATGTGTTGAGTGAGGTAAGACTGATTAAGAAAAAGAGAGTTCTTTATAAATCAAACAAAGAAGCTCTGAAAGATTGTTAATATTTGCTGTAATGCAGGTGAAGTCGAGACTTGCCCAACTACCATGTGGAGAAATGACAAAGTCTCTTCTTAAAACCAGCCCAAGCGCAGAGCAATGGGTGCGTTTCCAGGGCTGTTACTAGTTCATTACACATTAGATGTAACTCTAATGTGGGTATTTAACCTTTTTTCCTTTCTATTTTTAGATACAAGTGAAGAAGTTAAACCAAGTTTTGCTAGAGGATTATCAGTGTCGGAGACAAATGATGATCAAACGCTTTCAGGTTACGCTTGCATCATTTGCGTGGGGAGAAAAACAAAAGGTAGGCACATTAACTCCCTGTACCTGTTAAAATTCACTCAAGAGTGGACAATTTGGTTGTTAGTTGGGCTTTAGCAATTTCTAATAACCCCTGTCGTCAATTACGTACTTTGGGTGACAGCTAACAAACCCAAAATAGTTGGTTCATTAATTACAGTCACAGTCGTATGGTTATAGCAATGTAATGCACAAAATATGCACTGCGCCACGGTTTTGTTGTACAATATGGATGTACAGGTATTTTGGTGGGCGTAGTTCTGATTCTGGAGAAGCTTAGGACTTCTAGAGCATCTATTAGCTTTTGGAAGTTGTTGCATTTTTTAAAATTGTCGTCAAAACCCTTCAATGTGAAAGAAAATGCTGCTCTAAAACTGAATCTGTAACCCAGCTGCAATGCTGTTATGTTTTATCACAGCAGCAAGACAACGCTGCCATCAAGAGGTCAAACTGCAACAAAACAATACCTCCATCACTTAAGCTAAATCAGTCATTAAAACTGCTGCTGACTACTTTTCTGTCAGTTGACTATTGACTTCTTTCTCCATCATGATGTATCAGTTACTGCAATAGAATATGTGTGGGTGCAACAGAAGAATCATGATGAAAACTTCCCAGTTCAGTCAGTCCTTTATTTACAGGAGCGCAGTGCAGCGCTGGCTTCAGTGCCTCCTCTTGCATCCCTTGCCGGCTCATCCCAAGTGTCTCCATCTCTTCTGCTTGCTACCAGAGAGGATCAGTCCTTCACTGATCTAATCAAGGCTGAAACAAACACCCCTGTCTACAAGGTACAAACTTAACATGCCTATGTTCTTAATGAAGTTGCCTCCAACCCAGTAAAGCTTTACTAATTTTCTTTGGTCTTAATAGACACTAATGGGCAGTGTACCGGACAGAGGAGGGCGGCCAGGGGAGATTGAACCACCTATGCCAGCGTGGGAAGGGCGAAGAGCGAAAGGAAACAGATGGGGACAAGGAGGTGGACAACATCAGCGACATAAATTTTCAGGAAAGAAGAAGAAAGGGAAAAGGGAGTAAAATGTCTTTATTTTGGTCTTTACTGCTCAAATTGGGAATAAAAAAATGATTTAAAGTTTTGTTGTAAAATAAATGACAAGTGTGGAATGACATAATTTTACAGTTATAAATCTGTGTATAATTTGTAGTTCTACTCCATGTACATACTTGATTGTGTACATTTCTAAAATGGCTTGGCATTGCTATAATCTACTGGTATGCGACCAGATATTTTTTTGTAAAACTTGCGTTCATATCAAAGAACAAAAAAGAAAAATGATGCTTAAATTTTATGTGTTTGCTCCCCACATTTCTCAATGGGTTTGCTGAAGAATAAACCTATTAAAAGCAGATTTCTAGTTATTTTGTGTGTTGCTGATCGTGCTTTTATGCTTAAAACAGCACATTAAGACTGTTTGTTTATTTATTTGATAATCAGACCACACTGCTGTTTTATTTCTCTTTTTTGTTATTTAAGTTGCTGGAACTTTTGCTAGACATACACCATTTAAATGCAAAATGAATGCAAACAAATAAGTTATACAATACTTACCTGACGGAATCGTCCTTGTTGGTTCCATCATACCGGAAGTTACACGGAGGCAAATGATGTAACACATGGAAAGTTCCGGAGTAGCTAAAGGTCGAGATAAAGCTGCGAGCGGCGTCACACTCACACAGTATTGCGACTGTATTTTATCAGACTCCCATATAAACTAACATAATACTAACAATATGCCGAGAGGAAGCAGAAGCCGGACATCCAGGATGTCCCCTCCAGCCAGGTAACATTTATTTTTTAAAGTTATTTGTTAAAAGCTGTCGAATGTTAGTGAGGATAATGTGTGGGCTAGCACCAAGCTAACGGTGAGGTAACGTTATAGTATCATGTTAGCCAGTGCTTGCCAAGACAATCTCTGGTGATGAACTGCTGTAATAAATTTGAAATATTTTTTGTATATGTAAATGTCTTGCTGTTTTCTAATGAAAACGCTGTTTGTTTAAAGGTCATTGACGAATGTAACAAAGGTCACACTTTCTTCATTATCTGTTCGGCGGAACTACAAACTCAATAATAAACATTTTTAAAAACAAACAAACACCCAGTAGGACTGCGTAAAACTAGGGTCAGTTACACTTTAACCTATAACTAAACTGAGAGTTAATTCGAGACTATATTTTGTTAAGACACACATTAACCTGGGGTATGTCTGTTTTGCTCAGCGTTGTGACAATGAATGTTCTTGACTTATTATGTAGCTACCGTTTACCTAAGTGGAAAATGTCTGAAGGTTTCGGTTAGTTTAGACTTTGTTACAGAAACAGCCAATACTTCTGATATATTTGTATTATGTCCCCCTCACGCCATCCAGCCATCCATTATCTATACACCGCTTAATCCACTCCATACATATGATGGTAAAATAATACTAATCTTTATTTATAGAGCTTTTTTAAACATCATTACAAAGTGCTCCCTAAGGCAGTCAAATATAACATTTAGGCATAAAATCATCAGAATTTACAGGACTGATAGAACCACAGCATGGTTGAAACAGCAGTGTTAAAAGGTACAAAATAGAATTGGGGAATAAATGAAAACAATTTGAACAAAATCAGGAAAGTCTCTTTAATAGTATAGTTTAAGAAGCGCTTTGAAAGACATGACTGGCTCAGCCAATCTGATTTCCTTGGACGGATCATTCCAGAGCCTTGGACATGTTTGTCTGGCATTGAACTGTGTTACTTACGTCTAGTTTAGATTAAGTGACGCATGGAACCCCTGGACTCTTGATACTTTGTCCAAGATCATGTAAAATGACTTTGTCAATATCACCAGCTCTATTGCCAAACTGTAGACAGAAAACTTCCTGTCAATGAACTTAAGTGATACCATCACGCTTGTGCTGTGACATTACATACTGTTCTCACATTTACTAGATAAAGCACCTTTTTTTTTTCTTTACCACACCTTTAAAAGATATTGTATAAAATTCACCCTTGGCACAGGTGAGCTTTCTTTATCTACTGGATGTCATGATTAGGATTGGAACTAACAATTATTTTCATTTTTGATAAATTTGTTGATTATTTTCTTAGTCAGTTGTTTAATCTACAAAGCATCAGCAATTGAATTGAAAATCATCAATATGTGTTTCTTAAAGTCCAATATGACTACTCAAATGTCTTGTTTTGTTAACAATCCAGAAATATTCAGTTTACTGTTACAGAGGAGTAAAGAACTTTAAAAATGTATTTCAAGAAGCTGGAATTAAAAGTCAAAATATGTGGCGATTAATAGTCGACGACTAATTGACGAATCAGTTAAAAATTGCAGCTCTAATCACAATAAGAGTCTAAACACTGAAATCATGGCCTTTTGTTTAAATAACTGCATAGCACCCAAGTGTGCAGAACCTTTTTCTTATTTTCTTAAGATTTTCAGTTTTGGTCTTCCTGCACCCAAATATTGTCTCACTAGTATTGTAATACTTTTAAAAGCGTGAGCTCTAACTGCTGATAGTCCTGAACTTGACATTTGCACTGAGCAGAAAGTACGTCAGAGTAAGAAAGTCAGAATACAAACTAACTTTCACAAATATGCACATGCAGGTTGTGTCAGTTTTTTGATTGTGTTGGGATTTAAATTTTAAACAAAGTATTTTTACTTTTTTTTTTTTTTGTAGCCGGGCACCACCTCCACCCCCACCACCCATGGCCAGGGCAGCACCCCCCACTGCCCCTGTTCCAATGCAGGCCCCTCCGTCTGCTGTGGGTGCACCAGCAGCAGCACCCAGGCAGCCGGGATTGTTTGCCCAGATGGCGGCCACAGCTGGTGGTGTGGCAGTGGGCTCTGCAGTGGGGCACACCATCGGCCACGCCATGACTGGAGGCTTCAGTGGAGGAAACTCAGAGCCTGCCAGGCCTGACGTCACGTACCAGGTAAACTGAAGTTAACATGGAAGCCAGCCATAGGACTGGAATAGTATCAGGGAGGATTAGTATGTCTGACACAGTAACAAACATTTTATGTAATCAACAGATCAGTGCAGGGAATTAAAGGAACTACAGTATCTAAGGGTAACACACAATTCACAGGTTAAGCATTTCTTTATTTTTTAGCTGTAAACGATGAACACAATTTTTCTGTTACCTTTACATGACCTTGTCAACAGGAGGTACTAAAGTGTTTGAGTATTGACTTGTGCTGTGCTCTTTTGCATGTCTTTAATTTAAAAAAAAAAAAAAACACACAACAACAAAACACACAAATTTAGAGTTGAGACTGAGCCATATGCCACATTTCTTGACATGTGAGAAATTTTGATACACCACTGTGTTAGACATTTCAGCACATTATGTGAAAGATTCCTGCTCGTTATCTGAGCGTTACAAACTAAAACAGATTATTGATATGTACACAGACAGCTCTGTTTTGGGTAGACCTGCCCTCACTAGACATATGAACATGCCCTTAAATTGCAGCATGCACAGTAAATAAGAAAAGCATCCCATTGTCTGTGTTGTGTCTGTCAGGAGCCGTACCAGGCCCAGCCATACCAGGGCCAGCCCATGTACCAGCAGCAGCCTCAGTCTATGTACCAGCAGGAGGCCCCTCAACAGCAGGTTTGCTCCTACGAGCTCAAACAGTTCATCGAATGCGCTCAAAACCAGAGCGACCTGAAACTCTGCGAGGGCTTCAGCGAGGTGCTCAAACAATGCAAGTTTGCTAATGGTGAGTGAAAAGTGATCCGTGTTTCTGGCAGTGTCATTATAACCTCTATGAATTTGTTTCGATTCACATTTCCAGTGTTATTGTTACACGTATTTTATGTCAGCTCAACCATCGTCTCTGCAATGTTGTTGTTGCTCTTTTATGTGATGTAACAGTGCCACATAAGTAGGCTTGGCCTAAGCAAATTGTCATTCAGACATCGAAGCCAAATGACTTTGCAGTATTCTGATGTAAAGCCTTGCAGTACCCCTTGTGGCCATAAGATGGAGTAGCTTTAAAGGTTTTCAAATGCTGCATGTGACCTTTTTTTGTAATGCAGGATTTTGAAACATATAGAATCAAATATTCCTAATGATGGAAAGAATAAACACTTGTCTCATTATGCTTTTCTCTTCTTTGTAGGTCTGTCATGAGATGGAGACAAAACACCTGCAGAGTGAAGATCACACACCTTATTAATAAAGAACCAGATATTGTAGGAGGGTGTAATTTACTGGAGATCAATCAATAAACATGCTTTATTTTGACAGCTGATTATCATAATTTCTCAGGAGGCTGCTGCTGCCCAGCTTGTAATCTTAGTCTTATAAATAATGTTTATATATTTTGGTGTGTCTTGCTTTGAGTTGAGTTTTGTCATGTTTTTCCATTAGAGTCAGTGCTTTTATTTTAGAATACCTCTCATATATGACAGTGTTTGCAGGATAACAAAACTTGCAGAACCACCAGTCTCCATTTTCAGTTTGCTTGTTACAAGTTTAAGATTAAAAACAATAAAGCACTTGGATCATGAAAACATTTGTGATGATTTATTTCACTGCCTCCTCACTGAGACCTTATTATAATGTTGGATTGGTTCCATTTTTACATGCGGTTTGCTCCATGTAGAATTTAAGAGCTAAGCTCCGGCACCTGTCGTGTCATTTCAAATCTCAAACCCACGGACTGAAGCTTGCAGTAATGTGGTGAGAGCACGAGCAGCCGGGTGTTATTTCACGGATCTGGTTTTTGTGCGGACACGCGTTCAGGGTGTGCTGCTGCTTCTCCTCTGCTGCTGTGGAAGCAGCTACTTATTTTTGGCATCTGACATTAGAGTTCACCCTTCGCAACATGGCAGAAGCTCCTCCAAGCCTCCACAGCACCGGCGTTTAACCGCAGCTCCGCGTCCGTCTTTTTACGCTTTGCGACCAGACTGAGTGCAATATTGTGATGGATAATCTTCATATGAGGGACTGACACGGTGAGTGAACGAGTCTCTTTCTGTTCATTACTGTTTTACTGGAGCCTGCAAAGGTCAAACAGCGACAGTGGACGGCGGCATGTTGCTTCATTGGTCTGCGCTGTGCGTAAAGTTGGGCATGACATTTAGTTTGGGGAGATCCGAAGCACATTGTGTTCGCTTATTAGACTTCATAAGTGAGCCAGCTGACATTAATCAAACAATGAGAATGATATTTTACCGTAATAACCTAAGAAAGCACGGTTTTATCTGCTGATCTGCAAGATCCTGTAATTATGGAGCTTGAAACTACATAAAACGGAAGCGCATTTGAAGTAGGTGGTCGATCGATATGCTTCGTTTCAGGGCCGACACCAACAATTAATAAACAATTTGTTTTTGCTTTTTGTTCCTTCATGTGGACGTTTAAGATAAATATTTGCTTACTGAACTATTTTCAGTATGTGATAAGGAGCTGAAGCCATCTCAAGGATTTTATCAAAGTAATGAACCATTCAAAGCTCTATTTTATAGATCTTAAAACTGCAGGAAGTCTTTAAGGTCTTTCATTGAACACTTACCATACATTTTTGTCGTTTTTACAAGATGTACTTAACAAAAGTGTTTGGATTCTGTTTCACATGAAATGCAAGTATATTTAGGCTCCTGCATTACAAAAATAAAGTCTGCTTTTCTTGTTCTTGCTAAAAAAAATTAAATATTTATCTACATCAAATAACGATGTAGTTTTTAATTTCAATTTATTTGTGGCAATATTCAAGGTCAGTCATGGGTAGTCTGGGTGGAAAAATAAAGCCCCTTCTTACATTTTCTTTTACATTCTGTCCATATTTCAGTTTTGTGATCAGACACGTGGGCAGAACGTGCCCACATGTCTGTGAGGTTTTGACACCCAGACTCTGTTCTAGTTTTACCATGTTCGTAGGGGGTGTTGACTCAGTCTCGGCATCTGGACTCTGGCATATTCTTGGGCATCATTCATAACTGTGTTCAACAAGAGTCCCGAAACCGCACTCAGGCCAAGCTGGTTCTTCTGGCTTACCGGATTTAAGCTGAATCAATTTGGCTACTTGGGAATTGAGACCAATAACTGATATTTGAAGCAGCAAGCCCCTCTGTATCGACCAGTGGAAAAAATCTGTGAAAATTGGTTGAATCTGTAAATGGTTCCAATATGTTTAACCGTGTTAAATTGTCAGCTAAAGCACAGCTGTTTTGAACATATTTTCTCCCTGCAGCCTGCTGTGAGCTGTAATAGGAGATCAGTTCTGTACCTTCGGCTTGGCTTCGCTCCATCATGACCAAAGAGGAGGAGATCCCCGACTGGGTGGGAGCCAAAGAGTTCTACGACAAGTATGAGCCCAAGGAGATTCTGGGAAGGTGTGTCCATAAAGCACACGTCATAATATGATTTACAGCAGAGGTTCCCAACCTTATCCAAACAAACTACACCTGAGAGTTACAGTTGAAACAGAGCAAAGCACAAAACACTTCCTTAGTCTTTTACTTTTTGTGAGTTAATGGAGTGATTTACTTCTTAAGATTATTGCATTAAAGTGGAAATTTGCAACCTGTGATGAGAAGTTTCGAGAACTGCAGCCACTATGGCGACAACTGATGATTACAGGACAAAGATAAAAACTAAAATGTGGAGAGCAATAACTCTGTAAAGTCACCGCCGTAACGAGCTGCTGCTCATACCAGACCAAGTATGGTCGTATCAGCAAAACCCCTGAGACTGATGGACTGAGGAGGAGCATGTTTTATTGTTTCTTCTTCCACAAGTTCCACAATGGTAGATAACGTGTACTGCATACACATGTATCATAGTTATCACTGTGAAAATGCAATCTTTTTTTTTTGGTTTGTGAATAATATAAATGAGATCAACAGCTATAATATGACATAAATTAGACTAGCTTTTTCAGTTTTACAGCACAATAGTACAGTTTGACTGACTGAGACGTCGGTGTGAACAGTTATCACTCTCAGTGAAGTTTCCCAGAAGTCCCTGAGAAATGTGGGCAGGACCAGAGAATGCTCATTGTCATTCCCCACCAGTAGTCAGACGGTGGTGCTGTTACGTAAGCTTCGGTGTCCGAGTGTGTTCTGGACAAAGGTTTTAGTGTTGAGAGCTGCAGAGGGGCTGCCCGGCAGGCTGACAGATTATGTAATTTCACTCCCTTTCCTGCATGCAGGTCATGAGGTCAGTGGATGTGCACAATGCGTTCCTCTGCTAGTATTCTTCCCACGCCTCGGTCAGTGCCACAAATGTGGGGAGAAAAGTCAGTTTAGTTTCTTTATATCGGTCCCCCTGTCCATAATTTATATCGTCTGAATCACCCTCTGAAAGTAATTCAATCATAAAATACTGTAAAGGACATTAATGATAACAAGAAATGAAGCCAGTGGTGTGTACCTTGACAGGTGCATTCCTGTTTATGTCTCATCTGTCAGACTGATAAGATGCACCTGGAAGGTTACTTTTGCTCAGTTTGAACATGTTTCACAACAGAGAAAGAAACTCTTCACATGTGGAACTTTCCTATTTGAAGCACACAAACACAAACCTGCACTGACTGATGTGTAGGTGTGAAGGCTGATGTGTGCATCTCTTCTTCAGGGGGGTGAGCAGTGTGGTGCGTCGCTGCGTCGACAAGCGACTGTCTCAGGAATACGCAGTGAAGATCATCGACATCACCCCCTCCGACAAGATGACTCCGCAGGAGATCGAAGAGATCAGAGAGGCGACGGTGAAGGAGATTGACATCCTCAAGAAAGTGTGCGGACGAGACAACATCAGTAAGCAACATTCCAGTTTTGAAAAACTGATAGGAATTATATAGGAAAGACTGTAGTTCAGGACAGTTTTATAAAATCAGTTTGTTCAGCTGATGTCCACTGATGTGGCCTGATCCACTTATCGAACGAATTTTCCTCTCCAGTACAGCTCAAAGACTGCTATGAGTCCAAAGCCTTCTACTTCCTGGTTTTTGACCTGTAAGTGTCAACTTTTACGTGATTATAAAGCTTGGTGATTAAACAGAAATTCACATCTCGCTGATCAAACTAGCAGCAACAGCTAAAAAGTTTTGTTTTCTTTCACCCAGGATGAGGAAGGGTGAACTTTTTGACTACCTCACAGAGAAAGTTACTCTGAGTGAGAAAGAAACCAGGTCAGTAAGGGTGTTATTTTTAAGGACAAATTCAATTGATTGTGATCTTTAAGGTCTTTACAGTTTGTGTGTTTTGGTTTTAGGAAGATCATGCGCGCTCTGCTGGAAGTGGTCCAGTTTCTGCACAGCCAGAACATCGTCCACCGGGACCTAAAGCCTGAGAACATCCTTTTAGATGACGAGATGAACATCAAACTCACTGACTTTGGCTTTGCTGTGCAAATCAAGCCAGGACAGAAGCTCAAAGGTCAGTAAAAGCTGGAAACCCAACAGTAAACATCTTTACACAAGCAGTTCATAAATCTAAGGAGACAGGCTGATCGCTTTATGGTCCAAAAAGTCACTCGGATGACCTACTTTAACAGTAACATCAGAGGTTCACTGACAACTAAACATCACTGCAGCAGCACGTTCCGACCCGGCATGTTCAGGTGATGATATCTGAAGTTGCTATGTTTACCACGTACAGTGCACTTTTCAGTGCACCAGCTGTTGGTGGTCGGCGGAGAATCTGGGTCTGATTGCACAACATGCTCCCTGCTCTCTTCGCTGCTCTTACAAAGGTTAAGAAACAGGACACTGCGATCTATTTGCTGCAGTCTCTGACACTCGCAGTACACTGACCTTTTTAAATGGACTCCTCAGAAAGCATCAGCTCAGGATGGAGGGAACACTCACCTGTCTAATGGAGCGGTGCATCATCAGACAGTTTTGTTGAGTTGGTAAACATGTAATGGATTACTTCCATTAGGCTGGAGGTCTGTTTCAGCATGGTGTGCACGTGTATACAGTATCACTGTAGTGAGACATAATCTGTCGCCATCAAATGAAGTCTAAATGCATCTTCCCAAATTTGGTTACATTTTGTTAAAAAATGTACACATGTTGCTTTTCTATTTATAAAACTCACTTGAAGAAGAATTAATACATTTGATAAATTGCTTTCATTTGGTTATAAATGAAGTAGCAGCTTCTCTTTATTCTTTCATGTCTCATAAGGTTTTCTCACCCACACAGGAAAACCTGTAAATCGTCAACATTTTTGAGAGCATTTTTGTTTTGGAGAAGCAGTTTTATCGCTTTTTCTCTCCTTGTAAAGCACTCTGTAATTCCAATTTTTTAAAAAACATTTTGAAGAAATACACAGTTATCATTATCCCATTAGTTATGGCCAAGAGACATGGGCCCTTTTATGTGACCTTTTTTGTTTTTGGTTTACTCAATAAGCTCAAGATTATTTTAGAAAATTTCCACCAGAAAAATCATTCCCAAATGCCATCATTAACAGTTCCACAGCTGTAAGGCTAAAATGAACAGCTACGTTGTCCATGGAGACACTTGCCCCCATCACCAGGCCAGATTTAAAAAAAAACTAATGGCCTCACTTCTGCCTAATCAGAACAATTAATTAGAGAGTAAAAAGCAGTTTATGACAATGAATCAGTGACACTCATGCCATTGAGCCTGTTAAAAAAAAATCCAATTTGATGCAACAGACAGTTCAGCTTCACCAATCAGCATGCAGCTTAACATCTTGACATACTTGTTCACATGTAAAACCTCTTTAAGTTTTTCAGCTGGAACGTTTGTTTCTTAAATTTTGTAAGTCTGTGCTTGAAAGTTCATTTTATTTGTTAACAGTACATGAGAGTTACTGTTTCCATGTGTCTTTGCACTACAGAGGTGTGTGGGACTCCTGGTTATCTTGCTCCTGAGATCATCGAGTGCTCCATGGATGCAGGAAATGCAGGATACGGTACAGCTGTGGACATGTGAGAGTCAAACAAAGAAGCTGTGAATAACTAACCAATAGTAACCTTGTATGCATCTGATCTCATATATGACGGCTCATGTTATCTAAAGTGTGACTGTGGCTAATAAGAATCAGATGATGCATGTACACGTGGTGACCAACTTCAAAGCTCGATTGTCCTCTGGTTCATGCTTGCAGATGGAGTGCAGGTGTCATCATGTACACGCTGCTTGCAGGTTCTCCGCCCTTCTGGCACAGGAAACAGATGCTGATGCTGCGTATGATCTTGGCAGGGAAGTACGACTTCTCATCTCCAGAATGGGAGGACCGCTCAGACACTGTTAAAGATTTGGTAGGCTCACTGTCTTTACTTCTACACGCACTGCTTTGCTTATGTTTTTAAATCAGTGGTAAAACACTGACACCATTGATGACAACTAACGTCAAAATTCAAAGTATATAAAGTAATAAAATGCATCATGTGGTTTCCTCAGATCTCTCGGATGCTCGTGGTGGATCCAAAGCAGCGTTACACGGCTTCAGAGGCTCTCAGCCACTCGTTCTTTTCTCAGTATGTGGTGGACGAAGTTCGACAGTTCAGTCCATACAGGCGGTTCAAGGTGAGAAGTAGAAAGGTTTGGGAAACCTTTTCACTTGATACTAGCACACACAAGATAGTATGATTGTTTTCCCACAGATAAATATGCAGCTTGATTTCATGTCTTGAGTGGAAACAGCAACGCATGTTTGAGAGGAAAATACCCTCCAAATTGTGAAATAATTCAGTAAATTAGAAGTAGAATCATTACAGTATATTTTTAGATAACATATTTTACAAATCTTTCCCAGACAATACCCACCTTGGTGTAATTTCAGTTTTTTTATTAAGCTGCCATCAATCAAATAGTGATTAAACAATAGTTCCCACATGTATAAAGTAATTTAATACAGAATAGTATAATCTATTGTCTCATGTATATGTCTTTTATTTGTGTAATTATAAATCCTAGTATTTGGTTATTTCATGTCAAAATGACTGGACTTCCTTACTGTTTACTGAACTACATAAAAACCTTGAAGGTATTTCAATCAATGAACAACTGTTATATGTTTCTGAACAATGTGCAGCTATTGTGCCAAAACGCAAACAACCATCAGTATAATAATGTAATTCAAAGAGACACTTCAACTCTGCAGTTTTTGACGATATCTAATAGCTACCTTTTCTGATATTTTGCTATCAGGTGATTTGCATGACTGTGCTCGCCACAATGCGAATCTACTGCAACTACCGCCGTGCCAAGCCCGTCACCAAGGAGGTGATCAAGAGTGACCCGTACGCCGTCAAGCCCATCCGCAAGCTCATCGACGCCTGCGCCTTCAAGATCTACGGTCACTGGGTGAAGAAAGGCCAAACTCAGAACAGAGCAGCACTTTTCGAGAACACTCCCAAAGCCATCCTGCTGTCCATAGCGGCCGAAGCAGACGAGCCGGCGCAACATATCTGGTAACGCACTTATCAAGGAGGACCGATCAGCTGGGGCTGCTTACCCTGCTGTGTAAAAGAAAGACTACTACCAGACAAGTCTCATTTCAGTTTGTCTCTAATGTGGACCGCATACTTTACTCATGAACTGCAAAATGCAGCAGTGGGATTGATTTACCTCAAGTCTTCAATCTTCAGTGACAAGTTAACAATTTGCATGCTTTCTTTTCTAAATGTTGATTAAGATTAGTCTAAAAATAAGATTTACTGTTCGAAGAAAAGGCCTTGAACACAATATTTAACTTTAAATGAAGCCATTCTCAACTGTATATCCTCTGAAAATTGACTTGTGCCAGTTTTATGTGAAACGCAACCTCTCAATTATGTCAAAGAGTTTCTTCTACAAACTGCAGGAATTTCCAAAATCTCAAAACTTGACAGAAGGTTTCTTCTTATCTGCTACTGTCTGGAATATATAAACTGTATTTAATGTGTGGTTCAAAGAGTAGGTAGTGCTAGTATGTTACTCTTTTTCTTCTAAACGTGTCAGAACTGTGAAATCTTGGCTGCAAAACATGTGGAAATATAGTTTAGCAGGACTGGAATATAAAACAGTGAACCTGCATATTTTAAAAGGAATGGACTTACAGTTATTTGATCATTATGTAGCATGTTGTACTGTACTGACAACAGCTCCAACGTCAGTTTAAATTATGATAGCACTTTACATTGTATGCTATGAAAGTATTTATTAAAACTTGCATTTCATGTAAAACCTAAATCTTGTTGGAAAGGTACAGATTTTTTTGTGATTCTGTCTCATTCTCTGAGAGCTGTAAACCCGACGTAACAAATTAACACACAAAATCCATTTTTAGAGCAATAACAAATTTATTTTTTAAGGAGGTACATTCACATCCACAAAAATCATCAACTGAAATAGTTTCTGGCACAACGTCTAAAGAGAAATGGGTGAAAAAGCCATAAAAAAATTATTATAGATCATAGAGTGTGATATTAGTTACCATGAGTGAAGGAGTTTCCCACAGTCCTGCTTTAGAAACAGCCACTGGTTTCCCTACAGAATTTTAGAAAACAGAACAAAAATCAGTACAAAACCTTCAGAAAAGTCCAGTTGTATCACTGTACTCATTCCTGTGCAGCTGGATGAGGCTGGGCGAGACACACATCCAGTCATTTAGTAGAAATGAGACGAGGCTTTTGCATGGTGTCTGACTGTATCCACCACAGACTTGCTGGAACAGAATTCGGCCATGCCTCAGAGGTAACATTTTCAGTGCTCAGAATAATAATCGTGTTGTTTGTCATTGTGTTAACAGCGAGTGTACAAACGTACCATCCTCTGGCCATATTTCACAGCCTGAAGGTCGGCTGTGGCAACGTCTCAGTGTAGATTACTGCATTTCTTTATTTAAACACATGCTGGAGCAAAAAGAGAACAACAGACATTATGAGATGAATTTATCTGCTGATGTAATATGTGACTGAGCTGCTGTATTGTAAAAAAAAAAAATATTAGGAAACAGCAGCACATTGGCTTCAAGGATGCAACACGGTAGTGCTGAGTACAATGGTTTCTATAAAGTGGACTTATGGCTCGCGTTAATGATTCAATGATGATTCAACCAAGATACCTAAATAAATGTGGCATTATTAGTTAAAATAATAATCAGCTGAAGCCTTGAAAGATGAAATCCTATCCAAACTCGTCACATGTTGCTGTATTCACTCTGACATAAGAATGAGGTACACAATAAGCACTCAAATCCCATTGTTGGTCAGTGTGTGAAAACATTTATTTAGCATGGTGTCTGACTGTATTTACTATGTCAGGAGTAATACAGAATTCAGCCATGCACTCAAATACATGTTATTACTACTAAGCATGAGTTACCCTCTTTGTGTTCATTTCCTGAAAACAGCATCTCAGTCTATACAAAGCTTTTAGCTTTGGCTCAAACGTTTCAATGTAAACAAGTATTTAAAAAAAGACATGTGTTTTCTGTATTATTAACTGTACAAACTTGAGAAGAAACTGGCCTACTTCCTCACTGTTTCACTTGCACCCTGACCTGAGTAACACATCTGCTCCAGCTCACCTCTGCCATGTGGAGCTGTGTGTGGTTCAGGATGAGGCCTACTCCATGATGAGGTGGTCTAAACCAGTTCATCCATTGTCATCCTAAGTGTAGTGACTAAAAAACAAAAATACACACAAACAACCACATTGAGCATCACTCTGTAAATCTTATACACATCCAAGTCAAGTGAAGTCCTTTCTAGTAGATGAATAGGATGCATGCTAAGTTTAAGGCCCTGAGATATTTTAGATTGTGCAAACTTCTCTAACAAATACCTAACGAATCCAGACATTTTCTATAAGAAAAAATGTTGGTGAATCTCTCTCACTATATGACACGGATTGTAAATCTTGTAGCCACAGACTCCAAGTCTGTTTAAACAGCTGCATCACATACTTTATTACTGGCTAACACCTCATACATCCCAATTACAACCTATGTAACTACTTTATTACGATATTATACTGTTATTGACAAAAAAAAACCCAACAAAAAACTACAAAAAAACGGTTAGATTACTGTCTAACTAAACGTCTTTTCAAAAGGCCCCCAGTTGCATCATGTTATCCACACAAAAACTGAGGTTAAATAAACACCATCATTTTAAATCTAGCAAACACACTTTATCTGCGCCGAGCTGCCTTCTCAAATATTCACAATTTACGTTCTACCGCTTTTTTTTTCATTACAAACCTGCATGCCTTGATAAAAAGTCCCATTCTCATTCACAAGGATGAATTTTCGCCCTTCTTCCGCCCTCAATGTGGAGTCTGTAGCTTCTGGAGCAAGGTCCGGTTAGCGCAGCTCTTCTTCTTCGTGTTATTTCCGGGCTCCGGTTGGAAACAGCTCTAATACAGCAGCGCCACCTGCTGGTCCAACAGTGAACTACATGACCTACAAAATAACTCCGCTTGATTTCTCTGAAAGATGCCTCCCTCTGTTTCAGGATGGATTTACAGCATGTCATCAGTAAACC